TTCCTAGAGTATTGTTACTAAAATTGTTGAATGATTCGTGATAAAAGGATCATAAATCTATCAAGTAAATTATTTCTAATTGATTGACGAATAAGCCGTCGTCGGGAAGAGAATGATCTATAGGGAAACAAGTCACCACCTCTTAAAAGTATATCAAATGTGATGAAGAGCCTCCTTGATAAGTCTTCATTATCATGAGTTAATAATTAGTAAATAATATAGTTTTAGCCTTAACTCATGATAAATAGACTTATATTTGTGTTAAAGCATGAAAAGTGGTTTTCAGTTGATTAACGTGAATTTTTGGGTAATTATGTGATTTTATACGATTTTTACAGTCTTAGTTTTGAGATAAATGAAGAACAAGAAATAAAAATAAAAATATTGCAAAATGGGGGATCCGCCGGCCAGCCGGGCCCGCAAGCGGGTCGGAAGCGCAGTCGGGGAGTAGCCGCGAGCAGGGGCTCGAGCGGCTTGCTTAGATCGATAGGGGCACGTGTGCGCCACTCCCCTTCCACGTCACCGGTGTCAGCCGGCTGTGGGGCAAGGAGTGGTCGTACACGCGAGAGGACTTTGCCTAGAAAGTTAACTTTATTATATATTCGCCCGAATAATCCGCGCACAACCAATGTGGGACTAAATCCACCTTGTAAGGCGCGGGCGACCGCCGCGGGTTCGAATCCTCCCAGAGTCAAAATTCATATATTTTTAACTGATTATCGCGACTTTCCTGCAGATCGCCGGTGAAGGATTAAGCAACCGGAATCGCTGGATCATCGGCGAAAATCTCGTCAACGCGATTCGCGGAGCATTGCTACTAAAATTTCTGAACGATTCGCGATAAAAGGATCGCAATCCATCGAGTAAATCATCTCCGATTGATCGACGAACAAGCCGTCGTCGGGAAGAGGACGATCCGCCGGAGACCAGTCGCCACCTCCTGAGAGCGTACCAGATGCGATGAAGAGCCTCCTCTTGCTGCGCGGACCTGAGGATGAAGCTCCCTAACACGCGCCTCACCTCCATCCAGCCCCTCTCCGTCGGGTGACAGCCGCCGGAGAGCCGCAAAGTCGCCGTTTTTCCGCTCCGCCGGGTGACAGCCGCCGGAGACGATTCGACGACCCACTTCATTGGTCTCTAGACTTCGCGAGAAGATCTAGAGATTGCCCACGTCGTCTTTGTCCAAGGAGAGCCTTCGAGGCCGTGGACACTGCACGACGACCCTCCCGAACGCTCAGGATTCCGGTGCATCGCCGACGCGTCGCCGTCGCGACGCCGGAACTCTGTTTTCCTGCTTTATCTAGAGATTGCCCAAGTCGTCTTTGTCCAAGGAGAGCCTTCGAGGCCGTGGACACTGCACGAGGATCCTCCCGAACGCTCAGGATTCCGGTGCATCGTCGACGCATCGCCGTCGCGACGCCGGAACTCTGTTTTCCTGCTTTCAATTTAATTTACGCTTCATTTAGTGATACTTTGTTGATTTTTATTTACCAAAGTATACTTCGTTCAATTACGATTCTTCCGGATTTTACAGATCTTAATTTGATTAATTGAGTCGTCTGTAATCGCCTACGTAAGAATCGCCGGGCGGAACTCTGTTTCCGCCTGATTCGCGTTCGCCGGGCGCTGACGTCATCCTGACGTCCGCACCCTTATTTCCTCTCTTTTTTTGTGAATTTTAAATATATTTCCTTTTTATTTCATAGTATAAAATTCGTAAGAAAATCGTACTCATTGAGAAAAATTCTGAATAATTACCAGATATTATATTACATCCCTGTGATCGACCTGGAAAATTACCGCTATTTTTGGAATTTTTATTGAATTATAATTGATATATTTATTTAGAAATACTTCTAAATATCTGAAAATTCGTATTTTCTAGTTTTATAAATTTTATATTTGCGTGATTTAATATACAATGACTGAGTCACGTCACTCCTCTTATTGTTCGAACTTGAGGATGAAGCTCCTTAATATGCACCTCACCTTCACTCAGCTCCTCTCTATCGAGTGATAGTCACTATAGAGCTGCAAAGTCACCATTTTTCTGTTCCCTCGAGTGACAACTATCAGAGATAATTTGACGACCTATTTTATTAATCTCTAGACTTTGCTAGAAGATATAGAGAATAAGGAGAGCCTTTGAGGTCATGGACACTACATGACAATCCTCTTGAATACTCAAGATTCTGGTGCATCATTGACACATTATTGCCACGATGTTAGAACTCTATTTTTCTTAGTTTTTAATTAGTTTGACTTCCACTATCATTTTTTGAACTTAGGAGATCTAACAAATACCTAATTTTTCTATATCTAAGGAGAGCCTTTAAAGCCATGGGCATCATTTGATGACCCTCCTAACCACATAAAATTTCAGTGATCACTATTACGAGGTCAGAACTCTGTATTTTCTACTTTCAACTTAATTCTTACTTCATTTGGTGATAATTTATGTGATTTTTACTTTCTAAATTATTTTTCATTCAATTACAATTATTTTAGTTTTTCTAAATTTTAATTTGACCAATTAAATCGTATGTAATTGCTTACGTAAGAATCACCAAATATAACTTTATTTTCACCCGATTCACATTGGTTGTGCACTAACATCATCCTGACGTCCGTACCTTTTATTTCCTTTTTCTATAAATTTTAAATATAATTTATTTTTATTATTTAGTCTAAAATATATAAAAAACTATATTCTTTGAGAAAAATTATGAAATATTACTTCATAATATATTACATCTTTGTGATTGACCTAATTTTTTTCACTATTTTTAGAATTTTATTGAATTATAATTAATATATTTGTTCAAAAATACTTCTAAATATTTAAAAATTGGTATTTTCTAGTTTTATAAATTTTAAATTTGTGTGATTTATTATACAACGATTAAGTTATGTCACATACTTCATTTTTTGTCGTAATATATTTTCGATATTTTAGACAATTTTACATTGACACTTCATTCTTCACATTACTCAAGTATTACATTCAAATATCACTAGTTACTTCAATTTTTAACAATATTCATGAAACTTCGTAACATATTTCAACACTTATTATGTTGTTCTTATAATCAATGAATTTTACACTGCATACTTTAATATAAAGAATATCTCAATAGCATGACTCATTGAATTTGTTGTTAGCCATAGATTACAAAGAGTGTTGTCAATATATAATTTGAATATTTGATAATTAAATTTATACATGATGAAAACGATCATGATGTATATATAGATAAATTATGAATCAACTCATTCATCAATAATTTATAAATTAATTTTTCATTGTAGGTGTCAAAGCACACTACATGTGCCAACACCAAAGTCATTTATAGCAATATGATGGGTGAGAAAAATTATACTAAAAGAGGAAAGGATGATTCATAATAAAGATCTAACACAATTGCACGATGCTTGTCCTCAAATCAAGGATCTTGAGGGTATTAGAGGTTTGCTGACCAAACCACAATAATGTAGAGTGAAACATCTTACCATCCAGATTTGCTAGCAAAAAAAGAAGAATTAAGTTAGAATTAAATTATAGTAATATTAATTCACTCTCCCTCTTGATGGCATAATCTCCTATAAAATATTTCACCAAGTTGTGTGACACTTAAGTAAAGCAAAGATCAAGTTGAATAAGGCTGAACAAGTTGTGTGAGTGTGTGTATCTATGTAAAATAGTGGTCTACACCTACATGCTAAGGGTGAAAGGTATAAAATAGGCAACTTGTTATGACTTGAATAGTTTAAGCGTCAATAATTAGAATAGTTATAGGTTCAAATTTGTCATACCTGTGTTGTAGTAGAGATCAATACTTGTCAATTCACAATGGTTTTTAACCAACAATATAAAATATAAATCATTTGAAAGTATATCCATTTTTTTCAATAAGAATAAAAATTTAGGTAATAGTTATTGGGATTCCAATATACAAAATATTGGATGGCTCATTAATATCTACAAGGTCTCCCTAGTCTAATCAACCATTTTGTGTTAAAAAAATTTAAATATGTACAAGATATTGCTATTTGGACAGCTTCTTAAAATAAAAATATTTATCTCACACCTTGGGACATTGCGTTCAATAGCTTATAGGAGTATAAAGTCCCATTGGTCATTTTGTACTTCTTTATTTCACACTATTTTAGTATCAAGACATTAAAAAACTTCACCTATTTGCTGTAGACTTCACCCTGCTAAGACTTTCACCTCTCTCCGCTCCATCACAAAGAACCCCACAATATAGTAGATTCCTCCAAATCGATCTGCAGAGAGAGAGATGAAGAAAGGGAGTGAAAGGGGTAGGATATACTAGTGACTGGTGATAGGTATGAATAGATATTAATGTTCTATAAGAAGATGGACAAGGCATAGGGCATCAAGATATACCATGGCACTCAAAGCTTATCACTAGATATGTATACATGAATAAAGCTAAACATGACTTAAATTTCTGTGTGTGTGTGTGTGCGTGAGAGAGAGAGAGAGAGACGTTCAGGTGGAAATAAATTGAAAAGGGAGAGGATCAGACACACTCTTCCATATTAATTTGTGGCAAAAAAATTCTTTTATTTTGTGTCTAGAGATAATTGTTTGTATGTTTCCATTTTATAAGGCAGACAAATATTTTATATTTCTTGGTACGGTTGCATAATTAATATTAATGTATCTAATGTCAACTATACAATAACAACTGTTCCAGATAACAAAAATAAAGTCACTTATTGAATACAAAGCATTGTGAAGATTATAACTTTTTGAAAGCATACGAGACAAGAAAGCAACTAGGACTCACCTTCCAATGGGCTTGTATTACAAGCAGAGAAATTAGATAGGTTCATCTCCATTGTGGGTCAAGTGGATATCACATGCACAACTTGTTGCACAGGCACTCGGACGATTGCTGTATAGGGGTGTAGATGGAGATAATATGCAGCACCAACAAATGGAGGGAGAAGGATGTGACAATTGTAGAACGCTAGGCCTTGGTATCCGTTTCCACGTCGCAGGATCCATACTTGGTGCAGCCAATCAATATCAACGCAGAATCCACACCTAAGGAAAATGGGTTCCAGTCATCACCGAGAAGGCAAAACAATAAACCGTAACGAAGACGTGTGCATATAATCTGGAAATAACTCATTATATAGAAACCTGAGAGATAGGCGCCGTGGACATATCCATTGTAATGCTGGCTTGTGTGCTCGCCGGTGAAGTAAACCCTTCCCACAGGAGCCTTTTCCCATTATTGAAATAAGACAAGAAGAAGGAGCTGAATCATCCCAGCTGCTTCCGAAAAATAATTGGATAATTTTTTACCATACAATTCAATATATCCTTAGGAGAAAATGAGAAGATACCCTGATCTGATCGTATTTGTATCTGCTGACTCCAATCGGCCAATTTGAGAATGTTCCTTTGTAGAACCGGTCAGACCACCACCTCGGGACGAGTATGTCTGTGGCCTCAGGTATATTCTTTCCGAACATGTTCCTCAATACCTCCATGATTTCAGCCTTCGTCACTGAATCCGGCTGCTGCTCGATCCTTCTCGACTCCTCATCGGTGACCGTCACGAGGAGGACGTTGGCTCCGGGGTACTGAGATTCGAATTGCTGCAGCCACAGAAACAATAGATTAGCTCCATTTCGCTTCTACCATACATGAAACATACGTATGCATCTATGGATGCCTATCATCTGAGAGAAAGGTCAGGTCGATACCTGCCAGACTGGATAGTAACCCCTCCTCTCACTTGCATAGAGGAAGAACTCTGTTCCATTACCACTGGGCCAGAACTTGGAAGGGAAGTTGACGAAGATCTTGGTGTACACTGCCATGTTGAACTGATAGATGGCAAGGATCTTCCACGTCTGGAAGCCACAGATTATTCAGCCATATGAAAAATAAACCCGCCAAAAAGATTAAGCGCAAATTCGATTCTTATTGGATAGAAGTGTAGCTCTTTCGTTTATCAACAAATCCACCCTCTCCCTTCCTCCCTCTCCCCCCCCCCCATCTCTCTCTCCCTCTCCCCTGTCTCTCTCTCCCCCTCCCCTGTCTCTCTCTCTCCCTCTCCCCTGTCTCTCTCTCTCCTTCTCCCCTGTCTCTCTCTCCTTCTCCCCTGTCTCTCTCTCTCCCTCCCCTGTCTCTCTCTCCCCCTCCCCTGTCTCTCCCTCCCCCTCCCCTGTCTCTCCCTCCCCCTCCCCTGCCTCTCTCTCTCTCCTTCTCCCCTGTCTCTCTCTCCCTCCCCTGTTGAACTGATAGATTAAACCCTCAGAAAAGATTAAACGCAAATCCGATTCCTATTTGGTATAACTGTTGTTCTTTCATTTAGCAACAAATTCTCTCTCTCTCTCTCACTCCCTCTCTCTCCCTCTCTTCCTCCTCCCCTTCCCCTCCATATTTGTGTGCGTGTGAAAGTAGAAAAAGAAAACTTACAGGTAAATCTGGTTGGAACTTAATGAGATTAGTCTGAAGGACGCCGACGCTGGCAGAAACCATCACATAATCAGCGGTATAAGTCGAATCGTCCTCTGTCTTAACAGTGACCCCACTTTGTGAATGCTCTATCCGGTTCACCACCTATGGCGGATGACAACGAGTTACCTTTTGAATATGATATCACTAATAGTATAAAATGACAAAATCAGAGTATTTCAAACTTCAGAATTATTTAATCTTATCTGCAATGAGATATTTTAGGGTAACAAGTCCAGTTTCAAGGTCCAATGTCCTGAATGGACCCTATCAAGGCGAAATTCCACCCATGAGAGATCGTTTTGAAGCCCTCGTCCATAGAAGGCTTATTTATATTTAAATGCATGCGGAACTTAGCCTTTTTATGGTGAGATAAGTAACTTCGAAATGGTTTCACGAAGCAACTCTCCTGTCACCACCATCCCCGCGTGGTGGGGGTATGCTTGACGTGGTCGACGCCCTAAAAGTACGAAGGGAGAGGCAGAGAGAGAGAGAGAGAGGAGAGCGAAGTTTGGAGCAACTCACATTATTAAGCTTGAGGCGAGGGTCAATGATGGTGCCCTTGCCGTCGGAAGCCAGGAACTGGTAGGCCAGGTGATACACCGTGCTTTCAAAACCCCGCTGATCAGCCACAAAGTACACATCTTCCCCGTAGTTGGCGAATGTCGGGAGCAGCTCCGTGTTCTGAAGGCTAGTCACACGCGGCGGCTCGGCGAACTCGTAGTCGTGATTAAAGTAGTCCACCGCCATATCAATCGCTGTCGAGGGCACGCTGTCGAGGAATAAGGAATAGGAGTAGAGTGAAAAGTCGCCGCTTTACGAAATCGAAAACCACTGTTCAGAGAACGTTAGAGTGGCCACCTTTGGGAGAGACGTTGGAAAGTTGAGACAGAGATATCATCCTGTCCACTCCGAGACAAGGACTTGGCGAACTCTGATGCGGCTTCCGCAACTTTATCGGCGTTGTCCACGGCTGTCTGAGCCTTAGAGGCCGCGTATAACCCAGTCCTGAGTAGTTAACAAGTCTTAGAATGATGTTTCACAACACTACAAGTATGAAGACAGTCGGGAAAAGGAGGAAGAGGAGGAGCTGATGATGCTTACTGGTAGACATTAGATGAGATATTACCGAACTCTGAGCGGAAAGATCTAAGGCGTAGTTTATTGGCCAAGGTCCATATCGGGTTCATCTGCTGGCCGTTGACTCCTTCGACCCAGTTTGCACCGATCTCCACGTTGAGCCCGGCGAACTTAGCCTTGCGAATCCGGCCACCGATACGGTTTGTGGCCTCGAGTATGAGTATGTTCTTAATCCCGGCCTCCGAAAGCGTTTTCGCCGCCGATATGCCTGCGACGTATAGTCGGACGATATGTTAGTTCCATGACGCGATGTTAGCTACTCCGGTATGTCTTCGGACAGCATACCGGACATGCCGGCGCCGACGATGATGACCGCCGGCTGTGGCTCAGACCTCGCCGCGACGCTATAGCCCTCGAAGGCGACTAGGAGTATCGTCAGAACTGCCGCAGACAGCATATCTCTCTCTCCTACCTCTCTCTGTCTCTCTCCCCCCTACCTCTCTCTCTCTCTCTCTCTCTCTCCCTGCTTCCCACTGAAGGAAATCTCAAGGTGTCAGTTAGTAGAGACTATGCAGGAGGTACTTGTAGCCACGAGAGGTCATTTAGGAGCGCTGATCTGCACATTTAGCACGTTCATAATGGTCGCATTAATTGGCCTAGCTCTGGAGCCGTGTAACCCGCAAATTTCTGTTCCATCTAGGGGTGCGGATCCGCGCCACTGGCATGAGGTTGACCCCGAATCCGTGCGAAGCTCAGCGTACGAAGCGGCACGCACGGTTCCCTAAATTTGAGAACGAAGTATTAGGCCACGTGTTGACAAAAATTATAAAACGTTGACCAAGTGCTCTGATCAACTGGGTTTGGAAGAATTCTCCTTCGCAAATCAGGGTCACTCCGAAGAACAATGCATTATGAGGGAAGTCCGTGTTTTCGCTGGAAATAATTGTCCACGTGATTTTCTCAACCACACATGGAAAATGCGTCATGACGTTTCCACGACGACCGAATCTATGGTCGACGTACGGGGGCGTCTTGGAGACAGCGACAGTCAACGATGAGCAGCTGAGTCTCACCTGCGGGGATCCCGGGGAATCAGACCGACCACATAAATCCAGGCATGGGCGAAATAAGGTAGCTAAGCCCTCCACGCTTACCAACTACCTATTAATTGTAACGGGTATCCCCACTTGGTATTACCGAATGTGGATTTTTAATAATGGCCACTCAAGAAATTCACAGTTGGTATTCCTACATACGGGTCTTTTATGAGGATCCAAGCAATGCCTGGTCGACGCCGATAGGTCCAGTCTACATATTTCTGAATAAAGATTGAGTCTTTGAACTCGGAACAGCTCCTCTCTCTCCCTCCACACTCTCTCTCTCTCTCTCTCTCTCTCCCCCTCATCTCCATCCAGCTTTGGGAAAGAAAGGAATTTCCCTGCCGGCCCACCACCATTTTGATCAATAAGGTTACCATGCCTCCCCGGCGATCACCTGAGATAACGTCGAGAGAGAGAGACAGACAGGCAGACAGAGATTGAGATGAGACAGAGATAGATAGAGATAGAGAGAGAAGTCATGCGAGTTTTTTGTTTTTTATGTATAAATTGTATTTTAAAAAAGCTATGGTTAAACTGAAAAGTGAGGGCAATTTATCATCAATTTAACTTGCTTACGACGAACAAAAACCAAATAACTCAATTTTATAATGACAACGTGTGAGTTTATTTGAATCAAAAACTATTATTATTTATTTAAATTGGATAGGTTGTTCGGGTTTAGGTTATATATGTTTATTGGATATTACCCAATAGATTTGGATAAAAGTCGCTCAACTTATTTGGGCAAAAAGGGTCTAATAATGAGAATCCAACTAGCTTAACTTATTGGCTGTTGTAGTCTAAAACAAAGGCTGGATTTTTTATCCTGCTCTAGTCTAAAGCACTTCAAAGTGTAGGTCCATCTTAATCTAATTCTATTTTCTTATTTTTCATTAGAAAATAAAAATCGTATGTATTTGTGTACTTCTAGAAAACTACGAACAAAATGTTTTAAGATACATTAAAGGGCCTTCTTATATTAACAAAAATGATACCTTTTTAGAAAGCTCATGCCTACAAAATTTCTGACCAATTTATAATAGTTAGCATTTGTTATGTAATAATACTATCACTAAAGAAAAAGGAAAAATGAAGCTAACTTTAATTAGTTTCTTACTTCTATCTTAAAAATATTTGGTACCTAAATTATATATATTAATAAATTTTAAAATAATTTTAAAATACATATTTAACATCAAAAAATATGTAGATCATCTCATGTGAAGTGCAAGACCCAAAAATTACATTCAAAATCTCAAATTTGTGATTAGATAAAATGTGTAAATCAAAACTATAATGTTGTGCATAATCAAAACAAGATTTGGCTTGTATTTCTACACATTTGCATGTAAATATAATTTCAACTCACAAGCCCATTTGACATCAATGGCTTCCTTTTTTGGTGATGACTTAAAAATCATGTTAAGTCTTCCATACACCATTTTTCTTCAATTGACGTCAACTAGCCTTTTTGTGTCGAAGGCGAAAGGATGGGATTGGGGTTATAGAACTAGAATGGGGGGCTATTTATTTCGCGGGCCCCTTCCTTACAAGGCAAAGGCGACCATCCCGCTCATTCTCTCTCTCTCTCTCTCTCTCTCTCTCTCTCTCTCTTCCTCGTTTCAAAAATTCTTGGTCGATCAAACCTCTCTCTCCTGGCCTGCAGTTGTCCCTTCTCTAGCACTTCCGTCGTCCTTGTCAGGCGCATGGATGGAGATCACGGAAGAGCAGAGGAGGAGGGCCGAAGCGAACAGGCTCGCAGCCCTTGATAAAAGGAGGCGCTTCGAGGGTGCTGCTTTGAGTTACGGGGAATGGAAGCTCACCAAATGCCAAGCTTTATCCAATCTGGTGCTGGATGCAATTGACACGCCTCCCCTGGATCAGCCGGCAAACATACCTCCTGCAAAGCGCGATCGATTTTCTGTTGTTCTGGAGATATGCTCCCCCGACGAATTTTCTGTTACTCCTCAGCCGGTATCAGGCTTCCCGTTTCCCGGAGAAGCGGAATGCTTAAAGTCAATTGGTACTGGTCTCTCCTCTGTAAGTTTCTTTCTCCCATAAAGTTCTTTCTTGACTGAGCTCTGCATTCTACTAGTTAATTCATTTTCTTGGAAACCTTCCTAATCTCTTGCAGCCATCGGGAATTAGGCTTTATATTTTCCATTTCTGGTACTTCACTTGTTCATCTGGTACTTCCTGCGTCTGCTCTTGGTCTCATCTTTCTGGCGATGGAATCTAATGTTACGATAAATGACGTTTAGTTTTGCACATTAATCATCGATTTGGCCGAACGAATGGATCTTTGTCAAAAGCTTTCATGAATAATCATCTTTTTTTCGATAGATTTTCTGCTTCTCAGCTCCTCATTTTGAAAAATCTAGATGTCAAGTGCCAAATCATCATAGATTACCATTTCGCCCGCAGACGTGTCAGCTCACTGTGGCATGTATTGTACAAATTTAATGTAAGGTTAAAAACGTTGAATTTCCCAGTTGTTTTCTGTTTACATGGCACCAGTGAACTCATTTTAAAAATTGACTCTACATACTTCTTAAGAGGGACTAATAATTTATTTTCATATGTTGTTGCACTCTATTTATTTCCAAAGAAAAGCCACCTTTGAGATATATACCAAGGTTATGCGATACTCTTATTACGCGCTATATGGTTTCAGTAAGTGTGCCATGTGGTGAAAAATACCTTCAACCTGATATAATGCGTCCTTTATGTGGACGTACTTGTTGACATCTGTAGGATGCTGAATATTCCTTAGTTCTATTTCTAAAAGGTTGAACTCGTAGTGTCAATGACCTATTGTGTGTGAAAATACTCCCGTCACCAGGGACAACTCGATTAAGTGCTAAGATATTTGCTGGAAATTACGTATTCCTCATACAATAACCTGTTGCTACTTGTCATTTTAGGTAGAGAATAACTTCGGATTTTTTGTTCTTGGCAGGTGCCAGCTTTCTGTTATGTTGAATTTATGGGTCATAGAAAGTCGATCATTTACAAGCTGAAGGATTACGAGTTGGTATTAAATTGTTTAAGAAAGTTACGACTGCGATTGCACGAAATTCCGTATGTAACTCGTACAGCTATTGAAAAATCCTCTTACTATTCTTCTGGAGACCGTTGGACGGCTGATAGAGCACCTCATTTGTCAAACAACGAAATTGACGAATTGTTAAGTAAACTGCCAAAAGTGTTAAAGGATGCACTCCTACCATTTCAACTTGAAGGTGTAAGATTTGGTCTACAGCGTGGTGGAAGCTGTCTCATAGCAGATGAAATGGGACTGGGGAAAACTATCCAAGTAAGCTTCTCATGTTTCATCTTATGTTAATTTAGCTGCAATTACTTGTGATATCTTTGTTGTGGGGCATTGTACAGGTCTCCTTTTTGTTATCAACGATGAAAATTGTTTCTTTGTTTGGTTCAGCGTATCAAGACTCAAACTTAACTTTTAGTGAGGAAAATAGATAATTCACTGCTGTTCTCAGCTCGTTGGTGAACAGAAGCGATGCAATTTGTGTAGTATTTTATCTAATTGAACATCTTGGGGGGCCATTTGGTTAATGTTTGGTGGTGGTACTGAAAGGCTGTATCAATATTTCGATTTTTCTTGTCATGCTGGATGGGTTATACTTCAATGAATTCGATCTGAGTGGAATAGATGAAAGAAATATACAAAAGTCCGAAGATGATTCTTGATGTGAAGGGATCATTCGTTGTTTGACATTGATTTTGTTGTTGGTTTTCTGTAGTTTTGTGACACGTCACTAGAGACAGCCAGTGTCCTTAAGTTATTTAAACTCAAATTGCGACTGGTAGATGATCTCTTAGATATAAGGGTGGGAACTCACCGTCATGGAGCAATATACTTGAGAGCGAGACACTTGTCATGAATGTGTGACCTCAAAGCTATGTCTCGATTTCCCGTCCCCTTTTTTGACAATTATTCCGGTATATGATTTATTTAAAAGAAGTGAATATTTCTTCCACTTAGTGAGTATATTTTTTTATGAATTATCTCTCCCAAGTTTAAACTTGGTCTGATTAAAAAGTTAATTATTGCAGATTTAGTATATTAGAGCATTTATAAATTCACATTTCTAGGGTTGTATTTGATTAGACAGGTTTCGATTTCGAATAAGCAAAACCTAGCCCATCTACCATGATGTTCTATGCAGAAAAAGTGACTTTAAGACAACTAAAACATCACATTCATGTGTTGGTTGAGTTCCATTGCTTTGTCTTGGTGTTAATCTGTGACCTATGAGTATAAAAATTTTCAACTAACCTGTAATGATCTATGCGATTTTCAGGCAATCGCTATTGCATGTTGCTTTATGGATAAGGGCCCCATACTGATCATCTGTCCTGCTATACTGCGGTTTTCATGGGCTGAGGAGCTGGAACATTGGCTTCCGATCTGTTTACCATCTGATATCCATCTTGGTATTTTGGTTCGGTTCCCTATCTTTTTATCATTCAATTTTTCTGCTTCATAGTGCTTCTAACACGATTCCAATGTCTTGAACTCTTTAATTACTTAGTAGTGCTTACTCTTTAATTTTTTACTGACAGTCAACTATTGACTATTTACTTTTTGGAATCACGCTGTACTTGGCAGTGAATTTTATTTTCAGATGGGATGTCTATTGGCTATTTATTTGATTCTGATGTCAATGATAATTAATTTGGTTACGACAATAAAATGATGATTAGTAATTGACTGTCTTGTTCATGAGAACATGGTGATGACTGATTAATTTACCTATATCAAACACGATTATTCATTCCAATAAAAAATACTTAATTTTAAATTATTATAATGTCTGTTCGACAAATTGACATTAAATGACATTGTGAATCATGACCTTAAACAATAACTGCATTCCATTATGGCCTTCAACAAAATAATTTTGTCTATACCTGGATCATTTTGTAAGATGCCACTGAATATCAAGCTGAATCTTTAAAAAACAAATTCCCATCACATTGGCAGGAAACGAGCCACTTGTACAGTTTCTGAAGAAAAAAACATTTGCTAAAGTCTGAAGTACAATTTATCCAAGAAATCAAATTCATGAGGATGGTTACCCCCATGCCTAATTAAATATCTCTAAAAGATATGAACATCTCTGTGCATTAATTTTATCGTGACTTGTGCCTATTCGAACAGTCACATCATGCAGTCAATGCAGTTACTGCTATCTAGTAAACGGGGCTGGGCCATAATTTGATCAAAAAAGATACATTAAATGGAACTAAAACAGCTGAAGTATCTAGGTGGAAATCTCCTGGTTGGAGGTATTCTTCAGGTGATAAATGGTGTTTGTTTCTCGATATGTAGAGTGATATGGTTTCAACTCAAATATTCTTTCAGACAATATTGTGTTTTGGACCATTTCTTCATTACCATGATTATGTTAATAATTCATCTTTTTTCACTCGCTCTCCGTTTTCGTTTATTCTGTTTAATTCCTGTTTCACTTTCATGTATATGGCTGTCTTTGGACTCTCCTATATACTTCTTGGGTTTTGAGGGTGGATATTTATTTCTATTTACGAAGTTCCCAGGGTCCTCATTTCCTTCTCTCTTTGCAGTATTTGGTCATCTAGATAATATTGATCGTTTTTCGAAAATTCCGAAGTTCGTTGTTATATCATACACTATGCTGCAACGCCTTCGGAGGAGCATTCTGAGACATAAATGGGCGCTTATGATCGTTGATGAATCTCAAAATATCCGTTGCACCAAGAAAGCATCAGAATCTGAAGAGGTATAGACATACTTTCCACGGAAGATAATCAGAGGATGGTTTTTTCTGTCCATGGGGGTTTGCTATTATCGCTTTATCAAATTCCTAGATCCACCCTTCGTTTGAAATTTTCTGCTGTGATTTTATCTGTAGACTGTTATGTAATCTAAAAGTTGGATGCTATTTGCAAAGGGCCTAGCGTCAGAGGTAGGATTTAAGGATGCAAGAACTCCGTGGACTGATGCTTTCAGTGGGGTGGTGCTGCCATTGTCTATAGGGTTGGAAACCTGCTGATGTTGACAAGTTCACAATTAAACGAATTTTTTTGGGCAACTTGGGGGTTTGTTCTTCCTGCAGTTAAATGTTAAGAAGAGCTGTTTCTGATTGTCTGCGTTATCAAAATCAGATGCATTTTTTCCTCTAGTATTTCCTATGCATGATGCAGTTTTTCCTGGTGTTTCAAAGTGGGGGTAAACATAAAAACTTTCTAAGGCAACTGAAAGTGAATTGACAGATGCTAACCTAGATAGAATCTGTCGAGCATGTCAAGGTTAAGATGTATTCTAACTTTGGTTAGTATATGCAGATGAATAGAGTTTTAAGATATCATCTTTGAGACTTCACTTACGGGTTGAATATAGTGGTGACAGTATAGGATAATGTTTCATGGGCTTTTTAGCATCACACGCTTTTATAATCGGTATGTGGGGTTGTGTTTATGTACCTGTGAAGTAGATGTGGTAGGGGTACTGTCACTGAGGGGGAATATCCCTTGGCATATCAGTGGAAACGCTTGGACAAAACCATGCGAAGAGCCTGCAGGAGTGCCGAATTCTGTGCCATGAAGGGAGACTGTGAAGGAGAATCACAAGGTACCTTCTTGAAAGATAAGAACAACGGGCCACAGTTGGACTGGGAATGAAGGAGAGGTAAATGCTTTCATTGCTTGAGTGGAGAAGGTCAGAGGTGAGAAAGCGAATAATGAAGGGTACTATTAATGGTTGGATGGTGAAATAGGATGAACAGATAATTCTCTTTGGCTATGGTTGAGTGAGAATGGGATGTGACGTTATGGTATTTTCATGATGGGGAAGAAATGGTGGCCTTTACCACGAAATCCTGGACATTGGCAGGAGATACTTTTTCCCTCCCTTTTTTCACCTCTTTTTTTGTGTGACCTGTCCCCCACAAACCATAAAATAAATGCCTCTAGAGACTATACGATAATTTTGGTTGTAGGAATCCATATACGATCCATTATGAACTTCCTATCTTCTCTCTCCGAGCAATGATTACATCTGATGAACAGGTTCTCTGCTAGAAAAATTGTTATTATCTTCCTTCCTTTCTGTGTGCTTTTTGTTGGATGAAGAAAACAACGCATGCCATGGATTGACGACTCTAATTTTTGTATTTGACGAAGTATCTCAATCTCTGTTATTTTTTCAAGTCGTATTAAGTCCTTTTGGATAAATTTGAAACTTTTGGAGCTCAAGTTATTAGAATGAGAACATGCAAATTGTCCAAAAAAGTTGTTTGTGCTTCTAAGCTACTATAGAATGGTTTGAAGTGCAAACGAAGGTTTCTCACCAGAAGAGTTAAAAAATTCACCTTTTGAGAGATGATGCTAAGAACAAAGCATAAACAGATGTCACCTATGGAAATCGGAAATAGACTTTAGCATTTCTGATAAGATAGGCAAAACAACTGTCTTTCAAACTCAAGGAACAGTCAAGAGATTCTAGCAGCTGAAAAACAGAAAGTGTGTGCCAATTAAGCCTAATCACATGAGATTGTGAACGCAACGGCTTGACTACCAAAGTGAGCCTTTAGCGTTTTTGCAAAAACGGAACCTAGCATCCAAGTCGTCAAACAAATCAACTTCAGCATATGAAACATTCTTCAGTGAATATTGTAGCACATAATTGAATGAAAATTGCATAAGCTATACTTTCTCCCAATGGGACAGAAATAATAACAACTTAAACCAACGAAAATTTAAATAATATATTCAATGCAGATATGGGGCATAACGTTAGCAGGGGATCATGTGCCAACTTCTACCTAGATGTTACGTTGATTTGTTGTTGTCCTCATGGTGAATGGTCGCCATCCTCATCTGCTATGCCAATATTGGATTGATTTGTGGTCCCATGCTGCCGTTAGCCCTTGTTAATGCCAACTGAATTGAGTTTTCTCCTGCTTTCGGGGTTGAATAGTCCTATGTGCTGGCTGTTGTCCTCTTCCAATAAAGAGAAGTATCCAGGTTCCTATTTTTCATTCCTGAACGCTTTGGCAGCTTCAGTTCATGTTCAGAAAGGCTTCCAGCTTGTAGTTGTTGGGTTCGGATCCAAGAAGATCTCAAGCCCTTCGCAAATCCAATATTTTTGGGAAGAAGCTTTCTTCAACTCTTCAACCCATGAGGAAGCAGGAGGGCAATGAGGGCAGCATTGGACAGGGCATTCCAATTGGCCAGTATTGATCTGGATTCAGATCTTATTTGTTTTAGCCAACTGTAACAAAAGTTTTTATCAATTCTTGGTCAGCGAATTAAATACTGAAGTAAACGTTTATTTCTTAAAATTGCTAAATAATGAAGATTTAAAGTGATTGGAATAATAAAAAGGCAAACATCCATTCGCAGATGTTAAATTATATTAATTAGTTCATAAGCTTTGATTAGGTTAAAAACTTGGGCATCTGCGTCTGATTTTTCTCAGCCATGATTCGATCATAGGCCCAAATTGGGGTGAAATTTCAGGTCTTTTCATCTATTTTGCCGAATGTTTGGAATATCAATATGTTAGTTTATATCTTGTTCCTGGTAGTCACACTGTTCTCCTTGGAAATTGATTTGTTTTTTTTAATTGTTGTGCAAATCAGACAAAAGCTATTCTTGATTTGGCATCAAATACTGAGCGCATTGTACTACTCTCGGGAACTCCATCCTTGTCAAGGTTGTTTATAAGTGTAATCACACCCTTTCTCTTTACAATCTGTATAGTTGGATGTAAAAGTGTCATGTTGGAGTTTAAGTCCCTGTTATCTTTTAGTATTTCAGACATGATGCATTTTTTCTTAGTTGTTTATTAGTTAATTCTGATGATCTTTTGGGATTCTCCTAGGTAATCATAGGCCATATGACATCTTTCATCAGATAAACATTTTATGGTGAGTACACGTTGTCTCAAGTACTTCGAATTCATTCTTTCTCTAAGGAAGCATAGAATACCGACTGTCTTGTTTGTCAGTGTTCCGTTTTGGTCTCTAACATTTTCTCTTCTTCTTTACAAGGCCGAGTTTACTAGGAAAAGACAAGTATGAATTTGCAAACAATTATTGTTCATTAAGATTTGTTAAAGGCTCTCAGGGAAGGGTTTACAAGGTAATATGTGTTAAATCGATTTTGGTGTTTTATCGAATCATTTTTAGGTTCTCGGTGGATACATGTATGAAAAAATCTTCCCTTTCTTCATCAAGTATCTTCGGCATGTTTCCTAGTTCTCCAAAGATGTGCTTGATTACGTGAATGTGTTCTGCATTGAGCAGTAGCTTATTCCTGTATATTGATTTCAAATACTATCGTTACATGTCTCTCACTTTAGTAGAGTGTCATACCAACGCATATCAAGGTGCCTGAAGATGGCCTTTGAGATGCTTGATGTGCCTGATTACTAAAATACATCTTTTAAGTAGCCCTCTCAATTGAACAGAGAGGCAAGAGAGAGAACTGGTAGAATAGAGGATGCGGTAGAGAGACACTGGATAGGGACTGTGTGTGGAAGAGAAGGATGAGAGAGAATGCCAAAGATAGGAAGAGTGGGCACTGGAGAGACAGGATAGGGTGCAAAGGGAGGGAGATGAGGCGGAGGAGAGAGGAGAGAGACACGACGATGTGACACAAGCGAATATAATATGTGAAATAGAGAAAAAAGAGCAGGGTGAGAGATAAATGAATTTTGTTTGTGATCTTATGATTGATTTATGCTTGGTGACCCGTTGCATCACTGCATATGAATCAAAAGGAGATTGGGTGAAGTGAGAAGGACGAAATCAAAGGGCAACAAGTGATAGTGTGAGAGTAATGGCAGTGGGTACTGATTCCAGGGAGAAAATCATCACCTTTTATTTAGATGGTTTTTGTTGGAGAGGCAGTTTTTGGAAGCCTCCACTGATGATCAGGGGTAGGCCATCGATAGAGATTCAAAAAGGCAGCATGGTGTCTCCTCCAATAACCATATTTCGTTTGATGTTGTCTGTAAATCGGGAAGTTTCATGTAAAGCGGAATCAAAAGAACTGGGCCGGTGTATCATTCACCCATGTCTTTGAGTCATAGTTTAGTTGGAGTGGGAAATACATGCTTTGCCAGTTCTTTCCAGCATGTGGCCATATTTCGGGACAACTGGGGCTATGATTCTCGTGTTCTATCGCTCAACTACAACCTCCCTAGTTCTAGAGTAACGTTGACATGCTTTAGCAGGTCCTCCATCACTATCACATTGAGGCATCTTATTGAAAAATTCCAGGTTAATATCCAAAAGATTCAATCCTCTTTTAAGTGGCTACATTGTGATGTACACTGAGTTTGCATCCCTGAAAACCTAAGGACCAGCGATGTCTCAACACTAAAAATTAGTCACAATTTCTCGTTCATAGGGATCAAATTGTGTTGGGAGTATTTACCAACTTCTTGGTTGTTGATAAGTCTACCCACTTTCTGACCTCATCTAGTTTACATGCTCGGGTTTATGTTTTTCTCTCTGCTGCCCCATTGTCTTCCCCTCCGGTACAACTTTCCATCCTCTTTTTCATTCTCAAGATGAAATTTTTGTAATGTCTCTTCTTTATCCTTTAAGATTACGTATTTTAAAACAAGCATGCATTAGGAATTTTCATGTAACCTGATGGAAACCACATTGTAATTGAATATAATTCTAATGACCTTTCTCCGTTCAATTGAGTGCATTAAATACAGTTTCATTTCAGTTATCATGTCTGATTCCAGTTATTCTGTCTGATTATTTGATTCGACATTTGAATATTTAGTCTCTGAATCTGAGATCAAGTTGATGTTCATCTTTCCAGGATTTTTCAAGTGGCATTCGGTTGGAGGAGTTAAATATACTGCTCAAGCAAACTGTAATGGTATGTTTTTGTTGTCTCATTAGCATGCTAGACAGCCATGTCATTGTTGATTATATTATTTGATTAGCACTCTGTTCCACACGCGTATCAAAGCGTTGCCTTTCACGTGCCCTCCCAAGTAGTTATTTTTCAGGTTGATACTGAAAGTGGACTTGCACACCTCAAGATATTGTAGGTTTTACTATAAAGTTTTTCTGTATTTTTGTCCATTGTTACAAATAGGAGAACGGGGAAAGTTGCCTCTACTCATCCATAGCCTCTACTAGTCTGTTTGTTAACCTATTGCCCTGTTGGTCCTAGACAGATTGCTGTTGCCTGTATATGTTTCTTCCACCTATGACATTTAGCTGTGTCATGAGGTCCCTCAGTGGAACCATAAATTAGCTCCTTAAAGCACCACAGCCCCAGATACCGTTGCAATGGGTGACCCATTGTCCCTTGGATCAGGGTTTTATCCATCAATACAGTGACATCTTATGAGATTTGTATTATGCCTCACTCTGTCTCATGCCTTGAACTTTCATTTTTGAGTTTATCTACTAATTGAAAATATGAATTGAGGAGAATGTAATGGCTGAGGAAAGGCCTCTCCTTTCTGGTAAGCCATCTATCTTCACTCACTTACCCCCAACATGTTTTCCTGCTCGCATAAAGGACGGACCAAGTTAAATTGTAGCCAGAAGATCAGGAAACAAGTGAGACTAGCTAGTTCTACAGACTGCGAATTAAAACCAGTTAGAGCTGGAGTGCTGTCAGACTTCAAACCGCATCTGGAATTGGCCATGTCTGAATTTGCATTTTTACATCTGCAACTTCAGCACTGAAATTTGTCAAATATTTCACATGCGAAAGCATGCATTATACAAATTCGGGGCCATTACTTGATTCCAAAGGAGATACACTGTCGTGAGTTTTTTAAAGTATTTGGCAAATGGAAAGATAGCGAGGGTGGATTGGACTTCAATGTCCTATTCAATCATGAAAATAGTTGCGTAGAGAGGTATTTTCTCTGCTGAGAATTTTCACTTGGGACATTCCAATGTTGGAAGATAGTCGATCATAAAGCTGTTGTCATTATCTTTTTCTTCAAAAACTGAAAGCTTTACTGTTTTTGTTCTTAAAAGTTTTTATTAGTAATAGAATGATCTTTCTTAACTGTGCAAAATAATGTAAAATATCCTCCAAGTTGCCTAGTGAAGTTTCCTTGCCTTTGTTTTCTGAATTAGGACAGAGAATCGTCTTTTGATAATAATTGTTCATTTAAAAATAAATTTTCTTCTCTGATTTTGTATGACAGATAAGGCGTTTAAAGGAACATGTGTTGACACAGCTACCACCTAAGCGGCGTCAAGTCATAAGGTTAATGCTGAAAAGGCCAGACATTCTCTCGGCTGTGGTTGCATGTAGGACCAGTGACAATGCTCGAATGAACAGTGATGGATGTTTTGAATCAGAATGGAACTATGGCACTAAAAGTGATGGTGGTGGTGGTGATGATGATGATGGTGATGATAATAGCATTGATGATGATGGTGATGATGATGAGGATGAGGATGATGATGACAATGATAATGAAGATAAACTCAATAAACTCAATAAATACAGTGGTGTGAACTTTTACATTCTCTTATAGATTACAGTTCATATTGGTTTTCATTTGTTTCAGTGAATGGTCTGAAAATTAGTTATCTTGTTCACATTCAACATCTCAGATTCAAATTGAAATATTCTTTTCATGCATTATACAAACGTTGATGCTAGAAACTCCAAAAAAGGCGAGTTTAATCCAGAATGTTGATCTGACTTGTGCGTTCTAAGTTTAATCTTTTTCTCGTGATGAACATGCGGGTACTAAAACTTGAGTATAGTCAGAGGACTCAGCTTGATTCACTAATTGAAGTAACGTTCAAATTGCTGTGAACATCTTGGCCTTTATACATATCTTGTTGACAAAAAAACTGTTGGTCATTAGTCATAACAGCTTCTCCTCTCCCAACAACTAAAAAAAGGTATCGAAAAAAAGGAGAGGAAGACTGCAACAAGGGGGACATAGGCAGATAAAAAACTGGGTACAGCCCCCATATCTCTTTATCGAATAAAACCAAGTTATAGATAACGAACATTCCTAAATGCCATCGTCTTCTTTGCTAGGTGAATTCCAAGGTGACATTCAAGAAATGTTCTCAAAAAGAATTGAGGCCTGAAAATAATTCAAGTAATCTACATGCTTTGTAGATTACTTTGAACGAAGAACTTTCCAAGTGGGTCAGCAGACCTTCATGTTTAGCCTTGTGCCTGTTTCATTGGAAGAGTTCCATTATTTTTTATGTCAAATACCTCATCTGGTAGTTGGTAATCGGAGCCTGGCTAGAGTTGAAACAGTGTGGTTCCAGGGTTCCAAGGCAACCCTTGCAGCAAGCCACTGTCAAGAATATCCGCCTTGCAGATGACTATTGTTTTCATCTGGTTTGTTGCTCCTGTCTTGGATTGTTTGTTTTTGACAACTTTTTATTCCTGCCTTGACCTTTCTATCACACTATTTGTACTCCTTCTAAAGCAGTGCTATGGGTTGTTGTCAAGGGATCAAAGTCGTACAAGGTATTTCTTCGTGGTGATAGCCTTGTCCTTGACTCGCTCCAATGCCAGGCAGTTCTCAAACATGTTGGAACAGCACACAAGATGCCTTAGTGGGATGTTTCACTAAGGCATCTTGACTGGGAGAGAACTCAGTGAAGGAATCCTGAACATATTTTCTCCAACATCCTTGACCCTCGAATCTCCTACCCCATTTTCACAAGTTCTCTAATCCACCATTCCTATAGAATCAACTCGGTAAGCCCATGCTGTAACCATTCCACATTCTTTTGACATATACAAGGATTTGGACTCTCGTCCATATGATCTGCACTACTTTACCTTTGCTAGGTCCATTTGCACAATCTGCCGCTAATCGTGTGCGCACTTGCCGTAATTAATGTCTGCCTGATCGTGCAATTAACTTTGTGCATACCGCTGTCACATTCTATGGAGTCTGCTGGTGCCTGATGCAGACATCAAACCGCGCAAAGCCTGGGAGCCGGTAATGGCCTGCTGCATGTCGGTGCAGTTAGGCCGTTGTTGCACATTGTTGGCCCCCCTGCACATGTCACTTGTGCACTAGCACACTTGAACCTCATTTATTGATACTGCCTGCTGAGTTGCACAGCCCCCAGGCCTACATGTTGCAATGCATACTGTGGCATGTGCTATCACACAATGTCCTGTGCCACAGTGCAAATTTTGCATGTGCTGTGCTGTGCCTTGTCATGTGCCTCGGCCTTAAGTTTCATTGCTTGTCTCCTCTTTTTACTGATTAGGCCCACTCTCTTGGCCCAACTATGTCCGTTTTCTCTAGCCCAATAGTGTAAGTATATTGGATCTAGCTTGGAGGCAGCGTGTGACCAAGACTGCTCTCCACCATGCACTTCTCAGACCCAGGGTTTCTGTGGTCCTCTTCTTTTTCCTCTTCCTCTGAATTCTATCTACCGCATTTTATTTAGCACACCACAGTGGTGTACAGCTGAAGATTTTCCACTTGAATTGATGTCCTTTTTGCATGTTTTTTTTTTTTTGGGATTTTTATTTGAACCTTTAAAGTTAGCTGTCTGAATCCACTGTTCAATGTTAAATTTTATTTGTTATTCTGTTTTTTCTCTTCTTAAATAAGAGTGTTTATTCAATATAATACAGAGAGAATGTACTTCTATGTTTTTTATGCAGATGGATGATCTATATTTCTGGGATTCACTTCAGGATTTGATTTTTCAGACATTGCATGACTGTGCTTAATATAAGTTGTTAGATTTAGCTAAAGATTAGTCACCTCTGCTTTATTTCAGATGAGAAGTTCTTTAAGAATCCCACGATTCTATCATATCAAGAGATTGGCATAGCAAAACTCTCAGGTTTTTGTGAATGGTTTTCGAGTCATTTCATGGTTGAGAGTGGTGTGACTGCAAGTTGCTCGGATACAGATCTTGCTTCTCAGAAGATTGTAATTTTCGCACATCATATAAAGGTGCTGGATGGAATACAGGTTGCTAATTTTTTTTGTGAGCTTATTTTTTATTGTTTAATTTTCTTTTGATAAGCATTTAGGGTATGTTGGGAGTAAGTATACATACTCACTAGTGTGCTCCGCAGATGCAGACAAACTCTGCATTTCGGTTCAGAAAATGGACATGGCTTAGTATTAAGCAAGTAGAAATTTTGTTTAATGACAAATATGAACTAAAGGCGTCCTATGCTTTTCTGTTTTCTTCTTTTTTTTTTTTCTTTAACTACGTTGTCTCAAACTTTCAGGATTTTATCTGTGAGAAAGGGATCCAGTTTATTCGTATTGATGGAACAACCATTCCTAGAGATAGGAAGATAGCCGTTGAAACCTTTCGTTTGACAAAAGAGGTCATTTTTTGCCTTATTTTTGTCACCTTATTGTAAAGTGCTTGAGCATTCTTGTTCTTTTCGTTGAAGGAAACAATGTTCTGATGAGCAAAAGATTTGAAGGGCTTTTCTCCATGTACTGTTCATATCTTGGCATTCATAATGTTAAGATGGACACATGCGGTTGCAAATGGGAAGCAAAGGTTTTTAGTTTATGTTTAACGTAGTAATTATGTTACTGTGATGTCTTTTATTCAGGTCACGGTAGCACTAATTGGTATTACTGCTGGAGGTGTTGGACTAAACTTCTCAGCTGCACAAAATGTTGTGTTCTTGGAATTACCTAGGTCTGCATCCGAAATGCTTCAAGTAAGCGTGTTTTCTCTTGTAGCTTGCCATTGTGTATGCAAAAATGGAAGTTGCATTGATTTGCTAGTATAAACTCCTTGCGTGTATACAATTTAGCAACCCTGGAAGGTTTTACTCTCAAAGGTAGAAAACAGATCAGTCAATTTGAATGTAGCAAATAGCTTCTGAGAAAAAGTTTCACTGACCCTCTAAAATATGGTGATCCAGGGTTGTAGTTTCTTTTTCTCAACATTTTAAAATCTTGGGTATTCTTCCTTCAGGCTTTGATTGATCTTTCCTATTAGAACGGCTCACTACATGTTACATAGGATAACCCAGGATTTCTGCATGCCTCAGGTCCTTTTTCTTCTGACATTGTGTCTAATAGGCTTCCTTTTTATTTTCTAATCTTAATTGAATTTCTTTTGGATTGCTAGATGCGTCTGCGAGGTATGTCTGTCGGTATAAATTTGATAAGAGGGAAAGTCATGGATCTGTTGTGAAATCTCCATAGCTCTAGGACAATTAGACGGCCTATATTTTTTTCTGTCGTATATGGACACAATGGGTCGTTTGAGTAATCAAGTCTGCACATTTTGGCCTCTCCTTTAGCATGGCCGACTGATGCGACCTGATAAGAGGGAAAGTCATGGATCTGTTGTGAAATCTCCATAGCTCTAGGACAATTAGACGGCCTAGATTTTTTCTGTCGTATATGGACACAATGGGCCGTTTGAGTAATCAAGTCTGCATATTTTGTCCTCTCCTTGAGCATGGCCGACTAATGTTTATGAGAATGCAAATATTTTATTACCCGAAAATGTTTTCTATCGCTTAATATGGCTGTTTCTTGGATGGGAAATACTGTTTTACCTCTTTTTGTCGCCATGAAGTCCGTAATGCAAGACACAGACCTCTATGCAGTCGCCTGGTTCTGAGGTAGATTTTAGTCCGGAGTTTCTTAATCTATTCTTTCCCATAAAAAGTGACCAAAGGCGTAAATCCAAAAGCGGCAGGAGTATGGTGCAATGAAAGGGTGACAACAGAGATCCTTGCTATGCACAGGAAAACTATGTTAGTGTCTTTTTACGCCATGGAGCATTCACTTGCTTGCTGACGGATGACATAGGAACCAAGATTTGATATGTATTCAGTTTTTTCTACTGAAGTCCTTTCTGCGTTTCCTCATTTTTGGCTAAGCCTTTAATTGTCTTCTTTTCTAAGGCTGAAGACAGAGCTCATAGGCATGGACAAAAAAATGCGGTTAACATTTACATTTTTTGTGCAAAGGTTGTTTCCTTATCTCGATGAAGGTCTCTCTGGAGTTCATTTATGGTTTGAAAATTTCCACGGTTTCACATCATGTTAAATTTTTCAGGGTACCTTAGATGAATTACATTGGCTGCATCTGAATAAGAGCTTGTACCGTGTTTCTTCAATGATGAATGGAAAATCTAATGCCATAAAAGAGATAGAGGTAATTGATCGATCTACCTGTTCTTGCTAACTTTTTACTGTCGCGCAGTTAGCTGTTAAGTTGGGAAAGTTACTGCTATTTCATGTGAAACAGCAATCATGCTTGTGTGGGAAGCTAGATCTTCAGGTTTTTTTCTTTATCATTGGTTTCAATGTGCTTCACGGTATCAACTACACATTCCCTAATTTTATTGCTCAGCCCTTCCGTGAACCTCTTTCTAATTGTCCTTATAATCTCATTGCAGCATTTCCCAGCCAGCATTACAAAATTATTTTTATTATCTTGTTTATGTGCTCTTGTTTAATTATATAATTTCCCAAAAATGTTTAGCTTTTAAATTTCATCTTTGGTTTGATAAACTAGTCCTTGGCACCGGAGGTTTGCGAGTCTGTTTTCTATGTTATCTAAAGGCTCCAGATTACGCCAACTGAGTCCCTGACACGTTTTCGATCCGAAATACATTCGTCATCTGTATAGTAGACAAGAAAATGTTACCCTTGCTTCAGGCCACGAAATCGTGGGCCTGCATGATTTGTGATGCAAAATTTCTGACGAAGCTAATTGCATACAGTGTGAATTACATAGCTGTTCGGATGTGCTTTATGGATGGTCTCAAATTTGGATGTGTTTATTTTTTGCCTTGAAGATGCAGTTTTCGCTCGTCATTTTAGTGGCCATTTTATCCCTTTGTAAAGCGATTTCTGTAATCATTTGGTTTTACAGGTCGACAGTGTTCTTCATCTTCGCTATCAAGGAGAGAATCCCTACATAGTACATCCAGAAAGCTCTTCCGATGTTATTGTAGAAACTGGAACATCAGGTCTATACCTTTTGAAGCACATGAATATTAGTAATCGATACTTGCTCCACAAGATACATTATTTTTGTCAGATTTAATCTGTGTTTGATGACGTTTTCCATCGGTAGTTGAATGGAGAATTCAGGACAATGGCAAAGACAAAGGGAAATGCATATGTGGTCAGTCAACAGAAACTAATACGAGTTCTGTTCCAATGGCTATGTGCAAGTTTGCGGTGCCTGTCTAGCCTTTCTACAGTTGGTCTTTATTCACAGTTTGGTGGTTTTTATTGTTACTCCGTGTGGCATGAACTAAGGTCCTGGGTTTTCCCTCACTTTTTTAAACAGGTTGAAACAATCAATGGCCTAGGAGGGTGTTCTAGCTCATCTGGTTGTGTAGAGTCTAATGCTCTGAACTCTACAGAAAACATAAATTCTGGTTCTTATTGGATGACTAAATTGGATGGCGAAAAGGGGAAACATGGTTCATCAGGTGACAGCTTGTGATATATCTCTATTTTAAATTTGATCTGGTTTCTTTCCAAACATATTCATAACTGAAAGAATGGTGAGTGACAAAGATGTGTTATGATGATAAAGGAATTGACGCCATTGACGCTGAGCAGAGTAAAGCTGACTCGAGTTTTAGATCTCCAGAAGATTCCCTGCGGCTTGAGGTAGCTGTATCGTGTCCATTTCTTTGTTTATTCATCCGACTGTGATATTTGATGATTCTGGTTACTCAGTTTGAAGAGAAATGTCCAGAAACTCGTTTCTTAGGATACCTGGTAATAGCTCATAGTATCTACAGTAATTTTCCTGCTATTTTTTCTCATCGAAAATAAAATGCCTCTATTTATCGCCTAGAAGATAATGCCACCATTTCTAGTTACAACTTTAGGGCAGGAGGCATCATACCCGATCATGCAAGGAGAGGGGGGTGCACTAGATGGGAAGGGAGAAGGAAGGGCAGCAAGGAGGTGCTCACTGGAGGAAGAAAAATGAGGGGTGTTGCTAGAAGAAGGGAAAGAAAAGGGGCAGTGGCAGGGGAAGGCAAAAGAAGTGATGAAGGATGCAACCAGAGGCGGGGTAACTGGACGTGGTTGTGGATCTCACTTTGCTGGGGGAGCATATGGTGAGAAGATGATGTTTGCAAAGAGAGAAAGAGGCTTGTTGGGAGGGAAATTCTGGTGAATAGCCGGAGTGGCATTTGTTGTGGGGGATGTAGCTGGCAACGTCAGGGGACATATGGTGGGAGGGTGTCACTTGTGAAGGGGGAAAAAGGGTGCATAGTGGAAGTGCGTAACCAAGATATAGGGGAATGGGTGTGCTGGAAGATTACCACTGAGGAATGTGGTCGGAGGATGACACTGGCATGGTGCAAGGAATGTGTAGTCGGACAAGGAGAGAGAAAATAAGCAATGGGAGTCAGAGCTGGACACCATCAAGGGTTGGATGCAACCCACCCCCTGATAGTTTCTAAGCTGTGCCTATTTTTCTATCTAGGATGGATTTTGGGGCCAAAGTCTCAGAAGAATCTTCGCTGATCTTTGTGCTTATTCGGTCCGCAAACACTTAATTTCAGTGTATATAAAAAAATGTACTTCAAAAAGCTTTTCATGCGTCCATTTCGACTTTTCTTGTCTGTTTGAATAAGGCTCATCTCCAAACGGAAAATCCAAGCTGATTTGGTTCGTAGTGCCAGAGTTCTTTCTAGAATGATCTCTTCATGCTTTTATGCTTTACGTTATGGATAGTTACTCATGTACACAAGAAAATGTCATAAATATCCATTTTCTAATGGAACGTTCTCTTCCCTTTATTGGATCCCAATGCACACAAATTTTAAGTTGTCACGTAGTTCCACTGGTTCCTTCTTAATTGCAGATAATTCGGTTCGTAGCATGGAGGGTTTCATTTAATATTTTTGTTATCTTCATTAACTAGGATGCTATTAAACTCACGAAATTCATGGTATTTCATCTGTCAAAGACCTGCCTCTCATTCTTTACTGCTCAACATCAGTTACATTTTTTAGTGGCGAAAGTAGAAGATGAACAATTGATTCCTTATTTTGGAGAATCATGCTGTCAATAGATCAATTGACATGCAGTATTATTGATATTTTTCCCTTGCAGGAACGTATACCCACTTGTGATATGTATCCTAACGATGACCTGTCAACCTCTGCTTTTTCTCTCTCTATGCTTCATTTGCTCCTTGTAATTTTTCGTCTTTAGAACATAGTGAAATAAGCAGATCAGCTGATCGTTTTCGTATTCTTCTTGTCCAGGTAAGTGGGTACACTGGTCGTATCCACTTGTATGTCTGTGTCTCCGGGGTGGACTTGAGACCAAAACCGCTTTATGTAAATTTTCGTCCAGAGGAACTGGACTCGGAATTTTCACCTCTTGATAATAAGAATGGAGAAGGTCATCTTGTTAAAGGAAATCCTGCATACTGGGAGGTCTTGAAGACCTTCAGGAAGGAGTGGAATGGTCTAAGACCTGTTGACCAAAAGAATTTGCTGGGAAAGCCTCTACAGCTTCCTCTACTCCTAGAGCTTTGCTACTTGAAGGAAAGCGTCAATCACGGGAGAGGGGTATGGATCTTTAGAAAAGTTGCTTGTTCTTTGAGATTTTCATTATGTCGCGTGCTATCTGTCTTACAGTGTTTATTGAATCTCATTGCCATCTTTATCCAGACAAGAACAAAATTACGACTCACTTTCTACCAAAAAAGTTCCATTGAATGATGAAAGACCCTTCATCTCCTCGGTAACCATGATGGTTGATCCTATGAACTTAGAGAGAGAGAGAGAGAGAGGCAGAAAGGAAAATTCGCTGTGTATACTTCTTTTTTAAATGATCAGTTATAAATGTTGAAATTACTCCTATATCTTTCTGCTAAGTATTCTGGTGCTGGGGTGAGCGAATATGCTGGCTTATACAATGGTTTCTTTTTGAGGGTCATAGACAATAGAATAATCTACTGTTCATTCCCTTTATTTTTGTTGACAAGAAAATTATCAAGCTCTTCTCATTACATTTTTAATATTTAAATATTTTTCCTGTTTGAACTATAACTGCAGCTGAGATGTGCTAAAAATGATATTTTCACTCAAACGATAGTTTATCAGGCCATCGTCTTCTAAATCCCAACTATTCAGCAATAGCAGGAATGAGTTATTTTGTATATAGTCTTTCCTTGGAACTTCACAAGACATGCCGTAGGATTAAACGCTATATAAATTTATTTGAAGTTTCTCACAGACATTGTTTCTTATGAGGATTTATACCTAACCCAAATTAGAGCTTTATTTTTTCTACTAACTCAGAAACGAGTGAAAATACGAGAAAACCTTAATTTTTTCTATTGTCAATGCAACGTTAAGTGATATTTTGAGAATTAACCTGTAAATTGTCAGGGATTGCTGAGAGGTGGAAGTAAAAGAAGATTAACCCCTTTCACTGAGATAAGTCATTGCTTACCAGAACATGGTGTTTGGAAAAAGATCACTCTCCAGAGGGGTCCTAGGAGGAAGAAAGTATACTTTCAAGCTTGGATGAACAATGTGCCTCTTTGTAAACTCTGTCAATCACCATGCAGGTTTGTTTTGTGATGCTGATCAGGACAGTTGCCTGTTCTCTGCTGCACATTGATGATCCATCTTTTTCAGTGGCAGGCTTGCACAGCAGCCGGAGTTTTTTGAGGATTTGTTCTGCGACTTGAGTTGCTTTCAAGAATATCGTACAAGAACCAGTCAAAGATTTCTTCGTGAGGTTCTCTTTCTTACATGATTTTCATTTTCTACTTCCGATACTTTATGCCAGAAGAAGGCATTAGCTGATTAAATTTTGTTTGATCCACTTACTCGATTTTCTTCTTGATTTCACGAACCACATTCAATTAACGATCTCAAATTTCAGGCTCTTTTTCAAATAGAACACGGTATATGTACAGTTTGCAAGTTAGACTGCCACAGACTTGTGGAACGTATAAGACCACTATCCACCGAAAGACGACGTAAATACATTTCGCAGGTGGCCCCGCAGGTGGCTAACAAAAGAAAGTTGTGAGTCTCCCTTAATCATTCCATCCTCTGTCTACAAGAAAACTAAACTTGTTGTTCCGTTTAATTATCCAGCACTGTGTCCCTATTTATTTTTATAAATTCGGTTGATTCTTGGACTAAAATTATCTGATGGTCATTGTTTTAGTGCTTTTATTGGTCCCATACCAATTTGTTCGGCTTGTACTCTTATTTCGTTTCTGTTACTTTCTTTTTACAGCTTTCTGAATAATTTTCTGTCACACGATGGCTGTAATGCATAAAATAAACATTTCTTAACTAATAATGACAATCACTTCCAACGAAAAGCTTCCCGGCCATGGTGAAGTACAAGTTATCTCTGATTCTATGTAAACTGTTCAGAGCATGATGTTTATTCAACGTATTGCAGGCTCGAGAAACTAGCCAATGATCCGACCGAGGGCAATGCTTGGCATGCAGACCACATAGTTCCCGTATACAAAGGCGGAGGTTCGAAATTCGTTCACAGTTTGAACAAAGTTAATCAATGAAACTTTCATTGATTAACCTTATATTGCGCCGGATTTTCGGTCACTTAATCATGAAGCTTTCGCAGGAGAATGCAGACTCGAGAATATGAGGACACTATGTGTAGCATGTCATTCAGACGTTACTGCTGCTCAACAGGTGGAGCGACGTTTGATGCAAACAAGAGCAAAGGAACGACTTCGAATTGTCATGAATGAGCTCCGAGGGAACAAAATTGCCAACCTCAAAGATGTAAGTGTGGACCCTTCAGTAATTTTAACAAGTATGGTCCAGAAAAACGGTTTTATAACTATATAGGAAAACCTTCACTAATTTTCCTGCAGGATGTCGGTAGAAATGCCCACATTTAAACTAGATACTTTATTTTTTACTAAAAAAGGCAATTCACACTGGTAAATTTAAGTAAAGGCCAAATGGTTGGCACTTAACATTGGCCTCACTTTCACCTATTTATTAGTTTTCCTGTTTCCTATGGCTTTTCTCTTTGACCTTTTTTTTGCCCCCAAAGGCAAATATTGGTTCACCAAACTCCAAGGTGACCTTCTCTGATTTAAGCTGGAATTTTTCAGCCCTATACTTTTGCCCATTCTTTTCTGATTAACTATGTCCTAGGTGACCTTCTCTAACGTGGAATGCTCTAAGCTTTAATCCCCCACGTTTTCTTGATTTGCATGTAATCTTTCAGGTTGAGCAATTAGACGATGGAAAGGGTAACGAGGAAGAAGAGCTCTTTGTAAAGGTCCCTGGTAGTGCCTACTTCGTTCAAGATGACAGCCAAGCACCATAATAAGTTCGAGAGTGGTGTGGTATCTCACTAGCTTCTCCGAAATGTTTAGGTCTGTTAGTTAGCATATCTTGCGTAGACCTGTAAATACATTCATATTTTAACGAATGCAAATCTCTCACAACCTCGTATACGAAAATGGCCTATGAAATGCAAGTTCACAAAATTTGGTCATGCTATTTCGTTGATAAACTCAAGTTGATTGTTCATATGACCTGTGTTGTGTGGGCATCTGCTTCTCATCGCGCCATTATCAGGTGACATCCTGCTGTTACATGAGATAGCTTTCACAAAGATCCACCACCCATTACAGAGAACAAAGGTGCCAAAAATCATGCTACTTTCCCTTGACGAATACAAGCTCAATAGATGGAGATCACCTTTTTTGTTGAGGCTTTTAGCGATCGCCTGACACAAGAAAAGGTGGTGCCGAATCGCCTGCGCTGGAGAGTTGAATCCTAGGTAGTTCTGCATAATTTTCCTAGTCCGGAAGTTTACGAGACAAGTGAAGCCACCTACACGTGAACAGTCTATCTACCTTACCCTTCCTATTTGTTTGTCCTGTCAGATAGAAATAAAATGAGACCAACCCCTTCTTGACCACTTGAGGAGGTGGGGTGAAGGGGAGGTTTTCTGAGGTTTTCTGGTGTACTCATAGATGGTATAAGGTGATCCCTCTCTAGAACTTCAAGAAGTACATTGCAGTTGTCAAACTCTTCCCCAAAGGATTCCGCTCTCAGTGGCCATACCATATAATCTTGTTTATGTTCCTGCTCAAATCTATGAATATGAAACTGAGCCCCTAAACACTCAGTTTTAAATGTTTGAAGTTTCATTCAACTAATGGCTTGATTTTTCAGGTGCTCAACTTACGCTCATGTCTGCTGCTGTTGAGCCAGGAGCAGTAGGGCGACATCATTCAGTGAAAAGTCAACAAATTTAACGAACTATGTATAGAAATTCTGGTGAAGGATTCAAGGGAAGACTCCTGACAGGCCATCTTGAATCCAAGATCCTTCACCTCCAAAGAGATCTTCTCCAGCTGCGAGGTTTCCACCTGCTGCTTTCTTAATTGTGGACAGGATCGCTTCTTGAAAAATATGGACAAAATATTCCTGATGGTATCAAGTTCATATCTCTGTGGCCAGTAGCATCAGTTCAAGCTGGTTCTTTCGGAATCCCAGCTAGAAAGAATTCCTCTGCCTTGTCTATTAAGACGCTGGGAAGTCTACTGTGCAACATGAAAGAAGAAGCCACACCCGAAGCTGGTAGGTTGTGCTTGAGAGCCCAATCGTCGCATGTTCTTAGCTTACCATCTCTGTGGTTTTTAACTCTACTGATTTTCACATTGCTACCAGAGACAACTCTTCCGGCCATAGCTTGGGCGCCCCTCCCGTTGGTGCGCGAGGGAAAGTCTCCTGAAGGCCTTTTATATTCTACAGCTATCTGGTTGCCACGAACTGGAACATCAGACAGTTGAGAATCCAGCATCAATGAAGTGGGTCTGCAGCGTTGTAGCTCTTGTCTGCAAGACCGGAGCAATGTGAGCAGCATCTCCATACTTAGTTCCTGCTGCACCACATCTCTATTCTGCTCACATCCATAGCAAGCGGCCACAAGCGTGCCGGCCAATATAGGCGTCAACTCTGGGTCACTGAAGAACACAAATGGCAAATCGCAGACCTGTTCTCAACCAGAAGCCAAATTAGGTTTTGCAAACAACTGCAAAAGTCAAAGAGGGTAAAAACTGTACAGACGTGGTCAGCTTACCTTGTGTAGGATTGTTGGATTCTTGCCCCAGCGAAGAACTTCTTGATTTCCTGGATGGAACAGAGCAAAGTAGCCAAGAAGAAGAAGAGACTCGAGAAGTAGAAAGCCCACCTGTTAAAAAAAAAGGGGAAAAAAAAAAAACTTGAAGCCGGAGTTTCCTAAAGGTCAATGGCCAAAATCATGGCCATTTATAGGAAAATGCTTCTCTAGTATGGTCAGAGGTATGGGATCATCACTATCCTATTGTATCCACTAAATATTAGCACCAAAATCAACGGGAAAACCCAGAAAATGTTGTGATAATAAGAGCAAAGTATCAAATCAGCAAAATTTACAGTGGCAGGTCACCTGATCGTTAGCTCCTTTCCATTTGCTATTGCAATGAGAGAGAAGAAAACTCATCAAGTGGAAGAATTCCATCTGTAGATCAGGCCTAGCCTGCGCATATTAATGAAGTATTGAATGAATGGAGAAATAATCCATAGCATGTAATGAAATGAGACAGCTAGTGCCAGAAAAAAACATCAAATGATATGAGACAGTTGAGAATTTCTCCTCCCTGCAAAGCTTTAAAAAAAAAAAAAAAAAAAAACGAATAATGGAGGCTTACTAGCATATTCTGCAGAAGAGTAATATCGAGGAGAGCAATATTGTTCAAGACCTTCAAGACACCGGTTGCCACTTCTTCGAAATTACACGGAAGAGCATATGCAGTCTGGAAAAATATACGGTATCAAACAATCAAAGAACAACAGTGCCACCAGAGGTAGACTACAGAAAAATAGCATGCAGAATTACAAGAGAAATAGACACTAATCGTCAGAAGCGCCAGAACTGCAGCAAATCTAGCTCTTCACGGACAAGATTAATGTAATATCTCTAGATGTTCAGTCTTTAAGTTAATAAGTATGCGTTTAGCAGAGAAGATCAAAGGAATTTGGAGTCAAAAGATCCACACATTTTACCCAGATTAAAAGAATTCGCACCAGATCATAGAGAAATCTGCACCAAAAAAAAAAAAGAAATATTGGGCAATTGTCAAGTGATCCCATTGGTCAACAGGACGATTAGAATTTTATCATTTGTATTAATAATGGATAAGCAAGTGCAGAAAACATGGGACTGACCATACACAGGACAAATGATCCGCTACAAGGTAATGTAGTGATTACAACAAACCTTCTACAAGGTAACCTTTTCAACATTTGGTCACCAACATTGAGGAACCCAAAACATTCCCTTTATTCCACAAAGCATCTACATGGTCTTCTTCTTGGTTCTATTACAAATGTATTATGACGACCCATTGTAGTCAAAATCCGGGAGATTATTTCGCTGAAATCTAAGCTTCACATCAAGCCCTGTTCCAAGTGCCGATCGTGGTGTTTCTAGATGGAGCAGAGAACTTGGAGTTCACTGGTCTAAGAAAGTCTGGACTCGTCGTTTTAGCTTCATGGACGATACATGGGCGAAGACAAGAGTGGGTCTTTAGCATATGATATTGGGCCTAGAAAAATATGATACATAGTTTCAGAATATGTTTAAATAGGGGATAAATGATAAGCAAGGTGTGTCGGGGGCATACTAACATTTTCCTCTGGACACCCCAAGTTTTGAAATTCCCTCGCATCATAAATAATTGTGTTAAGATGCCTTTTGGGATTTTGTGGTTCTTTCACACTGACTAATCAACCATCTTTGAACGATCAAACCATCAAGACATAAGATTTTGGCTCAGGTACTACTGTTATTAGTAGTCTACAGAATAGGGTACATATCACCGACTGGTTTAAGAAGATTCATTACTTACTAGGAATGTCTTCATGTCCCAAAAACATGGTGTTATCATATTCAGAAAACTCATCCATAAACAGTGTGATTTAAGATTAAAAAAAAATTAGGCCAGCATCAGATAGCTCGCGTTTTAGGAAAACAGACTTCTGAGTTCTCTATCGTGAATTAATGTAATTCAATAAATATGTATCACAAGTACCGAGAAAATGAATTGTGACAGACATGGAGAAAACGAAGGGCAATTTGTTGTAAGCCTGAATGTACATACCTGTTCTGATGACAATCTATTGTTTGCCTGCAGGAGCACAGCTGTTAAAAGAGAAGGAAGACTGACGAGACCTGTTTCAGAGATGGCTGAAATAAGGAGCGTTTCAGGTTGCTTCAGCATCACCTCCTTTCTGCACTCATCAGTAACTGATATCATCGGTTCCCATCTTTTACATCTTTCATCTCTGACATCTGTATTGTGGTTCTCAATTTTCGACAGCACAATAATTTCAGAATGTTCCTCTGAGATAACACTTGCACTTTTGCCTGGGTTAAATTTAGAACTCATAGAAGAAGTAACTTCAATGCCTTCCACATCATGTGAGATATCAGACACCTTATTCTGACGATTCCCATCAGACATGTGAATGTCTGGGACATTTAACAGGGATATAACGTCCTGTGAAGACTCTTCCCCCCTGTTTGTCCGGCCAGAGTGATCAACTGCAGCAGAAACAGGTTCTGAAACTGTTGCTGAATTAAGATTCTGAGAGTTTTCACGTACAATAGCAATGTCTCCAGTACACCAGCTGGTCGAATCTTTTCCGAGAATATCTCCTTTTCTACCAGTTTCTGGGAATGTATTAAATAGGTAAGATTCCCAATCAATTGATGAGACCATTCCAGATCTAGAGGTCAAGACTGCCAACAGGTTCAGGCTCAAAAGAATGGAGGAAGGAAATGGAGATCCCTCTACCTGGGGCCTATCATAAAGGGCAAAAAGGTCACGAAGGCGATGGATGATTTGATAAGAAACAACCAATTCCACCAAACCATTATACATTTGAAGTTGCAGGTCATCAGAGTGAATGTGACCCAATATTGTTGTAACAGTACACAAGAAACCATCAAGTACTTCAGCAATTGATTCCAAATTCTCAACATATGTTTTATTTGAGAGGATGGTGGAGGTTCCAGAAAGATTCGAAGAGGCTGCTATCTTGATGTAATTCTCAAGAGAAGCAGATAACATCGGAATAATAGGAGGCAATAGATTCTGAGAAAGAAAATAACTCCGATTTGTGGGCATTGACAGAACCACTTGCAGGAGTCGTAAAAGATATCTTGTAACCTGGCATGCTTCAGGCCTCGAAGTGTGAGAGGCAGGCAGCGCAGAAGCTATGAAATCAATTAAACCTGCTTTCCGGGATGCATGCAATTCAGGTTCCTTCCCCTCTAAATACTGTGGAAAGGAAAAAACACAGACAGGCAATAATGGCCATATCAACAGAATATTTTTGATTTTATTTTGAGGAAGATTTGATGATAATATAAGACTTCTACAAGCGAAGAAAAAAAAAAGATGGGATGCGCCATGGAATCACTTCATTAGAAACGAAGAAAAAAAAAAATGCACAAGTGCACATACCTTTATCATGTCCACAACAATTAATCCAATGCTTGCAGCGCCTTCTTTCCTTGCCTGGCGAAGCCTTTGAAGGTCTTGAAGCCACCTTCCAACTTTTGCCCTTGCAGCTCCCATCACAGATCTATATCCAATGCCACCGAATTCGGCACCCAATGAAGGTTCACTAAACTCGTACTTGAGAGCCATAAGCCGTTGACGGATTTTCTTAATTCTGCGCTTCAATGATGTATGCAATGTGCCATCTCCAGGTCCCATAGAAGAACCCCCAGTACTCAAATTGAATGCCGCTTGATATTCCTCAACACCGTTAACAGGGATAGGTCGCCCTTGCCCCTCCTTGCTGAAAGAACGTCGGAGTAAAGGTGAAGTTAGGTCTCTAAAATCCATTGATGCCTTTTCACGTATTTGTTCTAAGTAGAATTTCCGACGTTGCTCACTTTCCTTGAGTCTCTCTGCCAACTTCTGGGCCAACATTTCGGCTTCCTCTTGCTGAGCTTTAGCTCTGACCTCTTTTCGCCGAAGTTGCTCTACAGCCCTTGCTTCACGTGCTGCACTAGACGCCTTTCGTTCCTCTTCTCTTCTTACTTTTGCCTCCTCTTTCCTCCGTTGTGTCTCAGCGATACGCTGCAGTTTTTCAGCTTCAAGGAGCTTTTTACGTTCTAAGACAGCTTCTTCCCTCGCACTATCCTCCTTCTGTTTTGTTCTAATCACCTGTAATTTCTCAGCACGCCTTACTTCGGAGTCGTGGAGTTTCTGGCGCAGTATCAACTTTTTATTTTCTTCATTCAATGATGTAATGAACCTGACCTCATTGACCTTACTGCTTTCATCGCCAGCTCTTCTAGCAACCTGGGCTAAATATGCTTCATGGCGGGATTCACTACGCTGATGGCGAGCATGCATCCTCTCACGCAACTTCAAACTCCGAACAGCTTGCCATTCGTTGACACGATTCAGTTTCTCTGAGGTCCGCTGTAGCCTCTGCACTCTCTCATTTTCAAGTTGATTTCTGATTCTCATTGCACGTGCATGTCTGTCTTCCGCTTCCCTTTTCACATCCAAAGTGGTCTTTTTTTTCTTTTCAGGAGACATCAGTTTATGATGCAGAACACGTCCACGGTCCACACTTTTTCTGCCTACACCAGGTGAATGAGAGACGCGTGATGAGGTTCTCATTGGGGATCTAAGTATATCTTCCCAGTTTCTTTTCTCCTTCCAAGCATCCATTGTTTTCCATGGAACCAGATTTTGCTTTTCCTTCTCCTTATCACTCACAAGGCTATGTTTTTTTAGTGTCTCTGGAGATTTTATTTGTTTCTCTACCTTAATCTCATTCAGAGCTCTGTCATTGTCAGGTGGTTGCTTCTCTGCTCCAATAACATGCTCCAGTTTGTCCTCTTTACCCATCCCAGACGAATTTCTGGAACCAACCTTCATAGGGACTCGTGATGAATTTGAAACGGGAAGAGATAAGACCCCATTAACAGTATTTCTCTGTACAACAGCTATATCTCCAATCTGCTTCCTTTGTTTAGCACTAGGAACTCTTTTGCTTGGTTGTACATCATCTCTCTCAGGAAAAATTTTATGATTTGGTCGTATATCCTTTGTTCCAGTTAAATCGTCCTTGAATTTGTCGGATTTGTGTTGAGAAGAGTCTGCACAACCCAAGATATCCAAATCCTGAAGTATATAGCTATCAGCTCTTTCCTGTTGAATTTTCTTGAAAGCCTCTATGGACGAAGAAAGTATTTCTGCTCTGTTAGGTGTTGTGGTCATTCTCCTAACCTGCAATCATACCAAATCACAATCAATTGACGCACTTATGGGTGGTATAGGAACCAGTTAAAAGGAATAATGTGTTGCGAAAAATGATGGCATAAAACCCATTTTGCATTGGTGCAAAAAACAATTCAACTCAACCATTCCTGACTAAAAGAATTTTTTATCACTGTCCAACCGATTATTTTGAGGAGCTTAGGTTTGCTTCGGGTGGAAGTGGGGACTGGAGGGGGAGGGGATGAGTGTGGACACGAACATGTGTTTCAACTGCCAAAAATGTAGCAGGGGGACGCAGGAACAGTGCATGTTTACATCTTTCGACATACATCCCAGATATAGTATGAATAGGCCTATTCGTACTAAGTTCATGCATCCGTTCAGTTTCAACCTTGTTTTTTTTACACAACAAGGTGACCAGGCCACTGCCAGCTTGCACATGATTATTCAAGGGAATCATAAGAATTATCAACACATTAATAATCATTATTATCAAGGAAAAAAAAACTGTCCGATATCTGTAGGCATACCTCCCAAGACAGAGCATGTGGCCTGCGGTGGTCTGTCCTTGCATTCACAGTCATCCCATCTCTTGTCATTTGAGAAGGAAGCCTTTTACTGCTTTCAAAGCCTTCCACCCTGGACTTCAGTTCTCTGAAATCAGAACCAGCTTCATCAAGAACCAAAATAGCCTCCTCCATTTGCTCCATATCACATTCCAACTCACAAAGAAGATAAAGTTCATCAACTGCTCTGTTCAGATTTTCGAAAAGAAAACACCAGAGTCTTTGCCGGAATCTTTCTTTGCTCTCTTCCACTCCAACTCCTCCAGGATCATCCACGACCGCTAAACCCTCCTGCAAAGAAACTTGTTCCTCATTGACAACAGCTAAATCATCTTTTGTTAGGCAAACATGATTTCCACGTGGAATAAAGTCCTGAAATGAAGAAGACATATGCGACGTGTTGCCAACGATGGGTGTCATGGAAATATTTAGCACTGCATCCTGGAGTTGATCACTAGGTCCCTCAGGTTCAGGCATCATCACCTCCTTAGATGTCACAGAAGGGTAGGGTGCACCAGATGTGGTTGCCACTGCTGAATCATCTTCGCCTTCATGCTGAGATGACTCTGTTAACTTGTCATGAGCTTTCCCAAAACTTGCAGCCACATCATTCGAGCAAGAAACTTCTCCATTGAAACCAATTAAATTTAAATTTTCAGGAGGAATCTCATTGACCTCCCTGCAGTTTTCCTCAAGGGATTCTTCCGTGACAGATTTAGAAGTCATTTCATCTGGGCATGGCTCTGCATCCTCGGATGTCGCTGCAGCCCTTCCCTCTTCCAAACGGGAATGAGGAGCACCAGATTTCAACGCGTAAAAAATTACAGCAGCCTCATCGTCCAATAAAGCATCATGACCACATCCGACCTTAGAAGTTCCCGGCGAATATACATTGCACTTGTTCGGAATCAAAGCAGCATCATCAAGATCACCCCATTTAATTTTAGAAACTTCAACAAAGCCTTCCTCTTTTTTAACCTCTGAAGTAATTGTTGTCCCACCGCTTAATTCTGTACCCTTGCAAGAAGAATAATCTTGACTGATGAACACTTTATCAACTCCTGATGCAGCGGGGTCAATGCTCCCATTTGATGCATTTGCATGGGCGATGCTACCCGGGTACCGTATCGGGTGTTTGGGATGATGTCCCTGGCATGGATTTCCACCTTCTCGGGGATGTGGACTAGCAGAGTAAGTTTTGCCAGAAGATGCTCCAGAGGCAGAATGCACGGAGAACTTAGAGCTACCTCTATGCTTCTGGGAAAAAGAAAAATTCTGAGAATGAGATCACTGTCGTATGATACATTATAAGTGAATAGAAAATTGGCACACATGAAATTCCAAAAAGGAGATGGATCAACAAAGAGTATGAAGACGGATCTGGCGCGATAATGGAACACTCCTGCATAATTATTTCCAATCGAGCGACAAGCAATATCATGCTGCGTTATTAAAAACTAAAGGAAAACTAGACTAAGGTGAATGGAGGTCCAGCGACACCCTGACAATGTAGTGAGTGCTTAAACTTGATGGAGATGTGGATCCACAGGTTTGGTCAGTAGAGTCACGACGAATGGTGAAAATGGGACGAAGACGCCGGAAGATGATGATGGTGACGGCAATGCCGCAGACCTGATGGAAAAGGAACGACAACAAACAAAAGAGAAACCATGGGGTTCACCTTTTTAACTTCTAACCAGCCGGAGCCTGGATCACTCTCGTCCATTCCATCATTCTCCATCAAACGAGATCATCAGGAGACAGACCACCAAAACAGAATATCCCCCACACCTACTCAAGGTTTATTACTGCCTCGACATCGAGAAGGTCGATGAGATATTTCAAAGCGAAAACCCTAAACCACAGAACCATTCCACCTAGGCCTTCTTCACATGGGGCCCGATCGTTCCAGGTTCTCAACAGCTCCTCCGCGTTCCCCAGAAACGCCAACGGAAAATCCAAACTCCGAGCCCGCCGACAAAACGCGCCGCCGTTATTCCGCAGGCCAGGGCAGGCCGACGTCCGGGGTGGGTTCAGCGGAAATGTTCGACGCGACCTTCTTCTGTCCCGTTTTCAGTGGGACGGACGGCCCACTCCTCAGGCGGAACTCTTAAGAGTCTGTGCTGTATGTAGTTCGTCCTCGTTACGTCCCTCATTCTCCCGGTGATCACCGTTCCGATTCAGCGAGAATGGCAGGGAATTCCCCGCCCGGCCGATCCACACTCGCCGATTACCTAGGGAAAGAAAATCACGTCGACTATCGCTAATTAATTGAATATATATATACATTTATTCAGAAACATCAGAAACAGGCTCCGGCGGAGAGGAGAGATCGGGAGGAGACCAAGACTCCGCCGAAGAGAACAGGTCAACGCGAGCCGTTGTTTCCCTTTTGGGCCCAATTTTTTTCGCACAGTTCGGCCCAACTCAGCCTTTACAAGTTCGTAGAATTACTGCAAAATTTACTCCCCACACACGACGAGAAAGAGAGAGAGAGAGGATCAGCGGCTCTCAGAGAGGGCCCGGCGATGATCCTCGGAAGCGGGCTCGTCGGGAGAGGGCGGAGTAGCAGCCCTGCGGAATACCAAGCGCTCGAGGGGGAGCTGGCCGTTGGAGAATCCAGTGACCTCTGTGTCGACCAAGATGGTGTCCTCGTCCGCAAAGTCCCCCCTCAGGATCCCCTTGGCCAGCTCGTTCTCCACGTTCTGCTGGATCACCCGCTTCACGGGCCTCGCCCCGAAGTTCGGATCGTACCCGAGCTTGGCCAGCAGCTGAACCGCCGCGTCCGTCACGTTGATCCCAATCTTCCGGTCGCTGACCCGCTTCTTCACCCGCTCCAGCTGCGGCAGGGCCGCGCGTCAGACGCTACAGAGGATGGCAGACCGACCAAAGAGATGAAGAGGGAAAGAGGGAGGGCTTGTTCTTACCTGGAGCCTGACGATGCTCTTGATCTGTTCCCGGTCGAGGGGGCGGAAGACGATGTATTCGTCGACGCGGTTCATGAACTCGGGGCGGAAGACGGAGCGGGCGGCGTCCATGACCCGCCGCTTGATGGTCTCGTAGGAGAGGTCTCCCCCGTCGTTGGCCTCGTCGTCGGTGTCCTCGGCGCCAGTGAGGATGTACTGGGAGCCGACGTTGGAGGTCATGATGATGACGGTGTTGGTGAAGCTGACGGTGCGGCCTTGGGAGTCGGTGACGCGGCCGTCGTCCAGGATCTGGAGGAACACGTTGAAGACGTCGGCGTGGGCCTTCTCGATCTCGTCGAAGAGAATGACGGCGTAGGGCCGCCGGCGGACCACCTCCGTGAGCTGCCCTCCTTCCTCGTACCCGACGTAGCCGGGGGGCGCGCCGATGAGCCGGGAGACGGCATGCTTCTCCATGTACTCGCTCATGTCTATCCGCACCAGAGCTTCCTCGGTGTTGAACATGTACGAGGCCAAGGCCTTGGCCAGCTCGGTCTTGCCGACCCCCGTGGGACCCATGAACATGAAGCTCGCGATGGGACGGTGAGGGTCCGAGAGGCCGGCTCGGGACCGCTGGATGGCCTCCGCGACGGACCTCACGGCGGGGTCCTGGCCCACCACGCGCCTGTGCAGCTCGTCTTCCAGGTTGAGCAGCTTCTCTCGCTCCGACTGCTGCAGCTTCGAGACGGGGATGCCCGTCCATTTGCTGACGATCTCCGCGATGTCGTTCCCGGAGACCTCCTCCCTCAGCATGGACTTGCCCGAGTTTAGGTACTCGTTCAGCTCCTTCTCCGCTGTCTGCAGCTGCCGCTGGAGAGAGTTGAGGCTGCCGTATTTGAGCTCCGCGGCGCGGTTGAGATCGTACTCGCGTTCTGCTTGCTGAATCTCGAGGTTCACCCTGTCGATCTGCACCAGAAAAGGAGGCCAGTGAAGAAAGATAGATTCAGACGGGAGCATCATTTTACACTCTTCTCTCTGTGAAGAATATTTCTATATTAATATAGCATGGTAGCGAAAAGGGCTTCTTTCTACATTAATTACCATGGAATTCCACCCAACTAGGGCGGCTGAGAATATTTTACCACCCTATATTGGGATTTTTTATTTTTTATTTTCCAATCTTTTAAATTTTTCTGAGAGGGGCACGGAACGTGGGACGGGGCCTCGTACCTCTTCCTTGATGGACTGAATGCGGGTCATCACAGATTTTTCGTGCTCCCACTGTTCGGTAAGCTCCGCCTGCTTCTCCTTGAGAAGAGACAGCTCTGAATCGAGCCGGCTGAATCTATCTCTTGACGCCTTGTCCGTATCGTTCGTGAGGGAGAGACGTTCCATCTCCAGTTTCAGCACAGAGCGATCGATCTCGTCGAGTGCAGTCGGTTTCGACGTAATCTCCATCTTCAGTTTCGCCGCTGCCTCGTCAACTAAATCAATAGCTGTCCAAGAACACATCTCAGGCTCCCGAGGGAAAACAGAAGAAGAAACCAGAGCATTAGAAAGAAATCGGAATTGCCTAAGCTAGCAGGGCACTGCAATCGGAGGGGTCACCTCAGCCAGACCATGCCGAGGAAGTGGCCACATTTATGCGCAAAATGGTTTCACTGAAGATGTGTAGATCATTCTCTGAGGATTTCAGTTTAAGAAAATACGGGTAAATTCATGTGCTTTGACTTCCAAGACTGTATGGGGCTTTTCGTCAACGATATTTTTGATTTATTATCACAGAAGAATTTAATCAGCTCCACAACGGAATCCACAAGACTCATCCCTATCACTCACCGAAAAAAAAGTCATGTCCTTTCAGAGACACTCAAAGGGTAATTTCTTTCTCTAATAAGTAACAGCTGACCTAGTCATCCCACTCAAAATCACTACTGGGCATATTTATAACATGAAGCAAGAGTCCTCCCAGAGAAGATCAACTAGGTGACGGTAACAGGCAGCACCTGTGCTGGATGCAAACAGGTGCACCCATCGACACCTAATTGCTTTCCAATCCGATGGTCGCAATTGTGTAGCACGAACAACTCCTGGTAGCCATGAGTTTATAACAGCTGTAGACCTGGGACTCCCCCACCAGATTTCCCCTCCTTCAGGAAGGCAAGAATCACCACTGCACGACTTCTGGATTGTCTCAATCTCATCTCTCCTCTTATTCCATGACTAGTTTGTCCTTGCAGTTACTTGATAGATGCACTAATTCCAATCTGTTTTACAACAAGTGCAAGCACGTCTAGATGCCTGATTTCAGTTGAATTAAGCCGGATCTACCTTCAGAAGACTGGTTTTTCACTGTATGTGTTTTCTTGTCTAAATAAGTTATAATTAACAGTATTGACCGCAGTCAAATGTATTTCACATGCTTTTGGCAACATTAAACAATGTTTCAGGAGAGTATTTACGAAGATTAAGGATTCAGGCAATGTTACCTTTATCAGGCAAGAAGCGCCCGCTGATGTAACGATCAGACAGAATGGCAGCCTCCACAAGTGCGCTATCAGAAATTCTGACTCCATGATGTAGTTCATATCTCTCCCTTAACCCACGTAGGATGGAAATCGTATCTTCTACCGAGGGTTGATCAACAAAAACTTGTTGGAAGCGACGTTCCAATGCTGGATCTTTCTCAATGTACTTTCGGTATTCGTCAAGAGTAGTGGCCCCAATACAACGCAACTCTCCTCGTCCCAGCATTGGTTTCAATAGATTTCCAGCGTCCATTGCACCATTCGTGGCACCTAAAATGAAATTTTACATAGAACTGATCAACATATTGTGCGTAGAAAATGTAAGAGAAAACATAACTAGACCACAACATGGATATGATAGAACTGATCAACAAATGCTCGCAAATAATCTGTCGATTGTTATTCATCTAATCCGAAAAACTTATGACCAACTTAGTATCTGTTTCCATTAGAAATCATAATGAACTTTACCAGAAAAGCCACGTAATGCTTCAGTTTCTTCTCTTATGGCGTTGTTCTAGACTACCAATAGATCCCACTATATGAATCATCCAATAGTACCACAAAAAGAGATACAAGTCGATTCGTAAGTTTATAATTGCATGATAGCAGTGATCAGAGGGCTAAGATTCGCTGAAAATTTTCTACTAGAACCTAATGCAATCAAACGATTAATGACTGCTGAATACGACGTAAACAAGTGGCTGGGTAAAATCTTCCGCGAAAAAAAAAAGAAAAAGGAATGTCAGCTAGGAATTGAACTGTACTCTCACGATGGCTACCTGCTCCTACAACTGTATGAATTTCATCAATGAACAGGACTATTTGACCATCTGAATCGGTCACTTCCTTCAGGACAGCTTTCAGCCTGTCCTCAAATTCCCCTCTGAATTTTGCACCAGCTATAAGCGCACCCATATCAAGGGATATCAACTGCGAGAAAAGATGGGAGTCAGAAAAATTAGGCTCTGAGTCGCTAAATTTCTATCATAATCATTCTTTTATCAGTAAAAGGTACCAACACCGACAAATGTAACCAATTAACCACATTGATTGTTTGTCTCCCACTTCGCTCAAGAAATCATGACGTGAAGGAGAAAAAACAAAAAATCATAATAAATATTTTCACACATATCTATAGCACACGTCAAGCCGTAATAAATCAAAGAATATTCAAAACATACTTATATTGTCCCGGTGAATGCACTAAATTTTCCCTATCTTGTAGACATGCAACATTCTCTTCTCTAGAGTTTACACAGAAAACCCTATTTGGAGAAGCTTAATTCATGATCCCGTTACGTTAATTATAGCCAGCTAGCTGAGCAAAATGTAGAAAACCTTTTCCATGTCTCTATTTAAAAGTCTAAGGAGAATTCATCTTCAAGTAAAAAACTACCTTTTCTTATAGGGTGTACAAAAACATCTTCGATTAAATAATTCATCAATATCAACATCTAAGCAAGATCAGGTTTATAAGCCTAAAGATTCTAAAAGTCGAACGCATGTAGTTCCAGATGAACTGAAAAAAGACAAAGCAATAGTGAGCGGAAATATACTATCAATCAAAATTTACATGTAAAGAAATCTGAAATTCAAGCAACTAAACTATGGAATCCAAGCCGAGATGAAACATTAAGGCAATAAAGGTATGGAAAAATGGAGTAAGAGGAGGCTTCGAGGGAACACAAACCCTGCGATTCATCAGAGCTTGAGGCACATCTCCTTGCACAATTCTTTGGGCAAGCCTGTGAACAATAGAATCCATCATTAACATCTACTACACCGGCTTGTAAAGACAATCACATTTTTTTTCTACTAAATCTTCAAAAAACACCAATTTTTTTCTCACTTACCCTTCAGAAATAGCAGTTTTCCCAACTCCTGGTTCACCGATCAATACCGGATTGTTTTTTGTCCTCCGTGAAAGAATTTGTATGCACCTTCTTATCTCATCATCTCTTCCAATAACAGGATCGAGCTTCCCTGATCGTGCCATGGCTGTCAAATCTTTCCCATATTTTTCCAAGGATTCATACTTGCCTTCAGGATCTGTGACAAATCCAGAGATCTTGCATTTTACGCATCAGTTGGAATAACCACAGTTAAATATTGGCCAACTACTGAAGATGAATGAAGAAGAACATAAAGCTCGACATGCACAAAAAAAAAATACACCAATCCAGAATCTCCAGAAATAAACCATATATACCTTTCACAGTGTAAAATCCAAAGAATCATTTGTGTGGATTCTTGGGACTTGTTAGATCAACTATTCACGTATTTAAATATTCTAGTCAACAAAAAAACCAAAAAAAAAGTGCTGCAAGAAAATTCACTGATAATATTTACAGGATTTTTCACAGATGAAGAAGAACAAAATGGAATATTACCCTGGTCCATAACGTTTTGACGCCCTCTTATATCTTTTACCGAGGTTGACAACGTGTTGAAAGATATCTGAAAATCTTTCAACAATTGCTTACCAAACCGCTGATCTTCTGCATAAGCAAGCACTAAATGCTCAACGGATACAAATGAATCTCCATATTTTTTCTTGAAGTCCCTAGCTCTTTGAATAAGAGCCTCGAGATCCCGTCCTAACATGGAACCAGATGACTCGCCATAAACCTGCAATTTTTTATGCCGTCACATGCCTGTCAGGCATATACATACATGGAAAGCGGACATTCATAGAAGATTAACCACCAGAAACCTGGGGATGGCAGCATACAAATCACAAAAAAAACAAATTGATATGCAACATGACAAGTACTGTCTTAAGAAAGATAATCATTCACAAGTACAGATAATAACAAAAGTTTTTTTTTCCTGCGTGAAGAAAAAACGCATGCTGTTATGTCAGCCATGTTGTAATGTCACTCTAATTTTGCACGGTTAGCGAATTTTAGAATGGTCAATAGAGATTTAAAGTAGATTCAAGTAAATGGACTGGGACCAGACAGCACAACTGACATATCGGAATCAGATTTGTCTTTTTCAATAAGGAATCTGTCAAACCGAGCCAACTTTTGCTAATTACATCCATTGATGTTGAAAACGGCATTACCAACAACTACCTTATGCAGTTTCCAATTCCTAGATATCGGTTCTTGAGCCCAGCGCTAAATGTCAACTATAATGAAGCATTTACAAACCTTGGCAAATAAAACGTAATGTTAGAACTAAAAGGGAAGCAATATTGTTATACTGACACATGTTGTGTCAGTATAATCTACCTTGACACGTGAAAGTTTTAATCAATGAATGAAATAAAAATTGCATATAGGGCCTAAGACAACTTTCACAACTTCAAGCATCATATGGACTTTCTCCAAGTTAGTCCAAATATATCTAGATTATTTGAATCTCTTCTTGCACAGTAAAACAACTCTGTTGCTTATTGCACGTAAGAAACTTGAAAAGCTGACTCAATTATGGAACATACATATCAGTCTCATCATTCCGACTATGATCCATCATTACTAGGCCTTACCAACCAGTCTTTGGATAAAGGATATACGTGTGTCCATGAGTGCATCTCACATGCAAGTGTATAGTATCACTATTCATCTTAATGGAAGCAAATTGAACTTCACTTTTGAAATGCACAGTTGAGTAAATGGAAGACATTAGGAACACGCAGTCAAGTGGAACATTCACCGAATATAAACTTCTACATTATTCCATTCTGGAGAGAGAAGCGTGGTCAACCCAGCCACTGGAGTCATCACTGTTGAAGATTAAAGTCAACTCTAATTCTGATAAATTTTGGTTAAGATGAGAGAAGTTTCAAAGAACGTGACTAAATCTCGCCACTGAAGCTACTTACGACTCAGTCGCAATTTCTCCAGAGTGAAAAACAATCTACAACGTATATTATTCAACTCGCCATTGAAACACTAGATATGTTTGATGGATTCCGTTCTCTAATAGATTGCCACAATTTTCCAGAGGTCCTCATCAAACAAGAAACAGAAATGAAAAAGAAAAGCATGAAAAATCTGATAAAAATCAATAAGCCATAGGGGACAGAAAACTGAAAAACGCCATCAAACAAGTACGTCCATCTAACTGCAGCTTCAATTTCTCAATACAAATAAACTATGACTCAATCATTACTCTACTACAAAATGAGCAGTAGTTCCTGCACAAGAACCTGTAAATAAGCTATACAAAAAAATTCAAAGTTGTCTAAGTCAAACAGAAAAAAGCATGATTGATGAAATTCAGAGCCAGACGATACCTTTGGCTGCCTCTGGATGAACTTATCCGTGGCTTCAAGAAGGCGGGTATTGTCAACTCCAGCTTTGGAAAAGATTCGACGAGCTAGCCCATTCTTCTGCTCTAGTAACGTCTTCATCAAATGCTCTGTCTCCACAATCTGGTGTTTGCTCTCTTTTGCCACTTCAGGCGATGCAACAAGAGCTTGCCAAGCCATCTCAGTGAAGTCTTGTTGAGAAATCTAAAATAAGATCAAAGATATTAGTAAAAAGAACCTTGAGTATATTTACACAAGTTAGAAAAATAAGGGTAAAATATCTAAACAAGACCTAGGAGATCTTGCCCACAAGGGGCATAATAAACAGATTTAGGGCTTGTATTTTGGCACATGAACGATCTTTTCACTTCACATAGACCTCCAGCTGTTTGGGGGTATAGAATCATTCAGTTATTATAGGTGACTTAAATGATGGGACTGCAAGAAATGACACTCAATTATAAGGGGAAAGTGATTTATTAGGTAGATGGGAACATATTATTTTATCTGAACACACTTAAATGACACTGCAAGAAACAACTCCAGCTTTTAAATAAAAATACAAGTAAACACTATTGAAGATGGGATCCAAAAAAAAGTTGCTCAGCTAGAAAAGGTTTTGATTGAATACACTAGACCTCGATGCAGCCACCTTCCATGGGTGGGTTAAATACTTATTGGGGAACAAAAGTAGCCAGCAGGCTTAGCTGTCTGTAGATATTATGTTAACAGGACATATCCAAAATGCCTCTGACATAGCAAAGGCTTATGCTTGCGTTCTTCATCAATTGTCTGAACATTTGCACCAAATATACATAGTCGTCATATCTTTACAAATGTAATATAGCTGCATCCAACAACCCAAAAACTCTTGCTCGTTAATTTAAACAATGGCTCGAACTTATTATGCATAATTTCCAAGAAAAAGGTAAAACGAATTTCCAAATCTTTATTGACAACCAGAGTTGGCAGCATGTTCAATTCACTCCAGAACTAAGTACGCAGAGGGGGCTGGCACCCTGATGCCGTATCTTCATTGAACGTAATCTGGATGCATTCATCATAGGAAACTCCACTCTTGTCATGCGGTCATCAGTATTATTTTACCAAGCTAGAGTTCCGTGGATGGAAACACAGCACGTACTGACGACTGGAACATTTTCTCCATCTTTATCTTCGATCTATTGTGGCCACTATTTCAGTAAGCGGAACATCTCAAGCATGCCGTAAGCCAAATGCCAAACGACATTCTAATCCCCCAAATGGAAGAAAAAAAACAAATTCCAGTCAGAGTCGAAAGGATATACCGTCTTCCCATCCTTCGCCGCCTGGCATCGAATGACAACTCCCGAACACCCTGACAAATTCCCAAATCTCTGGCCCCTCTTCCGCAGGAACCCATCCGTCCGAAGGGAGCCCGACCAAGCGAGAGTCCTTACCGCCTTTAGAGGCCGCCGGCACCTGGCCGCGAACGGGAAAGAGAGCGAAGTGATGAGAGGAAGCCCTTCTTTGGAGCTCTTCGACGGCGAATTGAAGACTAAACCGTGGTGGCCGGAGATCGTGGCGGCCATTGATCGAACTATTACTCTCGACGGCCCCCTAATCCAGATGCTTTGCTTCGTCGACGCCGGTGGACGCGATCGGAGCAGCTTTTGAAGCCCCGAAGTTCGCGAGTATTCCCGAAGCTCTGTAAGTACCTTCCCGGCTCCACCTTCGGGATGAGCCTCGAAATTTCAAGCGTGCGAGGATATGGGCGGTAAACCCAGAGGCAGCCATCTGGCATCGGATTATTCGCACGTGCCAAACCCGCCCACAGAACGGAACCTCTCCCTCAAAAATCTATAATATATTTAGGATATTAATTATATTATCATATGGCGGGAAAACTGCCCGACGATTGTGGCCTGTAAAAACGGGGAAGTCCAAGGAGGGCTTCCCCTATATATGGAGAGGGATTTTGTGCGTGGAAAGCTCCTTTCACCTACTCCTGTAATCATTGAGAGTTCTCCATCGGTGAAAAGGTCTCCTGCGCGACGTGAAGAGGCTGCTTGGTGCCGGCGAAGGCGACCAAGGCCGATCCGGGGCGAGAGTCGAGGTGGGGGCAGCCTCTCCCTGTATGTTCGTGTTTCCAATCTCCCTGCATTTCCCTCCTCCTCTCTCCCTCCGTCCGTCTCTCCCTCTCTTTTTCTGCGTGTTACCAATCTCCCTGCATTTCTATCCTCCCCTCTCCGCTCTCCGCCGGTTTGTCTCTCCCTCTCTCCATTTCTCCGTCTCTCTGTATTCCCAGTCTCCCTTTATTTTTCTCCTCTCTCTCTCTCTCTCACACCGGCAATTTCTTTGCCTTCCCCAGCACCGAGCATCTCTCGCGTTCTCTCCTTCTCGCCCGCCTTCGGATTTATCAGTGAGAACCACCCAATTAGCGGGTTTCTATTTCATGTAAATACTCATAGAATAAAGTGTAATGTTTCATTTAAATAATTCGTTGAGAATCATCTGTTAATATATACAAGTGGCATAATTCAGCTGAGAGCATTCGTGTGAAGGAAAGGCGAGGGAAAACCCTTTTGAAGGAAAAAGGGTATTCATACAATTTAAGTAAGATACAGGCACCGTAGTAAACAAAAGATGAAAGGAAAAGTTATTTCACAGATTTCGTATATATATCGCGTGGTACCACAGGCGGTGGTACCTTCCTTTCCCTCGTTCTCTTAGTAGCTATCGAGCGTGGGTGTCCGCGACCGGGAAAAGGGTGCTTCGAGCGAGGGCGTCGGCTGCGGTGAGATTCTGTCCTCCTCTTTTTGCCCGTTTTCCTCAATTTCTTTTTCCTCCACCATCCGTTGGCGAGTCGCGTTTCTTGATTCTTTCGTCAGTTTCTGCACTGCTGCTGGAGACCTGATTAATGAGTAATATTGTGTTAGTAATATGTTTCTGAGCTTTTTATTGATTTACTTGTTATGCAATGGCTACGCGCAATGCTCCCTGCGCCTTTTTAATCTTCTATTGTGGTTTAGGGTTTCAGGGGGGCAACTTGAGGTACCAATATGGCCGACGACGACTACGATGATATGGACATGGGGTATGCTCGAGCTATTGCTCTTTGTTCCCTCCCTTCCTTCCCTTCTTTCCCTTCCTCTTTCTATCAGGGTGATTTTTGGCTTTCCATTTTCTATCTCTAGTTAAAAAAACATCTCGGCCTGTATTGTCTCAGATACTAAAGTATACTTCCTATTTAGTTAAGTATTTTATCTTTTTCGTGTCATTACAATTGAATACCGTCATTTAAAGATGTGGAGTGATCAAATATACATTTTCTATCTAGTTAAATCTTTTTCGTGTCATGACTATCTGCATGTCAAGACTTGCAGTGGTCAAATTATAGATCACCATTGCCTTGCATATTTCAACCATTCTGCACAAACAATTTTTGAGGGTTGAATACCCAGAAAACGACACAGGCTTCAGAAAGCAGGTTGTATCCAGTTTCTTATCGTCACAATCGATAATTTCTTGGTAAAAGGTACGGAATGAAATCATGTGGTGTTGTAAAATATTTTCAGGTTCATTACTATAATATTACTGGTGTGGAGTATTCCAGGATTATTGTGACGTTGGTGTTGAAGCATTTATTCTGCATAAACTGCAATGCATGATAATTAATATTAAATGAATAACTATGATATATAAGTAGCTGATTTGCGGTTTAACTTGTATTATAGATGTAGGAATTTATCTCTATATAAATCTTGAAATTGATGATGAGAAGCTAGCATTCTATTGAAGCAATGATCAACATATCTTCCTCCTAAAAAAAAGAATTTTTCGTTTTGAAAGGTTGATTTCAAGTTGAAATCAGGTTAACAATAAATTAAACTTCCGGATAGAAAAAGGTTCCTCTTTGAATTAGTTTCTTGTCCGAGCAATGTATTACCTCTTAATAGGTCGTACATTACAAACTGACGCGTGAAAATTTACTGACGGGGATTATTGTTTCTGAATTGTAGTTGTTTATTTCGTTAAATCATTGTTATTAGTTCCTAGATTTTCCTTTCCGTACCAAGTTACTGTGATCTTTCCTTCAACTTTTGTCAGAGAGAAAAAAATCAATTAAACATTTTCTTATTACGAAAATCATAGAAAAAATATATTTCAATTTTTTGCGGCAGTTGTGCATGTGATAACTGATTTTTTTAAAAAACTTGAACATTGTTTGAGGTACGAGGACGAACCCCCGGAACCAGAAATAGAGGTAAATTTCTTCTCTCTGACATGGTAGGCAACATTTTCATGTGGCAAACTCAGCACGTAAGATTATAATTTTTCGTTGCAGGAAGGAGCAGAGGAGGAGATAGAGAAGGCTAACGAAGAGGTTACTGATACCTTTGTCGGTGCTGAAGCTGAAGAGAAGGAAGAGAGGCCACCGGTAGAACGCCCTAGGAAGACTTCGAAATACATGACCAAGTATGAACGTGCAAGAATTTTGGGCACACGTGCCCTCCAGATAAGGTACTTTATTTTGACCCTCCTTATGCTACCTGATTTTGCCAAATTACTAAACAATAATTGATGGTGGAACAGCATGAATGCTCCGGTGATGGTTGAGCTCGAGGGTGAAACCGATCCATTGGAGGTAAGGGCTTGCCACTGTCACACATCTCCAGCTGAACCGCGATTGTCTCAGATTTCATTTAGCAACCCATTTAATCATTGACTGACGCCATATTCATTTAATTCTGACGTGAAGATTGCCATGAAAGAGCTCCGACAGAGGAAGATACCCTTCACGATTCGGCGCTATTTGCCCGATGGAAGGCACGTCTCTCGATTACTTGATACACAGATGCTTCCTTTTCCAGTTGACTCGCATCTTCGTTATCTGACAGTACACGCCAATCTTTCCTGTGGATGGCCCACAGTTACGAGGACTGGGGCGTGGATGAGCTCATTGTGGAGGACACCTGGAGAAGGCAAGTGGGGGGCGATTAGCGTTCAATCTACTGTGTTATATTGTCTCCCCTCAGCCGTGGACTTGCGGCAGTATGTGGTCACCCAATCCAATGTGTTTGCCCTGCTTGGGGGTGAATAGAATTATCTGCTGTTGTGTTTCTTTATATAGCAATTTTTTGAGGCTGCGCGGTTGATTTCTCCATCCGATTAGGGGTTTTTTAATGGGTTCCCACCGAGTCAACTGCATTAAAAAAAATGTAGATGAGATGTTTTCACAGGATTGTTTCATCAGATGTGCATGTGGCACCATTGTCGTCCATGTGATGGCTCATCGCATGCAAGACCTCATACACCTGGCTCATCTGCCGGTGGACCCTCTCGCCGGCGACGAACTCGTGAACAGATCCGCCGATTTCTACGGAGCTGCAGCCTGGAGGCTTGGCCACTCCTCGGCCCCACATCAGTTTCTTCACTCCCTCGGCGACTCCGTGCCGGCCGCTCCTCCTGTAGACGTTCGAGAGGAGGACGTACGCTCCGCTGTGATCCTCCAGCTGCAGTAGACAACGAGCGGCGAGTTCCGCCAACTGTTCTTCTCCGTGCCGCCAGCAGGCGCTCAGTAGAGCCCTCCATGCCACCGCCTTCTCCGAGGGGCTGCTCGAAGTGGGCATCATGGCGATGATCCCTTGGGCCTCGTTGAACAGCCCGGCACGGGAGAGGAAGTCCACCACGCAGCCGTAATGTTCTCCTCTGGGTTCGATTCCGTGCACCGCCTTCATGCTTTTAAATTCCCGGAGGCCTTCTGAGACCAGACCCGAGTGAGAGCAAGCAGATAAGACAGCGAGGAAGGTGGTCTCGTCTGGGGAAAATCCTTCTCTCTGCATCTGAGCGAACAGCTCGAGTGCCCCTCGGCCGTCTCCGTGCGTCGCCAAGCCGATGATCATCACGTTCCAGGAGATGACGTCCCTCTGCGGCATATTGGCGAACAGCTTGATGGCAAGGGCCCAGTCTCCGGATTTCAGGTACATGTCTATGAGGGCAGTGGAGAGGCGAATGCCCAGCGTGAAGCCGACCCGTTTCAGATAACGGTGGATCCAGGTGCCGAGATCTAGGGCCCCCAGTTGGGCACAAGCACTGAGGATGCTCACAAAGATACCCTCGTCTGGTTTGACGCCGGCCAGTTGCATATCTCTGAACATGCCTAAGGCCTCTTTGAAACAGTTATTCTGGACATACCCAGAAATCATGCAGCCCCAAACTCCCCGGTCTTTCACCTGCGACTGATCGAAGAGCTCCCGGGCGGCTCCAACCTCCCCCAGCTTGGAGTATGCGGAGATTAGGACCGTCCAAGAAGCTGCATTTCGTTGAGGAGTAAGGTCGAACATCTGGTGTGCGTCTTCCATTTTACCGCACGCTGAGTACATGAGAATGAGCGTGTTTCCGACAAAAACATCAAAGTCAAACCCGAGTTGCAATGCGTGGCCGTGGACTTGTTCTCCGATCTGAGAGTCTCGCAGGTGGGCGCATCCCTTGAGCATGTAAGGAAACGTATAGTTGTCTGGGAGAAGCCCATCATGCAGAATTTGACGATAAATGTCTGCGAGCCTGGTGTACTCTCCCTTCAGCAAGAGCGTTTTTATCATCGTGTTGCAGATGCATATCGTTGGCTGCTTAGTCTGCCGGAAAAGCACCTGAGCATGAGCGACGCAGCCGCTGTTTGGGTCCGAGCAGAAAGCCAAGATCCTGCTGATGGCAAATCTGTTCTCTCCAAGCCCTCCCAAGACTATCTGGGCATGAGCTTGCTTCAGTTGCCTCATATTTATACATTTCTCCAGTAACCGAAGGCTTCCCCTCGCGCTTGACATGATCATGCCCAATGGATGTGGTCAAAGCGGCAGGATGAAGATCGATCACTGAAGGTGCATAAAACAGTTCCATCCCACACTGAAACAAGTCAACGGCTAGACTAAAAGAAAGATGAAGGCAAGCCCAAATGAGGCAAACAGGGATAACCATCCCTCTTCTCGGTCGCCCAGTAGACGCCTCCGGGGATCTGGAACAGAGATTGTAAACCCACCGGCGTGGGTCTCGTGGGGGAAGACATCCCCAGCAGCGACCTCGAGTGCGCTGCTCAATTGACTCAACACCTTCCCTCACCGGAGTCTCTTAGCTCAGATACTTCTCACATAAAAACAGAAACTTTGAAGCTCGGGTACTACACAGGCAATGGATGGAGCACCAGACTCAGATTTGGCGAGAATCTCATTTTTGGGTAGTACGAAGCGGGAATTGGCCCGAAAATGGTAAGGGGGTCGAGAGGAACCCGCCGCATCGTTCCCCCTGACGCTGACTTTCTCCCTCCGGACATACAAATGTTGCCCTGAAAGTGCATCTCAACCGTCCGACTGTCCGAGAACGGACGGTGTTGATTTTCCTAGGTTGTATGTTGTGAATGCCGCCTCTTACAAAAAGATCGGAAGGGGTTGAAGCGCGGCTCGAGAATCGTTCTGGAAGGTTCATCTTCGCTGCTGCTGCTGCGGCGCATTCTCCATTCGCTTCTCCGAAATGGCTAGCGCGGTGGGATCGGGTCTGTCGAGGGCGGAGGCCTTCTCGCTTCTCCGTTCGCTCCTCCGAACGGCTGCCAAGTTTTCCGACTACAACATCAGGGAGTACGTCCGGCGGAGGACGATCGACGGGTTCCGGGAGAATCGCGGGCTCACCGACCCCTCCGCCATCGCGTCAGCCTTCTCTGAGGGTAGGTCTCAGCTCGAGATTGCGAAGCGTCAGGCGGTGGTGTACTCCATTTACGCTCCTCAAGTGAAGAACATCATGGAGCTCAACGCCTCTTGATGCGTTTGGACGGGGCTTCGATGGGCCTTCCTCCGCCTCCTCATTCTCTGGACGGTGGCTTTGTAACTCCCGTTGGAGGAGATAGATCTTGGGGATTTTTGGTTTTCCTTCGTGGGCATGGCGAAAGCTCCCGAAGAGCACAAGGCCTTTGATGTAGATTTTCATGTTCGTATATATGATGTTTCAAATTGCTCGTACGTTTTTGCTCCCTTAGGAGTCATTATTTGTAATAATGGTTCATATGCTGACATTTGTTTAATCTTTTAAAATTTAGAAACTGACTTCATTTCTGATACTACTGCAATCTTGCTTTTATTTTTGATACTGTTCCTGATACTATTCCCATAGGAGGCATGAGAACGCTCGTATCTACAGCATTCTATTTGATTTTTGGCTGTTTCCGGAATAACTGGAAGTTGTGTAGCTCATGAAGTCCTTGGATTAGGATGGCCAACTCTAAAATTCAGATGCCGATTGAATTTTTCGTTGCGCCAGCTATACATTTGAATTGCGTCCAAGGTGGGGAAATGAAATCAAAGTGATGTTTTCTTCCCCAGTATTGTGTATTGTGATTTTAGTGGTTCTAAACAAATGATGTGCTCGTTTTGATCATATGCTGACTTCGAGGGTTATCTTAGAGATTATATCATACATAACGATGTTAAAAAGGCATTGGGAATGTTCTATGCTATAGTTTTTTGGTGTCAGCCAATGTCATGGATTGAACTGCAGATTAGGATGATACGTAGCCAGCAACACCACATCAATATTCCCCGGCCCGCTATAAGAGCTGCTCCTTTCCCCGTTGTCTACATTCAACATCTTTATGGACATTAATCAAGCATGGGCTTCTTTATCTGTAAGCACCTTTAGCCCTGAAATAGAAGTTAAAGATGGATCACTGTGGGAAATCGAAAGACCAAGAGAGAAAACAAAACAGACACATCAGCTTCTAGTTGAATCATTAGCTGAGCCCCTGGTATACGCTCTTCAAGTAAGGCACTTTAGGACCTTCTCGTGTTAATTTTTCAGAACATTATGAAGTTGCTAAACTATTGGAACATGAGGTAAGTTTAACATATTTTTTCGTAATTTTAACACCACAAGTACATTTTATTGAAATTGAGTTAGGGAGGAAAACTTTTATGCTTCATACGGCATCATATGCTGCTGATTTGAGCTGTTCTAACTAGTTTGTTTGCAAGTCAATTGTCAACTAGTTTGGAATTGGACAAATCTTAGCCAATTTCTTCTCCATATGTGGTTTGAAGCTAACCTGTTCAACATACATGGAACCAGTCTCATCTGGTATGTTTGAGTGGAGGACAAAGAGGTGCTGATGGTTGAAGGGACAGTGGGAGTGAATGGCTAATATGAGAAAGAAAGGAGTGGCCATGGTTAAAATTTTGTGCTTGCCATTTTTACTATGTTCGTTTTCTTTGCTCTCCTTGAGGGTGGCTAGCATCTGATCACCAGCAGGTGAGAAGAGGAGACGGAAGAATGAAGGAAAAACCAATATGATCGCTTTTGAGGGATGGTAAGTGGCATGCATCGTTGAATAAGCGGCAGCAGACTGTGGGACAGCCGGCAGGCAGATTAGATTCCTAGCCCCATCCCTTTTTCCTCTCCTACTCACCTATTCACATGTGGTCTTGGAGGAGCTTAACCTTCTATGAGGCTCCTGATGATAGATGGCTAGTGGCAGAGGACATCACATGTTGGCAGAAGGGCAGTGACAACAGAAGATGGTCATCAGGTCTGGACACTGTGTCACTCCTCTTCCTCTTGTTCATCGTTTGCAAAGCTTCTTGGAGGCCTTCGTGGAAGATGTGATTTCATATGTCTGGCTGGTTTTACTTGACACTGATTAGCTCCCAAAACCCAAAACTCCAAGACTATCTCCATTGATGCTAAGCTCGAAAATGATCCTGAACTTTGGACACCAGCAAAGTCATCTTCCAAGGTACTGTCCTGCCTACACAATTTTTCATTTCTCGTTTCCCCATTTCCTGCACTGCCTGTGGATGGTAATTCACTCACCCGTTGATTGATGAATGGACTACTAACAGGTGACATCTGATCATGCTCTGGCCTGAATTGCCCTTTTTATCTCCCTTTTTTTTCAAAAGGATCACAATTCTATAAAAAAAATATTAAAAAAATGCCCTTTTCAGCATGCAGGGTTCTGCTTTCTGTTTATTTTTCTTAATGTCTGCGGTATAAAGGTAGATAATTTAATTCTTCAAGAACGAGGGCTTCTGATTTCATCCGGGGGGTGTACGGTCACCGCCGTTGAAGGACGGTGGTTTCCCCACGGCGGTCCCCTCAAATAAAGGAAGTCATGGACTTCTCTTGAGCTCTCGTGCTCTGCGGCCTGGCTTCATAAATGAAGACCACGGCGGTTATGCTGTCTCGCGTCCTTTCCACGAAGGCCCACTTAAATCGCCGCGTGGCTGACCTGCGGGAGGGATACGAACACAGGGTTCCGTTGGCAAGCCTCCTAGCTCGCCACGGTCCCCCAATCCCATGGCCATTTAGGGATTTTCAGTTTGAAGAAACCCCCCCATTCGATGTCCGTCGTCTTCCTCCGCGGCCATGCACCCCTTCCCGCCGGCGACGCCGACGAAGCAACGCCACCGGAACAACGGCGACGAGGTTAGAGAAAGAGAGAGACCCAGACGGAGAGCCCCATCTAACTCCCCCGCGTGTTTCGTTCACATTGATCGCCCGCCACCGAATTTATTGACTCACGGGACTCGTTTGAACACGCAGAGCAGGTAGAACAGCAGACAACTTTCCAAGAGGAGATCACAGAGAGAGAGAGAGAGAGAGAGAGAGAGAAAACTCCGAGCTAAACATCCTCCATTGTAGATCCTTTCCATGACACAGACAGACGGCTCCGTCCCCCTCCTTGTAAGGCTCGTGGGGAAGACGGAGACATCAAGAAATGGAAAGAAAGAACAAGAAAGGACGATGAAGACTGTCTCCGGAGTGTTGAGGAAGAAGAGAAAAATTTAGCAGGTAAGGAGGGGAGGCAGCATCTCCGCTCAGTTGTGGAGAGGATTTGGGCCGGTGGGCACGAGGCGCTTCTCCTCGTCGTAGACGGTGGTCTCCTTGCTGGAGGGCGGCGGCGGCGGCGGTGACGGTGGCCCCGGCCGGCGGGGCGTCCTCGCGAGGCGGATGCACCAGGTGGGCCTCCGCTGGTGGGCGTGGCGGTGGCAGCGGTAGAGGGAGGCGGAGGGCCAGGACTCCGCCTGTGCCGACGCTTGCGACATCTCCCCGCATACGGCCACCGACAGCAGCAGCCCTGCCAAGGCCAGCGCTCGCAGAGAGCCCCCCATCGATTGACTACCTCGGACGAGAGAAAAGGAAGAGAAAAACCAGACAAAGTCCACAGCTCTAGAGAGAGAGAGAGAGATGAAGAGAGCGGGAGAGTGGGGAAGAGAGAGAGTGGGGAGGAGGTTTTTATGAACATGTAGAGGGGTGGGGGCGATGAGAGGTAATAAGCGTCGAGAGCTTGCGACGTCAACGAGATCGTGTGATCACAGGGAAGAGGGCGGTCCCTCATTAACGTCTCTTTTATGTCGTGTGGAGCCCACGCGATGAAGACGTACTCGCGTCGCCCCCCCTCCCCCTCCGTCACTCGACGCCTCATGCTTTTGTCTGTCTCATGAACAATCATGCTTTGATCTGGTTGTGTGCCTCATAATTCCCATCTGTCGTCACACACATACATGAGAGATAGAGAGAGACAGAGATCGGTAGAGAGAGAGAGAGAGAGAGAGAGAGAGAGAGAGGGGTGGGGGGCAATCTTAAAGAGGAGGCGCATCAGAATTTTAACGAGTATGACGAAGAAGAGCAACAGTTCGTACCAACAGGACGACTCCTCCGGGCTGATAAATCCCGTTGACTTTGTACTTACGGAAGAAAAGGGTAGCTCTGCAGGATGCTCCCAACCCCCGGTCATTCCTGACCAGTTCCTTACACCGTTGACTTTGGGGAGGAAACCCAGTGATGCGGGCATGCACCATGACATTTGGGGATTGGAGGCAAAAGTCGTAAATTTCTATAAACAGAGATAGATTTAGAGAAATAGAAGGGGAATGGGAGGCAAAATGCAGAAAATTCAATCTTTGACCTGCAATATTATCAAATACATGCAGCCGAATTTACTATTTTGGTTTGAATTTATACATGGGAGCGTTGTGATTATATTCGATTCTAATCCAACTTTTCCAAGATAAAAATGGCATCAGGTTGATTAATCTCAATTCAGCTGACTTTATATAAACCAATCTCTAGCGATATTAAGATCAGAGAAACAAGTCCCTACTGATATTGGTCACTGGTTGTTAGCCGGATTGGTCTAGACAGATGGTTATAGAACGCAGCCGAGGTGAGACTAAGTGCAGAATTTGCAGAAGAAAATTTCAAGGATCATGGATTGCAGTACAGGTGCTCTCCAGGCTTCCCAGCCCAGAAGAATAGCACTCATCACTTGAAGAACCAGAATGAGAGGAGGAAGAAGTAGAGGGTAAGAGCAAACCCGCAAACATATCAAGGGCAAGATCAGAAGAGAAGCTGAGGAGACCGGACGGACGGGGAGGAGAAGCCCCAGCTATCAGATTACCGCCACGGTCATCTTCTTCGTATTGCCTTTCCGCGGCTCCATCTGCAGAGGCAATGGGGCAGACAAACCTGACGAGCTGGGACCGTCTTGATCCGCCGGAGACCCGCTCCTCCCGGGGAAGATTATCCTTCCGTTCTGGTTGCCTCGGAGGCCCTCGTCGCCGGTGTTGATGCGCCGGGATACTCCTCCTCCGCCGTCGCCGCTTAGCCGTGGTACATCCACGAAGTCGTCGGAGAGAGGAAAGAAATTGCTGATGCCATCATCTCTTCCGGCGGCTTCCTCCGGGACGAATCTGTAGGAGTTCCACCTGATTACATCCTCCTGTGACACCACGCCCGCTCCTCTTGGCGCACGGCCGCCAGCGCTTAATCGGCTTCTCTCTTCCTCGATGATCGACTCCCCGGCAATGGTGGAAACCCTGGACCCCTTCACGCTCTCCTCAAAGGTGGTCCTCTTCGCCGTGTTGGTGGTGGAGGCACCGATATTCGGGCTCCCCTCGTCTGATTCCTCAGCTTCCTCGACCGGGACCTCGAAAAGATCCGGGAGATCTTCGAAACCCGCCCTCCCTTTTCCGGAGAATGTTCCCTGATCGATGCGCCGACGGGAGATTTCCATTGCCTCCACGCCTACCTCACGCTTTTGCACCATTAACGATTCCGCAAACTCTAGCAGCACCACCAGTTCGCGACTGATCGGCTTCTTTCCCTCTCGGATCATCACATCCGCGCTCTGAGAGAAAAATCCAGAAGAGTACAACACGATAAACATCCGACGAATGAAAATGGGACCCTCCCGACTCCTCTCGAAATTCTGGATCAGGATTTACCCAGATGGAGTCGAGCTGGAGGAGCAGATCCACCACTCTCTGGTACAGAGCCTTCGGGCTGATGCGCGTCTCGTCCGAGAGAGACGATCGAAGGGCCGCGAGATGGGATCTGATGGAGGCCAAGTGCTTCAGGTCACGGAGGATCCGCGACCGTCGGACAAGGTACCGCCGGAAAGCAGCCTGGATGGTGCGCGCCGCCAGATCGCGCAACAAGGCACGACGTGGCGCAGGACGCCCGCGAGGAGAAGCCGCCTGCATCTCAGCGGTAGGAGGCGAAGAGGACACGCCGGGAATTGCGGACTCGAGGGCGGCGATCCGTCGAAGCAGCGACCGGATGAGGCTCTGAGCTTGTGGCTGCGGCTGCTGCTGTCGCTCGTGTTGATGTTGCTGGTACTGATGCTGATGGTCACGCCTCTGTTGCCCCCGCTGCTGAGATGGGAACTGGAAACCCTGGTATTCTTCATGGCAGAACTGGTAGCTAGGCGGCGACGGTGCTGCCGCCGCCGGTGGGGGATGAAGGAGTCGAGCTACGAGGGCCAGAAGCAGCGGATCATTGGCCACATTCGGGGCCAGATTCGGGATGGGCGGATGGGAACCAGCAGGGAAGCCGGAAGAAGCGCAAGCGCAGACGCAATAGCAGCCACCGCTAGGTTGCCGGCCGTGAACCTGGTTGCCACCGCAGTAGCAAGCCATGGCGTAGATCGAGGACGGCCGATCGCCGGGGATGTGCTCACAAAGGGGCTAGGGATTGGGATTTATCGATGCTTTTTTCAAACCCTCAGAGACGACGACGGAGAGAGAAAATCTACTCCCTCTCTCTCTCTCCCGCCCACGGTTAGATCGATGTGAAACACCGCACGATCAGATTAATCTCCCCGCTAAAGTGATGCGAGCCAATGCAGCAGAAGGATAAGAACGAATCCCAGGCGTTCATAGCGGTAAAAGTAGTAGTAGTAGTAGTACATGGAGGACGCGGTAATCGACTGGGCCGGGTGACGGGATCAATCGGCCGTCACAGTTACATTTATATGGGTCAACCCACGTCAAGAAAGTGGGGCGGCGGCCCGATGATCTCGATTCCTTATTACTTCCCTAGAAGACGACGCCCACGGGCATTGGCGCCTTTGACTCTGTTGTTTAGTTCATCCACGTCATCGCCCAGATGGTCCAGCGCCTTGTTGTGCCTGGATACATGAGATAATAAAGCCCGTTGGTCAAACCGAACCCCCCAAAGAACGATAAAAAGTCAACCCAAACCGCCGTTGGGAAGGGGAGGCTGACCTTTCGACTTCGGTTCCCATGTCCAGAGCCATCTCCTTCAGCTGACCCAGCATATTGCTCAAATCCGAGAGGGCGTCTTCTTGCTTTTCCTTCTCCACCTGGTGCAAGAAAGAAGTCAATAAAGGGGGGAGATAACCCAGAAGGGTTGACTTTCTGAAGTGACCAGCTCGACGGCGGGCATCAGACCTCTACTTTCTGGAGCGCAGAGCTAGTCTCGGAGCTGTGATGGCGGGGGTTCGTCCGCTCCTTTGGGTTGGAGAATAACCCCAGCCTCTCTCTCTGCTCCAGGTGGCTTCCCTTCTTCTTGAAAGAATCATCTGAAGGAGTTGACCCCATCGTACACATTAACATCCATATATAGAAATATGGTCAAATGAACCATAGTTTCTGCAGATAAACTTACCTCTGATGAGTTTCGGCCCCTTGATCTGGCGAGCTTTCTTGGGCTTCCAAGTCTTAGAGAAAAGCCCCCCAAGGTTTCCCAGAAGCTTCTCACCCTGAATAACAAGCACAAAAACAAATTCTTCAGCCGATTTTGCCCAAAACCCAGTAAAGATTTAATTTTTTTCTTAAAAAGTTCATACCCTGCTAAGATCATGCTCTATGTTAGCAGCATCCAGATGGGTCCTTGTGATCTGTTCCCCTTGCTGGTGCAACATAACCAGGGTTCGCGTGGCATCTTCTTTGATATCTTCAGCGATCTTGACACAGCCATGGAGTCTTTTTGTGGTCTCATCGGCCTTGTAGGCAGCATAGCTCTCTAGCTCCTGCACGCTCTGGTTCTCGAACCCTCCATCGTCGCGAAAATCGTTTTTGTAGTGGTTTCTCGCCGATGAGTATCCTGAATGTGCATGAGAAGATGAGGATGCTCTCCGGTCTTCACTATCGTGATCTGCACGATTGGCCGTTGAGTTGACTTTCTCGTGGGTAGGATTCTTCACGGGCTTAGTGGTGACTTCAGAGTCGGAATCAGAATCGAATGGATTTGGAGCAACAGGCCTTCGCGTGGAAACTTTGGAGCTGGGAACTGCTGTCCTCGATCCAAATCTGGACATGTTGATGATAGTAACTAAGGAGGAGGAAATCTGGATGTCCAAGAATATGACACAAACCCAAGGACTGAATCAGGAGAATGATCCAGAAACAATGATGCCTGCCAAGAAAATAAGTTTATTATGAGTTGAGACTAATTGTTACTGGAACCATAGAAAATAAAAGTCAACGACATGGAACTCGGGTTCATTAATCCATCCCAAAATGGGGCTCGAAGAAGTTTTCATGGGAAGATGAAAATCGTATAAAAGCCCACTGAAAAGAACGGGAAGTTGACCAAATTAAATGATTCAAATCCGAACTCAAGTATATGAATATCTCGGGTGAAGAAATGGATTGAAAGGGTGGTAGAAGAACATCAAAATCCGCCTAGGTGACGTTGTTGCTCAGAATTCTGTGAAAAAAAGAGTAAATCTAGAAAATAGATCGCCAATAGAGCATGAATCATGAGCCTGCGCCATCTGCTAGAACACAAAAGCTGAGCCTAGAAAATTTGCAGATAGAACATGATATGTTTTCCTACAGGACACCTAATCGGCGACACAAAAAAGCCACCACAGAGAAGAAATCCATAGAAGGAAGCAAAACGAGAGGAAAGGAGCAGCCGCGGGAACGAAAAAAGGAGAGCGAGCGAAGAAGACGATAAAACAGAAACACACACACCGTTCCCTAACCTGCGACGGATCCAACGCCGGGACCTCGAGAGACACGGAAACCCCCGGACAGAATCCAAGAAGGCGCGCCCGGACGAGTTTAACAGGAAGAACGATCCTCCTCGCAGGAGAATAAGAAGGGGCGGAGAGAAGTGGGGAAGGGGGATACCAGATAGGGAAGGCGAAGACCCTTTCCTTGCCCACGCGGAGATCACGTCAATTGGACTCCGGACGACCACGCGAAGGTGTTGCGAAAGGGGCTGGTCGACGACGGAGGGCGGGCGGGTCTTCAAGTTCTCCCCTTTTTTATACCTTCAATTCTTCTGGCCGTTTCCGTTGAAAAGGTCAACCTTGGGGATCCCAACCAGTAACAATGATCCGCCTCACCTCTCTTTCTTATTAGAGCTCCTCACATCGCTACCGCTCATCTCGCCCCTCCGTATCACGATCGGCCGCGATGCTATCGGTACTCTGTGCTATTCTAGTTCTGCGGTACAGGGGAACGTATCCGTCAGTTTCTCTCGTCACGTGCTCTACGCGGGAGGGGGAAGGTGCTCGCGTTCTGGATGGCTGCGATGGAAGCGAGGACCGTTGGTGCCAACGTGGCAGATCGGGACGGTGGGGGAGCCGCCCTGCCGCTCCACGTGGCATACTTCAATCGGGAGCAATGGACTAACCTGCTGGATCTCACGAAGGAATGTGAGACAGACGACTTCCGTCTGAACCTTGACAATTAAGAAATATATCCAATAAAACCTGGGGGCCACGTGGCGTACAAGAATTTATTGGGCCGAATTTATGTTTTGGGGGGCCCAAATTAAGGGCCCATAGTGCTGTAAGAGTTGAGGCCCGAGAAAACGGGGTCAGGAGGTTCGACGGCCGAGAATCAGCCACGTCAAACATGTAGGACAGAGAGAGGGGGAGAGACCTGTTTGTCCGTTTCCTCTGGCCGATCCTCTCACGTGTCAAAGTGCAAAAGCCGGGTACTTCACGGCCGGTTGATGCCGGTCCGGAAATATCCCGTTGGATGAGGGCGATCCCGATGTGGTCACTCTCCTGATCAGGGAATTTCAGCCGTTAATATAAGTAGAATATACGAGAGATTCCTCCTCTGGGGGGCCCGCGAGGGGAAGTTTATTGCGTAGCGGTAAGCTCACTCCACGGTCGGCTGCGCTGCGTGCCTCACGTCTAAAATATCTGAGATTCTAAATTTCCGCGCTCCTACAGTGCCCGGCTACGTGAACTAGAAAACAAATTGCGTGAAGGAAGATATGAGATAGCAGGGAGATCGGGTTCCTCACTCCGCTCCCACTCGCTTCCAGAGCTCCTCCTCCTGCCGACGGGCTCTGCATTTGCCGCGTGGTGGGCGGTGGCCATGGCGGCTTCCTCTTCTCACCTCGCTTCTGCGTCGGCGCGCTCGGTCTCCGTGTCCGTTCCCGTCCCTAGATCCGTCGGCGGTTTCAGATTCGAGCGCCCCGGAGGTGGGTCGGACAGGTTGCTGGCCCTCGGGGGGATCGGGAGCGGTCGGAGGCGCTCGGCGAGGTCGCTCTCCGTGAGGAGCGTCGCCAGCGAGCGCGAGACCAAGGATGCAGCCTCACCCAACGAAGGCATGCGTTTCCTGCTCTCTGTCGTATTCGGATTGTAGATTGATCGATTTGGTTTTTTGATCTGTTTTTGAGCTGGTAGTTTCTGCTGCACGACCGGGTTATGGTTTTCGTCCGATTTCTTTGTGTGATCTCCTTGATTTTTTTGAGGACTTGTAGGCAATAGGGTGACGATACATTCAGCCACCCAAAGAAGCCGTGCTTACTGTATACTTAATTCTAATCACGTGTAGATAGGACAGGTGCCCTTTGAATGCTTTCTCTCGGAATAGGCTGTCCTGCCTAGCTTGCTTTACGTGTATCAGGAGAATTTTCCATATAGAAGGCGTCCGCTTTACCAGCAGCTACAGTACACTTGGATGCTAGCCACTAATTTTCAAGAACTATATGCTATAATGGGTTGCATCGTCTCTGATGCGTAGAGCATTTTGGAGTTTTAGCTTGTGAGCCTTCACGCTCGGTTTTAGCACAGTGACAGAAGGATTTTAACTGGCTCATGTCATGATAAAAAAAATATCCCAGAAAAGAAAAAAATGATTTCCTAATGCCCATAAATTACACGGTCACAATCCTCAATTCTTCTTCCTCTACGTTTATATACTTTAAACTAATTTGGTTTTTCAGTTAGTGTCAGTCTGTTCGTTATCGATTTCGGTCGTGGTTATATGATGAGAGAAAAATCCTCAGCGGCGAATTTGTGTTGCAGGGATTCCTTTTGTTCTAAACTCTCCTGTGAATGATCCTGCATCCATTGCATCCAGCATCAAATACCACGCAGAGTTTACACCCTCATTCTCTCCGGAATGTTTTGGACTCCCCAAGGCTTATGTCGCTACAGCTGAAAGTGTCCGTGATGCACTTATCATAAATTGGAATGCGACCAATGACTATTACGAAAAAACCAACGTGAAACAAGCATACTACCTCTCCATGGAATTCCTGCAGGTCACTCCTCAATATCCTTTTGTTATTATGATGTCTAAAACATTGTCAACGTTCTTGTTAGTTTATATTTTTATTTTAAACTTATTGGTTATGAATGGATGCTCTTTAGATTCTGTCACTGGAAATGTAACTTGATTTTCTTGTTCTGGCACAGGGTAGAGCACTATCAAATGCAGTTGGTAATTTAGAGCTGACCGGTGCATATGCAGAGGCTTTGAAAAAACTTGGTCATAGCCTTGAGGACGTGGTAAAGCAGGTAGGCCACTTTTCTCAGTTCAACGAGACTAGCACAGCTCGTATAACATGAAAAGATTAGAACCGGTAATTTTCTGCCAATGTGGTATTCATGAATCACAAAATATGTTTCTGCATAATCAAGTGGCATCTTCGACTCATTCATATTTATATAAAAATACTGAAGGATGTACACTGTCTTGACAAACAGGAACCAGATGCTGCTCTCGGAAACGGTGGTCTCGGTCGTCTCGCCTCCTGTTTTCTGGATTCTCTTGCAACATTAAACTATCCTGCGTGGGGTTACGGCCTCAGATACAAGTATGGCTTATTCCAGCAGCATATAACCAAAGATGGTCAGGAGGAAGTTGCAGAAAGTTGGCTTGAGGTTAAATTCTCCCGACATCTGTCATGTTTCATTTAAGGATATTCTTTTATCGGTGATCTCATGTGTGTTTGTTATTGCAATGATTGAATCTATTTGTGCATCTTTCCGATGCTTCGGTTTGACTCACTGACAATTTTTCTTGGACTGTTGGTCCATTTTGTCATCTGATTCAAGTTGATCAGTTGTTGAATGATTGATGCATTATACTGATATTTCTACTGCAGATGGGAAACCCGTGGGAAATCGTTAGACATGATGTCTCCTACCCAGTGAAATTTTATGGAAAAGTGGTTGTCGGTTCTGATGGGGCGAAACACTGGATTGGCGGGGAGAACATAAAAGCTGTTGCGTATGATGTTCCGATACCTGGGTATAAAACCAAGACCACAATTAATCTTCGTCTGTGGTCAACAAAAGTGTCATCCCAAGATTTTGATTTACAATCCTTCAATTCTGGACACCATGCAAAAGCAAACGAGGCCCATGCAAATGCTGAAAAGGTTTGCATTCTTGCAATATAAAATACGATTGAGAATGGTTGTTTTTCTTGTTGAACTCTTCTTTCTCTGTAAACCTTGGTTTTTATGATTACAATATAGAAAATGCATTCTGATGTGAGGCCTGATTTTCGACATGGAAATACATGTACATCCTTAGAGGTTCTGTGGGATGAAGGAATCCTGTGGATGAGTTCTTGTAAACTTAATTTTGATGTGTTTTTTTTCTGAATTTCAGGTCCTATTTTATTTCATCAGAGAATATTCATTTTTTTTTAAAAATGGATACACTATTTTAGTGTTTATTATTTCATTAATTTCTCTTTATAGAAAAAGCGTTCCCACGTGGATCCTGTAGGGCGGTATGTTGATACGTTTCATTCAAGTTTTTTTGTGCTTGTTTGATAGACTTTTGTGTTATTTCCTTGTTTTCTGCCAATCCTTAAAAAACTTTGGTTTTGATAGATTTGCTACATCCTTTATCCCGGAGATGAATCATTGGAGGGAAAGACTCTTCGTTTGAAGCAACAATATACTCTGTGCTCTGCTTCTCTTCAAGACATTATTGCGCGTTTCGAGAGGAGGTCGGGAAAATCTTTGAATTGGGAAGAATTCCCGAAGAAAGTTGCAGTGCAGATGAACGATACCCACCCAACTTTGTGCATTCCGGAGCTTTTGAGGATATTGATGGACGTCAAAGGTCTGAGCTGGAAAGAGGCCTGGAATATTACTAAGAAGTAAGTTTCAACATTAGAACTTTAGTAATATCTCCCTTTAAAGTTTTATTACTTGAAGAATCAAGGGGAAAATTTTATTCTCTTTTTCACGCTAAAATTTAATTGATACACTCAAGTAGCTTTCTCATGCTGCCACATATCAGCATAACTTTTTTGAGGATCCTTTAGTTAAATGGAAAATGTTGATTTTGTAACTGTATCCTACAAACGAGTTAATATGCCAGAAGGTGTGGCTTTTGGAAACTTTTACTTTTTGATCTGAATATGATATCAACGAATAGGGGTAGCTTGCCGTGTCAAACATGCGATTCCACCAATATTTCCTGAACCCCTTTCAAAGTGGCATCCATTCATTGACAGGATAGGATACCCTGTGAAGATTTTCGTTATTTACCAAGTCCAGCATATTTGCCAGTTCAAACCTTTTATTAACCATCAGCCTGTTTTTACCTCAGAGAAACTTCGTTGACTTGTGGATGGAAATATCATAAACCAATTTTTTAATTTGATGAAATATTTTATACATGGTTGGGGTATCATACATCATGTATGATTCATCAAGTGTACCATATGTACCGATGTGATCTTGTTGGTAATTAAAATACGAAGCATTTTTCCTGCATGCTGAAATATAGATGTTTGAGTTTGAACATCGCAATGTTGAATCTAGTAAAGACAGTCCAGGTAGGATCTATACTTGTTTTACAGTTTTGAGGAACATTGTTTTTTTTTATCGGCATTATGAAAACATATGATGCATCAGTCAATTCCAAGTACGCTATAACTTTAGTATCAGACTTATTAAATGGGCAGTAGGTTTTAAAAAAAAAACATTATCTTGTATAATTATCGTGGCTAATAAACATGTTTACGTCTTTATGCTGAGCGTCTTCTACGTTTTAGTCGAAATGATGTTCTTCTCTTTCCATTGACTCGAAAGCTTTTTCTGTGGTAATTATCATAACATTAACAAAAAGCTGGTGATTTTTGCTTCGACCCTGGTCAAATGGTGCTCATTTTTTATTTATCAAATGACTTTGACCCCAGAACCGTGGCATACACCAACCACACAGTTCTCCCCGAGGCTCTTGAGAAATGGAGTCTCGATCTTATGCAGAAGCTTCTTCCTCGGCATGTTGAAATCATAGAAAGTATTGATGAAGAGGTAGTCTCTTTGTGGGAAATTATAAAGGATTTTTTTTAACACTAAATTTTATTGGCTATTCTAACTTGGAATTATTTATATCTAAACAGCTAATTCAGACCATTATTTCCGAGTATGGAACCGCAGATCTTGATCTGCTGCAGAAAAAATTGAAAGAGATGAGAATTCTTGAGAACCTTGATTTCTCTCCTTCTGTCGCACAATTGTTTGTTAAACCCAAGAAAGCTAAATCAAAAAAGAAAGTGTTGGTTGCTGATGTGCCTAAGAGCGAGGAAGTTGAGTCCGAAGATCAGGAATCTACTGATGAAGAATCTACTGACGAAGAATCTACTGACGAAGAATCTAGTGATGAAAAACCAGAAAAAAAGGAACCAAAATCTACACTCCCGAAAATGGTCCGGATGGCAAACCTTTGTGTTGCTGCTGGTCACGCAGTCAATGGTGTTGCGGCAATTCATAGTGAGATCGTGAAAGACGAGGTGTTTAACGACTTTTACAAGGTGACAATTCCTGGGGCCTAGACTACACTCACGTTTATTTTCAGAATTTTTTTGGTGCCTCCACGTCTTATCCGATGCCTTAAATTCATAGTTCTATCATCCACATGTCTTGAGTTCTATTACACTCACTCTTTCTTTCTTTTTCTTTTTTTTTGGCTTCTTTGCTGTTTCTAGATGTGGCCTGAAAAGTTTCAGAACAAGACCAATGGCGTGACTCCAAGACGGTGGCTAAGCTTCTGCAACCCTGACTTGAGTGAGATTATAACCAAGTGGCTTGGCACAGATGACTGGATTCTAGACACCGAGAAACTGGGAGAGCTTAGAAAGGTGATCCATCTTTTCCTATGAAGTCTTTTGAATACAAAGCTTATCTATGCGGTCTGAAGTCAAAGAACACGCCTAAATCTGGAATCATTTCAAAAAATTACGCGTTGCTCTTTCCATTTCTTCCTACCACCCTAAATCTGCTAGCCTGACATTGCCTGCGTGGTGTCCGCAGTTTGCCGACAATGAAGATCTCCAAGCCGAATGGAGGGCCGCCAAGCTGAGCAACAAGCTGAAGGTCGTCTCTCTGATCAAGGAAAGAACAGGATACGTTGTCAGCCCAGACGCAATGTTCGACGTGCAGGTAGAACACGATAATCTTTTCTTCTCTGGCTTCTTCAAGATCTGAACTAGGAAACGGGCTCTCAGGTGAAGCGCATCCACGAGTACAAGCGCCAGCTGCTGAACATCCTGGGAATCGTCTACCGCTACAAGAAAATGAAGGAGATGTCAGCCGAAGAAAGAAAAGCGAAGTTCGTCCCTCGGGTGTGTATCTTCGGAGGCAAGGCGTTCGCCACATACGTCCAGGCGAAGAGGATAGTGAAGTTCATTACCGATGTGGCTGCCACCGTGAACAATGACCCCGAGATTGGAGATCTCCTCAAGGTGCGTCTCGGACTTGTTGGACGAATATTTCTTATGATCCGCGTTGACCTGCTAAATTGCTTATTCGGGTCAACTGCACGAGCTTTTCAATTGAATCGGGCATGCATCTTCAGGTCATCTTCGTTCCTGACTACAATGTCAGCGTCGCTGAGCTGCTCATTCCCGCCAGTGAACTATCCCAGCACATTAGGTATACTTATACTCGCCGTCAGATGGGATTATTTTTCCTTTTTGGATTCCCGAGTCAATGCACTGATCTCTCTCTCTCTCTCCCTCTCTCTTTCTCTCTCAGCACTGCTGGGATGGAGGCCAGCGGAACCAGCAACATGAAATTCTCAATGAACGGCTGCGTCCTGATCGGCACCCTCGACGGAGCCAATGTGGAGATCAGAGAAGAGGTGGGAGAAGATAACTTCTTCCTCTTCGGCGCTCGGGCCGAGGAGATCTCAGGCCTGAGGAAAGAGAGAGCGGAAGGGAAGGTAACCCCCATCCCACCCACTCAGTGATGAACAACAAACACGGCCCTCTTGACCGGTCTAATCTCTCTCTCTCTCTCTACTGTGTGTGATGCAGTTTGTGCCGGACCCACGGTTCGAGGAGGTGAAGAAATACGTCCGAAGCGGGGTGTTCGGGAGCTACAATTACAGCGACCTGATCGGGTCCTTGGAAGGGAACGAGGGCTTCGGCCGCGCGGACTACTTCCTCGTCGGCAAGGACTTCCCCAGCTACATCGAGTCCCAAGCCGAAGTTGACGAAGCCTACCGCGACCAGAAGGCGAGTTAGCCATTTACTCTCTCCCTTCTCTTCGTTACGCGACGATTTTTCTGACACGGCCTTCTTTCTCTCCCTCTCTCTCTCGACGCCAGAAATGGACGCGGATGTCCATACTGAACACGGCGGGCTCCTACAAGTTCAGCAGCGACCGGACGATCCATGAGTACGCCAAGGAAATCTGGAACATCGAGCCGGCTCCGCTTCCTTGAAATCGGTGGCACCCACCAATCTGGTCAACTCCCCCCCCTCCCTCTTCCATCGTTTGTTTTCTTCCGCACCAAATAAGGCCGGAGGTCGCTCTCTACTCCATGTTTTTTTTCCACGTAGTAGATAGTAGTCGTAGGGCGATTTGGTCCGGGTGTGTGCACATTTGGTTGACTGTGTACTTCTACTACGTGTAAGAGAGAGAGAGAGAGAGCGAGAGAGAGAGAGAGAGGCCATTGGGGTTTGGTTATATTTTTCATTGCTTCTCCAGGCCCAGCAGTGTATTTCTTCCTGTATTGTCCCATGCACTAGTTAGTCCGTGGACCTTCCCAATGAAATAAAAATGAAAGGAATGTGGCCACTGCGTGCTCCCTCAATCGGAGTCGTCCCCGGCGCCGTGAGGGGTGAGATTGAGGTCTTCGTCTTCCCCCAATCCCTCTCTCTCTCTCTCTCTCTCTGAGCTACTTGGCGTGACTGGGCGAATTCCTCGTAATAACGAACGTATCTCTTCTTCCTCTACGCGTCCGTCCCGTGGGTAAGAAATCTGAACTACCCACGTTGGTATCTATCTAGAAAGAGATTAAGAAGTAGAGAGAGAGAGAGTGTTTCGACAGGGGTAGTGGTATCCTCTCTCTCTCTCTCTCTCTCTCTCTCTCTCTATCTCTCGGCGGATTTTCAGCGTCGGAAACATCGCAATGCGTGACGTCATCCGAGGGCAGGTCATGCCGTTGAGACAGAGCTAGCTCCGGTACATCGATCGTTGAGCCCTCTCGATAGGTCGCCACCCTCCGTCAGTTTCCAAAGCCGTCGCAGATAAGTAACGCCCAGAACCTCCATCGCAGTTCACGGAACCGGCGGCCGGCAAAAGAGCGCAGAACCAGACATGGTTTTGATATATACAGAAAGAAACCTTCCTTCGGACAATCACATCGATGTACACCCATTTTATAAAACCCTCTCCCCACGAAGCAGGAGGAGGAGGCTCTGTTCTGTTCTCTCTCCAGGGGACGCTCCAGGGGAAGAAGAGTTGACTGCCAGGAAGAGGCCCCGGGAGACGATGACTGTTGGATCTATAATAATAACCCTTTTATGAGAGCGAGACCTCAAAACCCGCAAGGAAGCAGACAGACCAGACCCATCATGCTCTCATTTACAATGGCGCTGGGAGGCTTTTCTTGCATGTACAAGGGGGGGGGGGAAACTTCTTGCGTTGCCCAATCTTTCTGGTCAGGGATCAGGAGAATACTACCAGGGAGCCCTGTGAAACGAGCCTGGCGTCAGCTGATTCCTTGCCCGTCGTTGGATTCATTGGCCCAAGATCCCTTCCCAAAGACCTCCTCAATCACATGACATGTCGGCAAGAAGTCGACATTCTTCTCCTGCCCAGGGAAGTAGCTCAAGTCCCACGGCTTGGTGTCGGGGCTCACGAGATACCCATGATCGACCATGCCATTGAGAGCGCTTCGGCTTTGGTCTTTTCCCACCCGGCTGAATCCCACCGCCGGCAGGCCGTCGGCGGCGGCGGGGGTGCCGGCGTGATGCCCCTCAAAGGATGTGCAGGAGTCGTCTTGGATGATGTGATCCTCAGTAATGCTTTCGAGATGCATCAGAGAAGAGTAGCACGATATGGGTTGGATGTGCCCCTTCGCCAAGAAATCATCCAGGTCTTGCCGGCGGTCCTCGGCCGCAATAAGATCGTCGCAGGCATCTCCATCGTCGTCGTCGTCGTCCTCATGGAAGTCATCTTCTTCATGGCTGTCGTCGTCATAGACCCCATGATGGTCATCATCGGGCATCTTCATGACGGAATCACTTTCATAATCCTCTGCAGCAAACTCACTGCCATCGCCATCCTGCCATTCGTCATTGTCGCTGTCAATGTGCAGAGGATCCGACCTGTTCTGTTCAGCTCTTTTCCGGAGAATGAAGACATTGAAGTAGTAGCTAACCAAGTCCTTGGTGGATTTGGAAGGCAGGAACCGGGGAAGATGATCCCAGAAATTCTTGCCCAAAGAGGCAGGATTTTCAGAGACAACTTCGTGGAATATCTGTTCCTCCTCTTCAGTCCACTTTGAAGTCACGTACTCCCCCATGTCAGGAAAACCCAGCTCGATGAACTTGGCCGACCCAAGATTTTCCTTCAGGATCTCTCTTGCTTCCATAATATGCCTACTCACACAACAGACTGAACCTTCATCAGGGCAGCTACAACCAGATGCACCGACAGATACCTTGGAATCTTCTAGGGAAGCGGCAGCATCATCAGGCATTGGGATGATGCATGTGCCCATTAACTTTTCACTGCCATCTTCATCGGTCAGATGATGGAAGGAAACACCGAGATCTGATCCATCAGGCAGTCCCTTGACAGGTCGTGGTCTCCAAGCTGGAATATCTGCTTGGTGATTGGGTCCCAGAGCAACTGGTTTTCTAGGATAATAATCAAGAATAGATATATAAACACCGTCTGGCTGAGTATAACCACTCGTTTGGTCCTTTTTCTCAACAAAATGGGGAGATGAAATCATCTGCAATGGTAAGTGTGGCCTGCACTCTTCTTCACTAGTGTTGCATGAAACCCAAGACAAACTGGAAGTACTGCCAGAGCCATCCACGGAGGGTTCCTCACGGAAAGCATCTCCATCATTTGTCGATTTATTGCAGGCAGCAACTGAAAGTCCAATAACAGTATTGAGAATGAGATGTTTTCTTCCTTTTGACTATTCATGGAATTTTAGAAAGAAGCCAAAGTAATCCGTAAGACACTTTGAAGCTCTTTACCTGATATGAGTGGTTCCACATGAGCAGCTTTGATAATAGGAAGTTCAAAAGAAACATCCCGATCAGAGTTATCTAATTGCCTTGCTCGCTTAAATGGATGTTGGTGTAGATCATCTCCAGTGCGAGACCGCTTCATATGTTCCAACTCAATGACATCTTCATAAGTGTTAATGCTCATACATTTCAAACTGCAACTCCTCCCAGGATCATTCTCATAATGACACTGGGTCATTCTGCTCACAAGACTCTGCTCTGCAGCAACTGATAATTCAGAAATGGAGTCAACCGCAGGCCTATCTTCACCATGAGATTGGCTGAATGCTTCAATTTCCTCATCTACGTTTTACATAAAATGAGTCAGCCACCTGAAAATACAAAATGCTCGAGCAGCACCAAAAAAAAAAAACCCTCAGTGGACAACCTGAGATATTTCGTTTCTCAGGGATAGCCTGGAATGGAGGCGTTTTCACAGATGAAGCCAGCTGGCTACTGAAATTCACTTGACATGACACATCATCGGCAATAGTATTTTTGCAATTGGAAACCATATCTGAGCTGCAAGAACACGAATAAGAAGACGTGAATTAGAATCACAAAGGTTTCTTGTGCCACAGGATCACACGTGATGTATATTTCAAGCAAAGTACAACAGGAGATGATAACGGAAATGAAGAAAATGAAAGATGGTTCTCAATTTATGTCTACTATACATGATGAAGACAAACCAATTAAGAGAGGAACATTACATTGCCCAACAAGTTCATAGTTGTTTTATGACTTTCCTTATGCCTATCTAACATGCATTCATTCGTTAGATAAGCATTTAAATTGTTTAAACATTAGCACAAAAGAAACATCATGGAAGTAGGCCATCCAATTCCACCGTGACAAATGCTGGAGACAAGGAATAAACTACCTGGAGCATTAAGCTTACACTTATTTTAACTAGTATAGCCTAGCTACTTAGATTGTGAAAACGAGCCAGAAATCAAGCGATGGATCAATCAACTAATCAGGGTAGTAAGCTGGCATAGCCAAAAAAATTATGACAAAACGTTCCCGCTGAGTTTGAAATGCTTAAACATTGAAATGAACCAAGGCTCAAAATTGAACACCAGATGAGATTTTTTACTACAGAAATAGAATAAAATAAGATATAAATTTTGATGCTCTGGTAGTGTCACCTATATAATGCACGTGAATTTTGTATACGTGAGCCTATCTTGTATTTATTATCATGAAAATACGTAGAAAGAAGATGCTTAAACAGTAACCATCTTAAATTTAATTGATTTGTGCATGTGATGATCTAACTATAAGTTAGTCGATCATAATGTCACCAAACAAATAACCCAATTAGACGGTCTATATCTTCATAAGTCTTTCCAAAAGTTTTATGATAATTTGGAATGTACGTAGGTGTAATGCTTTAACTTGTAAGTACTCTGCTGCATCCGCTACTCAGTAATCACGATACTAAAGAGCATTTAATAATTATTGTAAAAAAAAGATAATTGCTTCCGCAAATGATGTTTACCTCTAATGGGCCGCTGAATGGGCGCGTGGAGTCCAAGAAAAAATTTCCCCAATTGAGACCCTTTTTATATGACGCAAAAAATAAAAATAAAAAAAACACAAAAAGGAATATGGTAAAATTCGAAATTTTCCCAAATTAACTCATCGCATCGACGAAGACAACGCTCTGGAACCCTAGATCACGAATTTGAAAGGGAAAAAAACAAAGGGTCAAGAACAGGTCCAGACGAGTGAGGTTCGGCAAACAAGAAATCTAGATACAGCAGAATTCTTTCCCGAAGTCGAGTCAATTAGCCGGAGGGAATTTCCGAAACAGATGAGGGTACCACCGGCGGCGGTATCCTCGATGTACGACGACCCTAACCCTAAACTCGATCCAAAAAATTGGGGACTCCGAATAAAGGGGGAAACCTTCGAATCGAAACCAAAGTTAACCGAGACAACAGATCTAGGATTGGGATAGGAATAAACGGGGATCAGGGACGGTTTTCGAAACCCTAACCCAGGGATGAGGTTGACGGCCGACGACTGGCTAAGAAATCCGGATCGATCGGCGCTGTGGTGGGAGACCGGATAGAGGTAAACGGATTAACCCGGATAAACGAACGAACGAATCGGAGAGAGGATCTCGATCGAGATGGAGGGAATTCTGAGAGGGAAATAGGCCGAAAAGGGCGAAAAAACAGCTAGGGCTCGCTTTTTTTATTTTCCCCCTTCCTCGAAAAAAAAATTTAAAAAATCCGACGGTCCGTAACCTGTAGATGTAGTCGACAGCTGGGTCCCCTTTCACACGTAGCCTCCCGCTTTCTGCCAACCGGGAACGCGTCCCGTGAATCCTTAAATGACTTTAAAGCCCCCAAAAATCACGACCAGGGAGCATTAACGTACTCTTCTTCGGCAGAGGGCATAAGGGTATAAATGTCTTTTAAGCACGGGTTGGATTAGAAAATGAGGACAGCAAAGCTCACCACTCAAAGGAACATCACCGCCGTTGCTTGAATCCGGAATCCGGCTACCACCGATCCGACGATTCTGAGAGTCTCTATCGGAGAAGGCTAAGGAAGGGACGGTCCAGATGGAGAGACCTTAGCCGGTCTCGCAGCTTATGGAAGGAGGCGCCGCGGTACAGCTAACCTCGGCGGCTGAGGCAGATGAGGTGGGGGCCCGGCCCACCAGCAGACAAAAAGATTCGGTCCCAAATGGCGGCCGTAGCAGAACCGTCCGATATCGCGGAGATGGCAGCGGGCCGCCAGCGCACGAACTGCCAGGCGTCCGCCTGCAACGAAATCTGTGGCTGAGCTTTTTTTTCCAGAGTCAACCAATCATGAAAAATCACGTAAGCCCCCAGCTTCTCCACTCGAAACCCCATCAAACCTCCCTTTCAGACTGCCAATTCAACCCCGATTTCATCATTCAAATCTCAGATGAATACAACAATGGGAAATACGAGACGGTTCTGACCCAGTTGACTTTCAGGCATGGCTAGAAAGACCAGGTCTGACCGTTGACTCCCCTGGTTCAGACAAGAATCAAATTCATTGGAAAGTCAACCAATCAAGAGCTAGTAATCTAGCTTGGGTTAGCAGAATCCCCTTGCTTCCAACTCTTTAAAGGATTCCATCTGCGCAATGGGCAAGGGAAAACAATTGCAAAAGAGAAGAGGAAAGGATCATGACAGAAGGTGGGACAAAATGAATACTTGTGCAGATGCAAGAACTCGCTTGTTGGAATTGATCCGTGGGAATCCGTGATACATAATCCTGTGGGGTTTTGGAGTTCTTCGCCAGGCATGGAGGCAGCTGCAAAATCAGGGTCGAGATTCCCTTCGTTGATGAGCAGAGTTGAATCCAAAGTAGGAAAATTGCTATAAAAAAAAAAATTCTGTTGAAATAGTTTACACTTTTCTGGGAAGAGAGGAAAAAAAGGAGAAAATCATCCCTAATTAGTAGGACGGAGTCTTCATAATAACTGTTTATACCTCGCAAAAATGGCGTCAATATTCATGGAAAAAAAAAATAATGAATGAGATGCCAGATGGGTGAGGCGGGCCTTCAGTTGAATCACCTGCAACCACACTCAGATTAGTGAGAACAAAAACTAAGAGAAAAATGATGATATTTAAATAATAATCAGGTATGGAAATCTGATGAAGAACTGGTGTATACTCGTGGAAATCACAATCTTCGACAAGTAGAAAACCGATGTGATATTAGATGATGATATACATAAGTTCATCCAGGATCAAAGTTTTTAAATGAGGATTACTGAAAAATTCTTGAAAAAAAAGAAATATATTTCGTCCTCAAGATTTCCAAAATAAGCTTCTGAACCATTCCATGTAAATGACAGATCGCATCAGCTCCAAGAAAAGAAATAAAATGATAAATATTTGACTAATCCAGGTGTATTGCTGCTCAATATATATAATCAAATGAAACATTCCTCTGTTTTTATCGGAATTTGGTCCATGTTCTCCTCTAAGTGATGTTGAGTAGATTTCTTCGTAACATGCTTCTCCAGATACAACATATCCTTGTCAATACACAAATTAACTACTTTGAATTAATATATCACATTGGGCAGACATGCGAGTGCGATAAGGTCCTCCCTTTCTAATGAGACAGTTCAGAGTGGATGACTCACAACCTTCATTAAATGAACCTATGATAGAAACACCGAAAATTACAACTAAAACATACATATATACACAAAAATTACATTTAATTTTCCATTAAACTCCCTTCTGGTTACTTATTTTTCTTATGCCTCTCGTTATCCTAAACAGGGGTATCAATGAAATTTAAACCTTTAATTATAATTACCCTGAGTTCGCCTGACGGATATTTACAGAAGGTCCAAAGACTACCATTTGGCAGCTCTGAGGGGCTTGAACCTGAAGTTGAAGAAAAGAGGAAATTCAGCCGTTTCATTACAGCAACAGCTGTTTTTTTCTAAAATGACTAAAAAAACCCATATAATGAAAATAAAATCACCTTTGCTTAGGCTTATCCTCTCAGAAAGCATTGAAAACGTTGCTTGTCTCAAGATATATCACCACTGAAACAGCCACCAACCTGAAGTAATTGAAAACCAATGCGTTAAAGGTTGTATTTCTAATTGATGAAAACGATGGGAAAAAAAGGAGAGATTTTTAAGTTCGAATGGAGACATATCGATGAATCATCCTTCCCTAAAGTGAACGTACATTATTGTTTGATCTGTTTACAAGAAATAGCTTCATTATGAAGTATATTATGAAGGCGTAGATAGATAAAAACAAACTATAAAAATACTAATTTAAAAATCAAAGTAGATAATATAAAGACCAGAATAAAAGTGTTTTCCAGCTTGGAACCAACAATTTCTTTGTCGATACATATTCATTAGTTCTAAGAGAAAAATACCAGCCAACATATCAGACTAAGGAATATCTTGCGACTTCTATATCTTTAGCTAAGCATAATAAGTGAGAGCTGTCTCAAGTTTCAACACAATTTTCATTCACTGAGCTGCTTTTTTGCCTCCTTTTCGTTGCTTCACAAGTGCCCTTATTAGGTGAAAGATCGCAGAAGACCTATTGAAAAACCTTCTTTATGTCATCACATTGTTGAATCTGGGTCCATCCAGTGTATAGTACGCAAAGAATGACAACAGTGAATCTGGGCCGGTAGTTTTAGTATATTCGGAAGTGGATATCAACGGCAGTAATAAACGATGGCACAAGAAAAATAAATTTCTAAAGAATAATAAATAACTACATATAAATAAGGTATATTGAACACATACTTACATTTGTAAACTACCTGAGCCTTCAGATAAACATAACATATTTCCCGTGGCACACGACTGTTCAAGCCTGAAAAGAAAACCCACTGAACATTGTAATTTCCAGACAGAAAATAAACAATAGAAGATTGAAGCCTGCTTACAAAGAAATCATAGGACAAAAAGTCGAAAAGGCTTGTAGAAATAAGACAATAGCTCCAAAAAAAAAAAAAGGTAGGAGACATCTATGTCCATTTAATTTGTACAGTTCAACAGAAGTATGATATTCTCCGGGGAAAGAGTTACATTCATCAGGCAGAGTCCTCCATTGATTTACATCAATTGTGAGAACTTGTAGAGAACCAAGGTTGACCAAGCCTGCAGTTGGGTGTCCTAAGACTTTGATCTTTGGCCTGAAAGTAAGAAAACCACGTTAACAATTCATGCCTTGTTTAACCTAACTTGTGACTTTTCCGCAATTGGAAAGTGCACAAGAAAGAACAGCATACACGTGTAAAAGCATTGAACATTAGGTTAGAAAATCTTACCAGATTTCGCATGTCTTTTACTTTATTGCTCCCATTCCGAATATCTCATACATGCTTGTCAAAGTGATGTCAACATATGTATTCATGTAATAGCCAGTTTTAATTATTTGAGCATGGATCTGTCTGCCTTGTTCCTTCAACAATAGTTTGCAGCAAGCTGTCAGCAGACTAATGAAGCTTATGTGATCGGGCCATACGCCCAATTTATTCATCTGAGTATAGAGATTAAGGGCGTCCCATGCACACCCTTGTTGAACATATCCTGAAAGCATAACATTCCAAGAAACTACATTCTTCTCTGGCATCACAGCGAAAAAAGCTTTTGCTTTATCCCAGATTCCACATTTCACATACCCACCTAGCAATGCAGTCCAAGAAACGATGCTAGGATGGCGAATGTCAAGAAATGAAAGAGTGGCAAACTCTACGTGTCCACATTTTCCATACATGTCCACAATTGCACTGCCGACAACAACATCAAAGTCAAGGCCCGTTTTATGGGAATGGGCATGAATCTGTGCTCCCCATGCAAGAGCAGATATATTTGAACACGAGTCAAGAGCACAAGAAAGGGTAACGTTATCTGGCTTTGGACCAAAATATCTCATCACCCGAAAAGTATTCAGAGCCTCATAATTCAACGTGTTCTGTCCATATCCAAAGATCATGACATTCCACAAAACAATATTCGGTTCATCAATTGCATGAAATATCTTTTCAGCAGCTTGGCGATCATAGAAAAAGAAGTACATATCAATAAGAGCGCCACATACAAAAAAAGAAGAACTGACACCAGCTCTTGTTACCTGGGAATGAAGTTGCTCACCATATCCCAGACCTAAAGTACTGGAGGCCGTTAGGAGGCTCCCATAAGTAAAGCTGTCACCTTTTGGCCCGCATACACACAATTCCTTGAAAGCTCCTGCAGCCTCTTCATACATTCCAAGCTCTGAGTAACCTGTGATCAAAGCATTCCACAGGGCAAGGCTCTTCTCTTGTACACTTTCAAACAACATCCGGGACCTCTCTACATGCCCCTGTTTTGCATATTCAGCAATCAAAACGCTCCAAGAGAAATCGTCCACAAAATGCATGACCTCAGTAACCCTTCTTGCGTCATCGAAATTACCGCACTTGGCATACAGAGACACAAGGACGCTGCCAACAGTAACATTTGCTTCATATCCACATTTAACAGTGAGCCCATGCACTTTGGATCCATCTTCGAGATTTAATAACTCGACACATGCATTTAATACACTAACAAAAGCTACCTGATCTGCATGTAACCCACATTCCCGCATTTCCTGGAAGAAATCAATGGCTTGTCCGTTCCGCTTATGCTGAGAACAACCCTCGATAATCATAGTCCATGAAACAACATCCCTTTTAGGCATTTCATCGAAAAACTGAAGCGCCTGATCTATCCTTGAACAATAAACATATCCTGCAAGCATGGAATTCCAAGTGAAGGGCTCTCTAACATCCATCAAGTCAAATTCCCTTCTGGCTTCACAGAGATACATGCATTTAGCATACAACTCGACAAGAGCACTACCTACATGAACGTGGGTATCCAGTCCAGTTTTTATGGAATACCCATGGAGCAGTCTACCATTTACAGAAAAGCGAAGATTGCAACAAGCACTAACTACACTAGAGACACCAAAGTGGTCGGTTATAGCACCAGAATGTCTCATGTTCGCGAAAATTCTTAATGCTTCTTCACAAGGACCGTGGCGATCATATCCTGAGATCATCAAATTCCATGACACAGAGTCCCGGTTAGGCATTTGGTCGAACAATTGACGCGCTGTGGATAAATGGCCACCTCTACAATAACATGCCATCAATGTGTTCCATGAATGCAAATTCTTCTTCTTAATTATCCTAAAAACCGAATGAGCGTCGTCCAAGGAGCCGCATTTCCCATACATATTGATCAAATGATTGAAGAAGAATGTGTCGTTACTAAAGCCGATGACTGTGACGTGCGCATGGACTTGCCTCCCCTGCATTCGTGTCCCATTTTCTGCGAAGGATTTGACAATGGAGCACAGAGCGTCGGCTCCAGAAGGTTCTCCCCGTCGATGGAGAAGTACCAGCGAACGGACTGCATCCTTAACGCGTCCGGCGATAACGAGTTTTCCCACGGAATCCGAGCGGGGTGAGGCCTCAGACAGTCGTCGTCTCCCCGAAGCAACCGTGGCGTTGCCCGTAGCAACCGTGGAGGGACTTCTCTTCTCCGCTGGAACGGGCGCCGACAGGGACCTCGAAACGGAGGGGAGGAGACGCTTGGGAGTTCTCATGTGAGCGTGGACTCTCATCTGGAGAGGACGAGGTCATTCGGCATGGAGGAGCTCCGAAACCATGGGGGAAGCTCAGGGTTTCGGAGCCCGGGGCGCCGCCCCACTGCAGTGGGGGAAGCGGAGAACTGAGGAACGACAGCGTGGGTCGCGCTCATAGCGGCGCTTAGAACCCTTCAAAACCGCACATTTTCTCGTACTAATATGATGAAATTGGTACCTTTAGTTTGCTGATTAATAGAATATATATACTCGCATTATTATTAAACATATATGAGAGATAAATCCTAATAATATTAAATGTTGACTTTACTTGAGAATGCCTTGGCAGGTTTGACCTTGACTCATAGCCAAGTCAAAATCACCCAGAACGTAGCCATCATATATAACCGTGCGTAAGTCAAAGTTACTAATTACGAATATATGTGTAAATTATTAATAAATAATTGTATGATATAAAAGCAGCTATAATCCTACCTGGTCTAAGAAAAAAAATATCAGCTGGTGGAGGAGATTCATATCACAATCAATCCCACTAAAAAAGTTTTATCATAAACTTATGGATTCATATAAATTACAATCCATTTCATAAAAAATTACAATAAAACCATATAAACCCGATCCTACAAAGTGGGAAGACCTACAAGGATCATTTTCTCAGAAAATCCCACCTTCTTTGGCGGTTTATCGTTGACTTCTCACAGGACATGAACACAATCTCCGCTCTCTAAAAGGGCTCGAGGACGGTCGAATTGTTAGAATCACCGACAGAAAATGATGCAAAAATATGCGCTTCATTTTTTCTCAACCACCATGATCACTCGTTTTTATTATTTTCTTCTTTAAAAAAAACAAAAAACAAAAAACACTGCTGAATACCGTTAAAAGTCAATGCCCTCGTCCAGGCCTCGAGAGTTTATCATCACGTTGGAGTCAATCACCTTGTCAAACTTCCTCTTCCTCCGAGCTTCAAAATCTTGAAATCCTTCCGTCTGCAAAGAAAGAAAGAAAAACAAAAAGAATTGTGTGAGAGATAAAGAAAATAAAAAATAAGAAATTAAATTTGTTCATGTGTTTGAGAGGGTGGAGAGAACGTGCTTGCTGAAATTGTTCCATGGAAATCGGATTCTCATGAAGAGAGATATTCTGCAGAGCTTTACACTCCCTCAGTAGCATCGGAGGCAGCTGTCGATTAGTCACGAACAGGATTCCCATCAATGATGTGCAGATATAAATCGGTATAAGATGCCTCACTTGGCCAATGTATGAAGAAGAAGAGCAAGCAAAAACATGAAATATATGTATATATAGATATATATATATATATATATATATATATATATAGCAAGGGGGCTTTCATGATCCATTGATTATACCTTGTGTAAGCGGTTATTATTCAAGGAGAGAGATTTTAAGTGAATAAGCTGGCAGATGGAGGGCGGCAGATCTTCGATTGAATTATCTGCACGCAGAATCATATCTAGTTAGAACATAAAATGGATGAACAGAATAAAAGCCAGGTATTGAGATCTGAGAAGAGATGTCCATATAAATTCTTCCCGTATTTAAAAATATATATTATTATTGAATTTTTATTGGGTGAAAAATCAGAGGTTTCAGCCTCAAGCGACCGACAACAGGACTTCTGCCTCTTATTCAGAAGGCACCAGGAGGCATTAAAAACCTTCTTAACAATCTCTGATACTATTTAAGGCAATAATATGTTGCGGAAGGCACTATACTTGTAAGACTAGTTAGTCAAGAGATTAAATATTTACCATTTGCACGCACTTCTTCCAAGGCTAGACAACTCCCGATGGATTGTGGAAGGTACTTCAGATTATTGTTAGACACGCTCAAGATCAATAGCTGCATTGTCAGAATTAAAGTAGATTAGAAGTGAAGTAGAGTGCAGCACTCATATCAATTTTGGTGGATTGGATGCTACAAGGGGGAGATATATGAAAGAAAGCTATGAACTTTGTAATGATCTAAATAACAGTGCTTTATTGGAATAAATCTGTATAAAAAAAGTGACTATTTCGAAATAGAATAAAAAGGCATCAGATTCAGGGTAGATACACTTCCATTTCTCCTAGTTCTGGCTAACATTCTACTTCCATTCCTGCAGTGTTCCTCACAGTTCATAACTCTTCCTTGCACAAAATCTTGGGTGGAAGATAGGTCATTCGGATGCATTTTATTTTTCAAATAATTACACATAAGAAGTAGAATACGATTGAGATTTATTTTTTTATTCAAATATCAACCACATTTCGCTTTTCTGGAATCTGCTTTTTGTCTATATCCCTATTTTTTTAAGAAGAGCTGACATTAATCTTTTAGGTAGTTCCCACGTTGAGATAATAAGCATCTAAGTGCAGTATAATTAATTAAACATGGGGTAGTCAAGATAATTGGGTAAAGTGTCTCCAAATTTCAGGACAATCTTCATCCTCCACGTTTACCTTACCTTTGACTGCCACAGAAATAACCTTTTCATGTGAAAGACTGTGATGGGCAGACCAATGGAAAGATCATCTTATGGAATCACACTGTAACATACCACCCCACCTTGTCATCCAAAGCAAATATTGTGAATATGGGCACATTTGAAATGACTGGCAACAGGGATTATCGAGGATATCATCTATTGAAGGGGATTCCTTTAGAACAATAAATATCTAATTCGGCTACAGACAATAGTCGAAACTTTTCGCCATGTCGAAAAAGACTTACATTTTTTAGATTACCCAACGTTTCAGGTAAGCTTGTTAACATATTTCCAGCGACAGACAATTGCTCAAGCCTGACAAGAAAGCCCACTGAAAAACATAAAAGAAATATGCAATTAGAAAGAGGATAAAAAAAAGGTAATTATATTTTTTTAGGAATAAAGTAAGGGCAGGAAGATTAAGTGGCTTGGAGAAATGAACAACGGTCAAATATGAAACTAGGAAGTATCTGTTTCAGCTCAATTTCTTTACTCAATAAAATTAGGATATGTCTAAGTCAGAAAATTACACTCGTCAGGCAAAGTCCTCAATTTATTTGCATCAAGTGTGAGAACTTTTAGAGAGTGGATATCCCCCAGGCTTGCAGGTAGGCGTTCAATAATATTTTGAGCTAAGACCTGAAAGCAAGAAATCCCTTAACCGTTGCTCCTGTTTTGATAATCCCACCAGGCTTTTCTTCACTTGAGAACTCGACAAAATTAACAGCATATAAATGGGAAAGCATTGATCAATAAGGAAGTAAAGCTCACCAAACGTTGCATGTTGAATAATTTACTGATCTCCATCGGAATCATAGCTGCAGAAACAATCAACAAAACCAGAAAATTACTAACGATGTATAAGATACAATGAATAAAAGGAAATAAAAATACTCTTGGAGTCAAAATAAACATTTCCTTTGATATTATTGATTCATGTCAAAACATACACTACCTATCACCTTTGTTCAACGTCAAATGTCCATATGGGATCCTTCCAGCATTGGAAAAGTAATCCTCTCGAAAGCTTCATTTTAGTTTAACAATCCTAGAAATTCGGAGAATTTTCATAGTTTCAGACTTTGTACAGCCCCATAAACTCAACTAAGACAATTAAAAACTAAAAATGGAAAGCCCCCAGGATAAGGCAAGAAAAGGGCAGCACTGAACATTGCACAGCACGAAACTTGTGTTCACTTGGACAAGTGCTTACTAACTTTGACGACAGTGTAATAGAGATGACATAATGGTTTGACGGAGAGTGAAAGTGTTGCATACTAAAGGCCACAACCTAACTAAGCAGAGGTCGGAAAAACCATTTAAAAAGTTTAGATGGACAATATCGGAAAGCTTAACAACAAAACATCAATCAATACAAGACAGCCCTAAAAGCCAGGGTAACCAGGGAAGATGGGCAGGTTTATTGGGTCAACTACGAATCTCTAAACGTACGATTTACTTCTGTGAGCGCGAGAAGCACTAAAGTCCATAAGCATTTTAGTTACTGAATCAATTACGAGCATTAAGATCATTTGTATGAAGAATATTCGTAACAGCCCAGATGGTGGAACACAATGAACTTATGTGCATACATAGTCCATGATCCTCTGGTTAGTGCATCATGAGTCCATGATCAAGAAGTTGATGAGAAGGATATCTATTATTCTGGTAAACAAGGAATATACTCTAACTATTGAATTAAGCGACAGTTTGGGAACCAAAACCGTGGACGTATTCCTTCAAAACATTCTCCGATCTAAATTCCCTGTTCAGAAATTCACAGAATTAAACATCTCTGGAGGATAAAGCTGAGGCAAGCTCTCAAAGGAAATTTAGCACTTCACAGTGAATGAGATGTGCGAAAAACACAGCAAATCGAATCCACAATCATTCATGAAAAAAAAATTCAAGGCGCGTTACTTGTTTAACTACAATTACTTGCATCCAGAGAATACTTTGTTTAATTATTGAAGAATCTATTTCTCGACCAAGATTCCCACCGTTTAACAGTGATGTCTAGAGAACCCTGCCAGGAGTAAGTTGGTAAGAATAAGGGCAGAGAGTGACTGGGAAGCTTTACAATCTGATATTGAAGGAATAGTGATTTACACGATGATTTCTTAATGATTTATAATAATAATTTATCACTAAAAAACATCTATGAAGGATTCTAAAGCGTGACGAACTTAAAGGATTGGAATATTTTCAACGCATTCCACATTTTGTGCAACGAGAAGAAACCCCTAATTTACTATATGTTCCCATGTTGGATACAAGAACTATTGAAGACCGTGTTTGAAGAAGTCATAATAGAGGAACATAAATTTCATATTAATGTATTTTATAAATTCGTTGGTTGAAACTTGACAGGAATATTCAGGCAGAAACAAATCCGCAATTCTCGTGCTGGTAATATTTGTTTTTTACACTCTTTTTCTTTTTCAACTACTCTACTATAGCATACTCTCTGGGGTGAAAAAAATGACCTGAATTTTCACAATGAGAATAAGAGTTAAACTTTCTATGATGTCGCCTATTATTTTTATGCAATATTATCAGTCCGCCAGTACCAGACTAACAACAACTTTCTCGAATAATGTGTAATGCGTCAGTTTTACTTAGTGGATTATTTAGTGGATAATGGATACAATAATCCTCGAGCTTTATGGGTGATTTTGTAACTCGGAGAAAAAAAGGCAATCTACTATTTCAGCATAACCAACGAATAATGCGCAATGTGCCTCAGACAAAAATGTCATTATATTATCAATAATAAATTATGATGGAGAAGTTAAACGCTATAGATTTTCTTCATCAATTCATATTGAACCACGAGTTAAATGGAAACAAAAAATAGATGCCAAAATATAGAAAATACAGAATATATCATATTACCATAAAAATGATCTTACCTATTTTGTTGTTTGTCAAATCAAGTGTTCTTATAAATTTGTCTACTTCCAGAACTTCTCTCGGCAATGCCTAATCCAGGAAGATTGAAATTTGAAACATAGAATTATATGTGGGAAGGACAATGAAAGATCTATTTTTCACATCTGCTTAATCCATATTAAAGTAGGAAAAAAACAGTCGGAAATCGCTGATTTAATATTTATAAAACTGAACAAGCGAAGATGAGTTTCAAGATACGAAAATTTAATCCAATAATGGTATAAAAAAGCGAAAAAACGCACATGCTAAAACTAAAAGCAGGCAATATTGATAAAATCATAGCATTCAAAATCTGCGCTCTAAAGCAAGATCATTTTATGCCAAACGCTCTAAATCATAGCATCTTCTAACTCTAATTTTTTTCTAGAATGCAAAGGATATTTTCAGAGGCGCAATTGTCTACAGAGGAAAAGACAAATGAACATACTACAAACCAAACCTCCTGAATAAGCATAGAAAATAAGAATCGCCTCAAGAAATGTACTATGTTACATATCTTAAAAATTTCAAATCAAGTGCATATACTGATGGGCGTAATTAAATCCTCAAATTCTCTAATAAGCCCGAGTTCGAATTCTCCATATCTGCACATCCACATCCAATTTCCACATCCCGTGAGATTACTGCAAATAATTTATTTTTCTCTAGAGGTTGATGCATGAACACCTGATAAACTGTAAAATACGGGCCTTCCTGATGTTAGGCTCCTTTCATTTTGACTAATCAGCATTTCCACAAAATGTTATGTTGTTGAGACACTGGGTACGTTAAGCTGAAGAGTAATTATTGCCTTCTACCAAACCTGTACTAGACGACATAGACCCTATTCTACCTTTGAACACTCGGATAAACTAAATTACATAACCATTACTAATTTCTTATACTTCAGTAATGACTCCATCAAGCTCAAAAGAAGAGAGAAGACCCAACATAATAGGAATCTGAACCAGAAAATGAGTATATTGGTGTTGGAAATGATCTCTTGGTTACTAAATAGGGGAAAGTTGTCTATTGTACGTTCGAATCAAGTTGAGTCAACGGTTTAACAGGAACCTTGGTTTGGCATGCTTGCCAAACAGCAAAAAAATTGATTTGTTACTCCTGGCTGACACTCAACGGAGGATTACAGAACAATCTAAATAGAGAATGGGGACGTGGCACATAAGAGTCTTTCCCCTAGACAGTTCTCCACGTCCTTTCTGTTTACGATCCCTTCCTATTTCATTTCCCTCTTCAGACATTCCCCTAACTCTGATCTCATTGAATCAGTTTCTTGAAAAAAAAAAATTGCACGTGTTCATCTCCAAGCGCAATATTTTCTGTTGGTTATAGCTGTAACTCTGATAACCTCTTCGAGATTTATCATTCACGCTGAATGGACTTATTTCAATCAATCAGGTTTCTTGAGCATATCTATTAATATCACATCTACAAGAATGAGGCCATGCCTGAGTGGGATTAGCTGGGAGCAGGAACGTAGAGAAACTACAACTCAATGTGAAGTGGAAGAGACGATTGTTGGTGCTAAATAATAAACCTTTTATTCCGTTTCTCAGTTTATAACAACTGACGATTCACAAAGAAGAAAGTAGTCCTACGATAAAAGAAAGAGCCAATCGTAAACCCAATAAAGTTTAAAAACCATACACATTTAACTTAGTACCACATTGAGATACGTATTGCACGGTAAGTCTAAACTCGACTATTCATATTCAATCTTCAGTTTCCATTCACGGTCGTAACTTCAGTTCAATCAAAACCCGTCGACAAGCGATCATCGGTTTGTCGTATTCCAATTTCATTTACCCAAACATCCAATTTCATGTAGGAAAGCTCGAGACGTTCCCAGGGACTAGGGTATATTCGTGGTTAGCTCCGGTGGTACCATTCCGCATCGAGAAACCATTAGCCATGTTTCCAATCCGACGAACAGTATTAAAAAGCATACGCCAAGGTCCTCACCCTCAATCCACGGTCCCTCAGAGCGACGATGCCCGTCGATCTCCACATGGTCGTCTGGTTTGCGGCGTAACCACGCCCCTTGCTGGCGCAACATCCCATTGCTCCCAAACTCCCCTTCAATTCCGAAGTAAGAGGCAGAAACAGAACCCGATCAACGCCGGCCTTCCGCAGTTCGAACCACAGATTCTTCTGAATTTTCTACCCTCGCAGAGAGCATCAGTTGGGCGCCGAAACCAACGGGAGAGGTGATGCCTGACGCGCAAACCTCCGAGGTCTCTCGCCCATTCTGAGGAGGCAACTTCACTTTAACCGACTTACAATTCCACCTTATCTGTGTTACCGTGGCAGGCAACTACCTCCAGCATTGACTTTGACCGGTCAACAGGAAAAAATGCGTTTCATAGCATAATAATCAAATTATTTATTCATTTGTAGTTTCCTGCCATAAAATATCAAGACTTAGTAAGCTGAAAACTCTTGTGGAATAATTTATCTATTATTTTTTCATAATAAGTCAAATAATATTCTAATAATTTTTTGCTTTTGTGTTTAGAGAAATCCATCTAATTTACAAAAATATATACAACCAGATGGGCACATTTTCATAAGAAAATAAAACGCATTTATTGAAAAAATATAAAAACATATCATATTTGAGCTACATCGTTTTCCGATTATAAAAAAAAATGATAATTACACGAACGGAGCACATTTATTTCAAATATATATAATATTTTGTTCTAGAATACTCTCGCAATAAAGACAAAATGACACGTACGTGTATAGTGCCCTCCCATAAGCACGTTAAGAATCAGCACCAGAGAGGAAAGGGACACCCCTTGACAGATGATGTAGCTGGGAAGAAGGACAGAAGAGAGAGAAAGTCGAACCATTCATAGGAGAGAGAGAGAAAGAGATTAATATGAGGGAATTTGTGTGGGTGAATAAGGTAGGTTATAACTTATAAAAAAATCGAGTAAATACTATTTATATTTAACTCGCTTATAGCCAACGTGACTTGTGACCATAAATGCACCTAGATAATCTGATGGTTTTATGCTAACTAAAAAAAAAAATGCGAGGGGGGTTTATCCGCAATTAAAAAATATTAGAGGAAGTCATGAGTAAATAAAAATCTAATAAACTTTAAAGCATGTATAATATACCCAGAGGAATATTCCATTTAAATCGATGATATACTTTTATAAATAAATCCATAAATAACTGATTAAAAAAGGGGTCAACAGACGCTCCTATATTATACTCCGTACCCCACCCCAATTTTAATCATGCCATTTATTATGATGCGACTCGTTTGGACATCCTAACCACCACACCAAGAACATCCCTTTCTTGACTGCTAATCCAGTTATAAGCGTTCATTAATTATTTATTCCTTTCTTTTAATTATTATTTTTGGTTAAGTATGAAGCATGGTGTCTACTCTCTCTCTCTCTCTACACGTGCACGTGAGATTTATTTTTTCGTGTAAGTTGTCGATGTATATACATCAGGTTGATGTAATGGGATTTTAGTTGAATTCCACACAAACAAAAGGTCAAGTCTAGTTTGTCGCATCGCTTGGCAAACTATGCGGGTGGGTTGAATGAACTCTAGTTAGCAGAGAAAAAAGAGAGAGAATATATTGGTATTTTTTTTAGCAAAGAAAATGATTTTTTTTATGATGGTTTGGCGTTTAAAAACGGCAATAAATGAGCCGTCGTTGACTTATTATGAAGAAACGGCCACGTCCTCAGATTCCTTCCCTGACCCGACCACCGACGGAAGTTGAAGTTGTACAGGACACAGGACACAGGACACGAACAGCCGTCGGCAGGCAAACAGAGGCATGATCAGGACAGCCTGTGGTCTCTCGCACGGGCATCAGCGTGCGGGGGAGATGGACTAAATGGTGGCGATTCCGCCGCAGGAGGCGGCCCGGGTGGACACATTTGGCAATTAATATGAAGATATTTAAACAGTGGACCCTTCCCAGACAAGTACGATCCAAAGAAGAGAAAAAAAGGTAAATGATAATAATAATAATAATCTCCCGCCCATCCCACCAGCTAGCGGATTGATTCTTCTGACGAGAGGAAACAACAATCTGAAGGAAAAATAAAATAAAATAAAATAACGAGGGTTCCTGGATTGGATGGCACCTCACATGAAGCACGGTTTTTACCGTCGTTTCGTCGTCTTACGCAGGGGTTGACTTTTATCAGGCTACGGCGGGCATGTCCTTGAGCCAAGCGTCCAGCGGCTTCCCGATGGAGTAGACGATGAAGCCGATGTCTCTGAGCTTGGCGGCGTCGACGATGTTGCGGCCGTCGAACACGAAGGCGGGCTTCTGCATGCTGTCGTAGATCTTCTGGTAATCAAGGGCCTTGAACTCGTCCCACTCGGTGAGGATGCAGATGCCGTGGGCGCCCCTGGTTGCCTCGTAGGCGTCCCAGCTGACGGTCACCTGCTTCACGGTGGTGGGGCTCATCGGCTGGAGATGCGCCGGATGGTCCCAGTCGAACTTGCTCAGCGCCAGGTCCCGCTGGATCTGGTCCTCCGTAACTTGCGGATCGTAGATGCTGATGGCGGCCTTGTCTCCCAGGAGGCCCTTACAGACGTCGATCGCCGGCGTCTCCCTGGTGTCGCCGGTGTCCTTCTTGAAGGCGAAGCCGAGGACGGCGATCTTCTTCCCGGAGACGGTGTTGAACATGGAGGAGACCACCCGGTTGACGAAGCGGCTCTTCTGGTAGTCGTTGATCTTGATGACCTGCTTCCAGTAGTTGGCCACCTCGGGGAGGCCGTTGCACTCGCAGATGTAGACCAGGTTGAGGATGTCCTTCTGGAAGCAGGAGCCTCCGAAGCCGACGCTGGCGTTGAGGAACTTGGGCCCGATCCTGGAGTCTCTCCCGACGGCGTAGGCGACCTCAGTGACGTCGGCCCCCGTGGCCTCGCAGAGGGCGGATATGGCGTTGACCGAGGAGATCCTCTGGGCGAGGAAGGCGTTGGCGGCGAGCTTGGAGAGCTCCGCTGACCACAGGTTGGTGGTAAGGATCCGGTCTTCGGGGACCCAGTGGGCGTAGACTTCCTTCAGCTTCTGGACGGCTCTCCGGCCCTCGGGGGTCTCCCGTCCACCGATGAGTACGCGGTCGGGGTTGAAGAGGTCCTGAATGGCGGTTCCTTCTGCGAGGAACTCGGGGTTAGAGAGGATCTGGAAGTTGATGCCGTTGCTGTTGTGGGTCAGGATCTTCTCAATGGCCTCGGCTGTCTTGACGGGCACTGTTGACTTCTCGACCACGATCTTATCGGACTTGGAGACGTCGGCGATCATGCGGGCGGCGCTCTCCCAGTAGGTGAGATCGGCGGCCTTGCCGGCGCCGAGGCCGCGGGCCTTGGTGGGGGTGTTGACCGAGACGAAGATGATGTCGGCCTCTGTGACGTGCTTCTCTATGTCGGTGCTGAAGAAGAGGTTCCTGCCTCTGCACTGCTTGACCACATCATCCAGGCCGGGCTCGTAGATAGGAAGCTGGTCGCTGTTCCAGGCCGTGATCCGGGGGACGGAGATGTCCACGACGACGACTTCAATGGCTGGGCACTTGAGGGCGATCACCGCCATGGTCGGGCCCCCGACATAGCCAGCTCCAAGACAGCAGATCTTCACCATCTCGACAGTCCCTGAACTTTTAGACAGATTGCAGAAATGAGTAAATAGATCGAAGTAGGTGTGATCAGTGAACGAGGTGGGAGATATAGGGACGGAGATTGATGCCGAGGGGAAACAGAGCTCAGCTTCTAGGGAGGTTTTTCTTTTCACCAGATTGTAGCAGGCTGTAATTGGATCGATGTAAACAAAATGATACAAAAGAATGGTCAAAGAAAAGATTGACGTGACTGAAATTCTAAGGCAATAATGCCTCACAGGTCTATCATAAGAGGAATGGCACTTCCGTCCTTAAGAAAGACAAGATCCAGGCGTCGAAAGCGCCTTTTTTATAATAAAATAACAGAACTAGGAGAAGAAGGAACGGGTGAAGAAGAAGAAATTTTTCGGCAAGACGGGAGCTCTAGATTCGACGTGCTTCATCACAGATGTTATCCCAACACATTTTCAGTGCATGCTGTTGGCAGGTATTGCACTTTTTATAGTGAGATCTACATACTTCTCGAGCAATTGATAGGAAACCAACTTGTATTCTGATCTCGACAGAAGGAAAGCAATAGATTGGATTGGATCCTTTCCGTATAATTTGATCCGGGATAGATCAGGAGCACACAGGACATGCCATCGCCAGTATTAGGCTCCCCACTGCGGGTTCAATTCCCTTACGGGAAATGGCGCTACTCGTCAGATCTACAGACCAACGGAGCTCGACACCACGGAAGAGGCAAGTAGGGAAATAAAAGATCAAGAAGAAACTAGATCCAGAGAACAGATTTAACTGGTAAGGATCTCACTCCAACGGATCTGGGTCGGCGACGGAGAAAACGGAAATTAGCAGAAACCAAAACGCAGGGAGGCAGGGTGGCAATGAGAATTCCGATCTGCGGAATAAGGCCTAGAGCAACCAAATCAGTCAAGATCGTCTCAGTGCATTACCTCCAAGACGGCTTCGGAATTCCTTCTTCAAAACAAAGGGAGGGAAGGAGGAAGGTAAGAAGACGAGGGAGAGATCAGGGCCAACCGACGTCCTCCTTTCTCTCACTTCTCCCTTTCAACAGGACAGTACAAGTCAGGGAGGTTCCGGGGATCTCCTTAAATATAGGAAGGACGTCAAGACAAATCGGAACGACCAAAAGCCTTCCCGAGGGTGCGACCTGTGAAATCCATCCCTTCGTCTCCTCCTCACCACTCCTACCACCCACCCCTCCCCCCCAACCTTGGGAAGTCAGATTTCACGCGCCAGGAGGAAGCATTCAACACACGCTTCCTACCGTGGCCCCACAGCGGTCCCGCTCCTCGCCTCAGCACCACAGATACAGTGTCATACGTCATCGACGAGCGACGCAGGAGAAGAAGTACGGTTTCCACTCATCAAGTGGGAGAGACCAAATCTCTTCTGCTAAATGACGACGACCCCGGCTCGTGCGTACATCCTCCACTGATTTCCAACAATAAAGCAAGGTCAACGCCACCTTCGGGTGCTGATTTCAACATCACCAAGGATACCACTCCCCCCTCCCCAATCCATCGCCATGGAATATCGTACGCCAGGAAAGCAGAAGGAAGATGACGCTAGTTAAACCAGGGAAAAACCACGGACGAACAGGCTCATGAGCAGCATTTGATCAGAATTCCCGATTAAGAAAAAGATCGGACGCATCAACAACTAGGTTACCTTCCTCGTCTCCAGAGAAGGATGCCAGGGGGCGGGAGAGGCTGGCGAGGGCTCTGTAGAGGAGGGAAAGTGGCTTCTTCTGAATGAAGTTCTGTAGAAAATAGCGCGGTACGACGAACCGACGACGTAACGGACATCGAGTAACGGACGGTGGTGCCCACTCCCTTGTCGTCGTCTTGTTTCGCCACCGATTAACGTCTAATGCATTATAAAATTGAGCCGCAGGCACAGGGCACCGGTTCGCCCCGCGCCCACGGTATCACCTACTCACTTAACCGCGGTCCCGGCCCCCGGGAGAACAGTGGGGTGCTAATCGAGCCTATGCACGTGCCACGCACCCATTGGCCGAGTTGGCAGTTTGGCCGCTCCCTTCACACAGCTGTCACGTATTTTTTAAAATAAAGGACCCCCAACTTGTATAATAATTCGTATATTTTCAGAAAAACCCAGATCGGGCTAAGCTGTTCGACTTATGGACATTAAGAAGCCTGCAGGGAAGTCGACTGTACAGCACGTGCCGATCACTGGTGCTCTAGACTGTCGGTGACGTGACGGGCCCACGGGAACCTCGCACGTGTGTACGACAGTGTCGGCGGCGGCTCTTCTCCTTTCACAACAGCCTGTAAATCTCTATCACGAGAACTGTAAAAAGGGAGGAAAGGGAGGAAAGAGAGGGGGAGTAGAGCAGATTCTGTGTACCTAGGAGAGTTTCAGCGCCATTTCCTGTAGGAGAGTCCTCTTCTGCGAGGCGGTGATCACTCCGTTGGTCTCGGCGTTCTCCAGGACGTCGGTGATGATCGCGGCGGCGTGGCCGAGCGGTTCCTCGGCCGCCTTCTTCAGCATGAATGCCTGCGAGATGAGGAAGAACGTGTCGTCATCGCCGCGCCGAAGATGCGATCGATCCAGATCCAATCCAAATGGCCGGTGAGCGGACCTGCCCGTGGTGGGATATCGAGAGCGAGCACGGCTGCTGGAACCAAGGTTCTCCGTCGATCTGAACGGGAAAGGGGGCGAAGAGCCGGATCTTGATCTCTCTGCCTTGCGCCAGGCGCCGCGCTTGGGAGAGGCCGATCTGGCAGGAGGGGATGCGATGGAGTGATCACTCGCCGCCTTTGAAATCCCGGGGGAAATGAGGATCGCCGAAGAAGTTTCAGTAGAACTCACCTGCAATTTCCCGAGATGCCAGGTTCCACTGATGCTGACGACCTCCAGCATCATGTCGTGCATAGATTGGGGCTCGAAATTGTCGTACCCGTCTTCTTCATCTTGCCACAGGACGACTCCTCCCATGTAGCTTCCGATATTGGCGACGAGAACGCCTTCAGCATCCTGCAAAATGTGGTCAACTGAGGCTGCCGACCGCCGGGTGTGCTGAAAATCACGGAAACGCACCTCAGGAACCTCTATCTCATTCCCATCGACCTCAACTCTGACTTGCCAGGGGAAATCTGCAAAAGTTCTGTCCATGATGTTCTTCGCTCCTTCTCTGGCGTAAAGGATTTTGTTCAAGAACTGGAAGTAAAACAAGAGTTTTTAGTCAGATATTTTTTTCTGAATTTTCTGAAAATAATCTCCTTAAATAGAACCATCGAAATCAGTTGCTTGCTTTCAAGTCAGATCACTAGATCCATCCATGCAAGTAGCACAATTTTCTCAAAAGAATCACAATAATCTTACTAAAGAAATAGGTTGCAATTTCCAAACAGCGCAAATCAGCTGCCTGCCCTGGAAGTAGCACACGCTTTCATGATGAAGAAAACTGTATGGATCTTACTGGTATCATGATTCCTTGCTCCTAAACGCACAACCAATAGTTTCTCCTCTACTCTCATCAAGTCATATTACCCATAGTAGTCCTTCCCTGCTCTCTCTCTCTTCACTGAACTCTTTTGAGCAACTTACTATCTTCGGAAACCATTAGATTTATACCTCATCTATTGACTTCCAAGACAGAAGAGACCCAATGATCCGACATGCCAAAGAAGAACCACACCTCAAGCAACTGGCTGGGAAGAACACAAAACACAGCAACGATTCTAGCTTCCATGCACAGCTACCACACTAACTGCAGTCTTTGTCAGAACCATAATCCCCTGTGCTAATAAAAAGGAGCCAAAAAAAAAAAGTTGCATGCCCATTAAAAGGAAGCAGCTCATTACCTGGCTGTAGAATTTTTCTGGGTTTTCTTCTCGCAGGTTATGAATGTCGAGGGCAACCTTTGCATCGCATCCTACGCCTGCCCACAGAAATCACAGGTTTGATGCATTGTTCCGTGATTAATGAAATCAACAAGGGGCAGTGATTGCGTACCAATATAGTTGTTCATAAACTTGGGGGATGGAGCTTGCTGGTTCTCTATTGTTACCTTCCATCTGTCAAGAATGGTGACTGCAGCATGCTCTACATGGTTTAGAACAGTGCACAGGCCTCCTTGTCTTTCCACAGTGCCAAGACCACCTCCCCAGGACAAGACTCTGGCAAGATCATTTCCAGTTCCTGCTGGGAGTATCGCGACGGGGGGCGGAGACTCAAACTTCTGTTTCTCAACGGTATCAAGAACCCAACCCACCGTGCCGTCACCGCCACAGACAAGGATCCTGAAGTGTGGTACTCTTCGGAACAAAAATAATCCGAACTCTGGTCCATGATCTGAGCTCAACTCAAAGACCTGAATGTAATGTATGGTATAAGTGGATCAACCACTGAGAAATTAAAGAAGAAAATGAACAGCTAAGCAGTGCCCAAGGAGTCAAAGTAGATATTAATGATGTCCAGATCCTAATGACAATCTCATGCTAAACAGGATTATGAATGCAAGCAATATCTTCGAATTACCTTGTCAGGCTGATATTTTTCTGGCAAAAAAATAAAAATAAACAGTGCTATTTCAGTATGGAAACTTTGGGTACCCCAAATGCATGTATTAAAAAATGTTGATGAAACACCAGACCCAATGTCAAGGAGCTTCAATGAGAGGTTATTCACAAGGTAAGGAAACATAATGAGAAGGGACAAGCATACGGTTCTGCCTCAAGAATTTACCCAAAAACTCCATCATCGCCTCTTAACTCAAACTTCTCATAGAAATTTGGATACCATCAGGAGAAAACATGATCTTGGAAGTGGATAATGCCACATATTAGACATGAAAAATAAAGGAAGATGCATGCTCAAGGTGTTCTCAACAACATCTCTGAAGTCAACACCAAGATAATACAGGTCACACCTGTGGAACGTTGTTTGTCTTCATTACAAAAGGTCTGAGTCCTCTCCCTCTCTCAGAAACATATAATGACAATCAATCTCTCTGTTGAGGAGCCCTGTGGTCAACCAGCCTGCTATGTTTCGCAATGTTGAAGTGTAGGCTAAGTAATTTCACAGAGACTAACCTGTACAGGATTTAGAAGGACATTGAAGCGGCGCCTGAGAGCATCTCCCTGTTGACCCCCACTTTTTTTGTTGATAAACACAAGCAAGGGCCTCGCATCAGAGGGCAAATCTATAAACTCGTATTTTTGTCTGGCTTTAAGTATGTGGATATTGTCCCTTTGCGTAAGAGATGAGCTTCTCTTTTGATTTGGTTTTATTTCACTCTTATCGTCGCTTTCACCACTTGGAGGCAGATTCCCAGGATTCACCACACCGTTAGAACTTTCAGCATTACAATGAGAGCTCTTGCTGGCAGGATGAGTGTCTGCTGTGCTTTCTGTGGATGAATCAATAGTGCCAGAGCTACTTGCCGAGTCACCACATGTCTCCTTCCTTCGACCAAACTTTTTACTTCGACTTCTAATGCGCCCTCGCACGTTAGATGCCAGTTCATTTGCTCCATGAGTGATTGAACTAAGAAAACCACCTGTTCCTGGTTTGCTCAAATCCCTAACAAATATTGGAGACAAAATCAGTCTCTTAAATGGCCCCAAATCACAAATATCACCAGCCTCATTAACCATATTGGCATGACAATCAACGTGAACTAGTCGTTGGCACCACATACAACACCAAATTGGAGAACCATCAAGGAAAGATCCTCCACAAGGCTCTTCACAATGACTACAGGTAGGTGTATTGTCAGGATTATCTGTTATTTCTGTCCAAGGAACAGCCCACTGATGAATAACACATTTTAAACCCTCCATTGATACACACTTGCAGTCTTCATGTGCACTGGAAGAGCAGCTTGCATGCGCAACTGAACCACAAATATCGCAACGGTGAATAAAGTAATCTGAGGAAACCGCCTGCCCAAGAGGCTGAGGAAGTGAAACGGACTTCAAACATACACAACAGGTTAAACCTTTTCCACGAGAACCTGTTTCTGTGATCCAAGTATGAGCAGCGACAGGAACCCTATGCAACAACTTTCTGTTTCTCTTTGATCTGGCTATAGCTTTCATCCAGCTCAAACTCATGTTCCGTCTCCATTGATAGATGGTGTATATAATTGTCAAGGATCCAAGAAATATTGCTACAATACTCGCAAAGAGAAAAAGCCAAGATTCAACCATGACAGATCGGGTGCTTGTCCACCTTAGGAGAAACCTCTTATAATGCTCGTTATGTCCATCCATTCTTCAAAAAGACTCCTGCAAGACTCATGTACCTCTGCGATAAACAAGCATTGCCTTAAGGTTTTGGTGCTCGTTCAAAATATCATAATTGATACCTGAAAGAAGAGATAATCAACCTTGTCTTATTTCCTTCATCAGTGTAGTTTACTATTTAAAACATTTTTAACACAAGACAATAACTTTCTCATCAGAATTATCTAATTCAAAATGACACCATGTCCCACCCATGTCTCGAGAATAGAGACCCTGAGTCCAGTTTTAGGCCTCAGAGATATGAAATTGCAAACCGATCACAACTGAGTAGTTGGAAAAAACTGGAATAAGCATATGACCTTGTAGCACGATGTTATCATCAAACATCAATTTTGTTGTGCCCGATGTTAATCCCATTTTTTTATCACATTAAACAAACATATTTAAAATTTCTCATTGTGTGTGTTTGCATCACAGTTTATGAAGAAAAACATCCTCTTCATCCAGAAGCGAAAGTCGCGGTACATAAGTGATCCAGAGTGGATTGACAATAGAGTGTACCTACAATAAACATTATTGAAGTAATACACTACATGGAACCATTGTTTACCAACCATTTGACATAAAAAAACTTTGGATTGGAAAATAGAGGCAAGCAGTTTCAGCAAAGCTCTATACATCAAGAAGAAATATTTTTAAATTAACGTTTTAGCATTATTATTTATTGTATAATAAATATCAGGAGTCTTTCTTTAATATTCCTAAGTTTTAGGAGTTTATCATAAAATTAATTATAAATATCACTAATTGAACCATTGTGCATGAGAAAGAATTGTAGAATATAATCTAATTTTTTTGCAGATGAATGTTGAATTAATATTTAATTAGAAAACCATAGGCCCAGCGAGTCTAAGACTTCTTCTAATAATTAATTAGAAAATATGCATGGAATAAAAAACTTGGCCGACCTAACAACACCCATCCCCCTTCTCTGGGGCATTGCAATTCCCTACCTGCATGTAGAAACCCCCACAACGGCTGTGGGGATGATGAAACAACTTATCGCCCTGCTGCAACCCCTCCCAAACTGCTATATCGCTCAAAATGTCTGTTAACCTTGAAGATGGACAATTTGTTGACATGCTCTGCTTTGTATAAAACATTCAAGCTACTGATCTCAAACCTCCCGAAAGCATAAAGATCTTTTCTTAAAGATGCTGGTATCGTCTTAAAACATTATGGTTAAATCAAAAATAATATAAATTTCAGTCAAGCGTACCCGGTGATTCTTTTTATCATTGTAGAATAAATCATGGAACAGTACCCTCTCATTTTTCAGAATTAAATACAACTCTAAATTTAGGCAACACATTCAGAACAATGAGGTGGTATTCTACGGTAGATTTTTTAATTGAAACACATAAGATACAAGTCCTCATTCTTGAACAAAACTTTCCACATCTAACTCTTTAAGTAATTTCTCTATGATCGATACAACTGTGTGAAGTTTTCAAGTACCCAACAATAAATTGGATGACAATTTTATGTCATCCTGGTTTCTAACATCTACTTGAATTAGCATTAATGAATTCAACTCCATGTCAGCCACAGAATTTTGGGCCTTGCTTTCATATCTGATCACTAAATAACTCTTACAAACACGATTTCCCTTTTTATACAGCCCTAATTTATTTTTTAGGAAGAAATACACTTTTTACGATTAATTTATTCTTTTTACCTGCTCAGCCATGTTCCCCATTAAGTCAACTTTTGTCAATCCCAAGCACTTATTTATGAGAAAAAAGATGCAATTCAAAGTCTACATTTTGGTTCTAAGGTTTCATCCTTGTAAAATTATGACTCAATCTGATTATAGTGGACCATCACAATGGATAATATTGTAGCCATTGAACAAAATATTGAAGCAATCCCAAATAATCCTCATAATCCGACAATGTTCTACAATAAACTTGCCACCAAGTGCTTCCTCACAAGTTCTAATAGATCATATTTATACATACTAGTATTGTGACAAGACAACCATCAAAATTCTCGACGAGCAGAAAAGACTACACTATCATAAAAAAAACTTTTGTATAGTGCTGACGTTTATCCAATCTAAAATAAAAAATAATGAAAAACACGAAATAAAACCTAATGAGATGAAGAAAGAAGTTGACGGATACAAAATACTTGCCTACCTTAGAAAATTAACAAGATATCGCATTTCTATTGGCTTTATTCAATGAAGTAGTTTAATTTTAAATATCCGAACTCATTTCAACACCTGATGCTGGAATAATCATTGTCACAGGCATGAGCATCAGGATCATTCCATGTAGTTGATCTCAACACTGGAATAATAAGAAAAAAATGATAAAAACCGAAAAATTAATAATAAGAATGAAAATCAATGGTACACAAAAATGACGATGCCAATAAACTCTGAGAACGAGAATAGTTACAACCACCAATTGTTCTTTATTACAAAGTTTGTCCTAAACATAATAAAATCAGTGAAACTCTCAACGGATCTCACCAGTATACTCCTACATGCTGATTCGGCCCTCAAACTACAGAAGGAATAGCCAAAAAAAGGTCGTTTGCTCGTAAAACTTGATCACTAAATCATTGACCAAGGAAGATACGAACAACTTATCAATACAATTCACATGACTAACAGAAGAAGAAAAAATCATGGAAAGAAGAAACCCAGAAATCTCACTACCACCGGAGCCTTAACCGCGATCCATCTTCCGCGAACCCGACGAAATCAGAAGAATCAAGCTATTTCCTTCAAACGGAAATATCTCTCAGAGAAAGAGTTTTAATAAGTCAGGGATCCAGGAATCTTATACGGCTGCACGAATTATACAGCGCAGGGTATGGAGTAGAGTCCCAGACAAGTCGATCGTCCTCCCGTGTGGGGAGGTCTGCTCCCCGCTGAAGAAGTGACTGCCCTTCCTGCCGTATCCCGTGCACCGGTTTTCATCAACTAAAGCACCTCTTGGCAAAAGCCTTCCTGGGGAAGCCATCCTTGACTTGGGATCACGATCTACCTCCTCATGCGCCGCTTTGGAAAGCCTTCCAAAATAAATGGAGACGAATCCATGCAGAATTCGCTTTCCCGACTAGACTAGAGCATTCCCCAATACAAAATACAGAAAGCGATAACTCCCTCCCACCGTGAGGTACAAATCCAACGAAGAAGAGGAAGAATGGCCTCCTCCCTACTGCGGAGGAGGATTCCAAGCTCTTCCTTCTTCCCACTCAGAAAGCGACGGACCACGGCACCAGCGGTGCGAGATCGCGAGGAAGAGGAACGTAGAAAGGGTCCGGGCCCACACAGTTAAGTTGTTCCCCGGAACAACGTAAGACCTTCAGATCACGGCCCTTGGTGAAGGCATCACCGTCGCTCAGTTAGTTGACAGCGGGGTCCACGGATCGAGTCGTATATTCTAGACCCCGAGGAGAGGGACCACCACAGAAGAGTTTCCACCGCCGTCTTGCCACGTCGGAAATTCCACGTCATCGCTCGTGCGCTGGAGCCGAACTCAAAAGGTTTCGGATACAAACAGGTTATCGGATCGTGGGGGCCCAACTTTTGAGATCCCGTCCACGATCCGACGGTCAGGAGCGAATTTACAGGATTCAAAATTAGCAGGCAGTGGAGTTGGGAGAAACTAGCCGTTACGAGTAGTGCGCTGAACTTCCTCCCATCTCTCTCTCTCTCATGTCTTCCATGGGGATTAAAGGTGGGGAGCATTAACCTAGAGACGAAGAAGCGCCTTCCATAGCCCGCTGTTGATTCTGTGACGTCGAGATCCGGTCGCCGTCTTCGCCACGCGCCAATGGCTCCACTGCATTCCGTCCTCGGGAGCCCTGGGATGAAGACTCCTTCCAAGAAACCCCTGGCTTCTCGTCCTCCGACATCAGAAATTTGCAGGATGTCGGAGAATTGCGATCCGAATCTTACAGGTCAGAGCTCTTCCCATAAATCAATCGCCTCTCCGGCGAATAGATCTGCGAAAACGAAGAAATCTGCCGCAAAACTTCCGTCCTCCGTCGTGTCGCCGCCTACAGCGGTTCGAGAGAGGAAGTTTTTCATTGTTTCCAAGAAGAAAATCACGAGCGGTGACAAGGGTGGAGATCCGATGAGGTGCCGCCAAGCGGCGTACGAGGCCCTCAGAGCTTCCCAGGAGAACTTCTTCCGCAGAGATCATGGAGCAGCGTCCACGGGAACAACGGAGATATCGTCCGTTGAAGACACAAAACGGCAGGAAGAAGAAGATGAGCTGAACAACAACGTTGTGAATGACGATGAGGGAAGCGTCGCTTATGAGCACCTTGCTCCTGCTGATGATTCTAGTCACCAGGACCTCGAAGGGAGTTCGAAGGTGAGGAAGATGAGGAGCTTGATGATGGAAGAGGCGATGAGCACCATGCCAGAGGCAGGATCAGGTAGAGTATTGCATTTGGTGAAGGCATTCGAAAGTATGCTTTCCATCTCCAAGGATGAAGGGGCCCATAGTGTGGAAGAGAGCACGAGGAAGGTTATGAATTGGCCATTGCCAGGGCTGCATCCGCCTCCAAAACCAGTGGAGACACGAGCATCCTCCTCTTCTGTCGAGTTTTTCTTTCCTCCTAAGGATTTCGACAGGGAATCTAAGATGTACTCTTCGTTTGACAGCAACGATGGAAGGTCAGTGGCCATTGTTATCCTCGGTTTTTATTTCAACTTTGGGCTCATTCTGGACCGTGGAAAGATTGAATATTTATAATGTCTAGATTGAGCTTGGAGAGCAAGGCATCAGAGGGAGGAAGGAGAAGCAGGCGAAACGTAAACCATCTTCCCTTGGGCATTTAACGAGCATCAATGTACCTTGACTTAAATATGACTTCTAAAGTTTTCTTCTGCCTCTTTTCCAGAGTTCAGACTCCTTAAAAAGTTCCTGGAATAAGAAGCTTAAAGTCACAAGACAGAACCCATTCAAGTTAAGAACCGAGGTACATAGCTCCCTTTCCCTATTAGAGCATTTGATTTTTAGATATTCAATTATATGGATATGAGAATAAAAGGAATTTATTCAAGTGACTATATTTTTGTGGTAACTAGTGTTCCTTAGAGTCTGAGCATCACGAATAAAGAAGATCTGTAAGTTGAATTGTTCTGTAATATGTCCCTCTGTTTGAAAGTCCAGGCAGGTTTGCAAAATTTTCTTCCAAAATTTTTAGGTGTGAAATTGTTGGATTTAATTATAATTTCGGTGGTTATTCATAGTATTTCTATGATTTTTCCTTATTTCAGCAACGAGGGAGACTTAAAGAGGAATATTTTTTCAATAAAGTAAAAGAGATGTTAACAGAGGAGGACAAGAAACGCATACCTATTGCACAAGGACTCCCATGGACTACGGATGAACCAGAGGTAAGAAATCCAGGCTAGGTAAAGATATCACGACACAACAACACATTGTATTCCATTTTTTGAGGAGCTTTCATTGCAGTATTCTTGGAACAAAAAATTACAGAATTGAAAAGGCATAGTAAATTGTCGCCAATACGCTGGTTTGAGGAAGTCTAGGAGAACGGCACACTGCTCTCCGTAAGTATAGTCAGGGCGTGAATTGAAGCAAACGTATGACACGATTTCTGCTGACGATGTTAAAAACTTTCCAGTGAGAAAGTTATGACGGTCTGATGCCAAAAATATCAAAGTGATCAAAATTTATCAACTTCCTTGCTATCAATCTGCAATAATATGTGTTTGCCTCCACTTGTATCTACCGAAGAATGTGTTTGCCGTATTATGCAAAAAAGTTTGTTCGCATGCTCTGTTCTTGCATTTAATACTATCAGCAATGGAGGATTCTCAGTAGGTTTCTGGAAGCAGTCCCTAAAGTTGTCGTTGAATTGGTGAAATCTTTTTGTGCTACATCGCATTCTCCACTGATGTTAAGAATTTTTCATCTAAGAAAGAAATACAAGCACAAACCTTGACGCTATGTTCTCTGTGCATGATGATGTTAGTGCTTGGTGAAGCCTCCGGTAAAAGAAATTACAGAGCCGGTGGACCTAATTCTGCACAGTGATGTACGCGCCGCAGAGCGTGCGGCCTTTGACACTTTTGTAAGTTATTTATAAAGCAATGGCGTCAGTATCTTTCATTGCTTGATGATCATCTTCTCCATGTATTCTTGAGTTTATTTAACACGTAACGCGACTCATTTCAGGTGGCTGAAAGATTGACAGTTGCAGAGCGAACGAAATTGGAAAGAGAAAGACAGAGAAAGGTATATGTGGTTGAAAAGATTGATCTCACCCAAGGAACAAAACCTAGTAGAAAAATCTTCTTGTTTATAATTTTTTTTTCTTGACTAGTTTCTCATCTTATGAGGCATCATTTTTCATTTGCAGTTAGAAGAAGAAGAAGAGATCAAGAAACTCAGAAAGGAGCTGGTGCCTAGAGCTCAGCCTATGCCTTATTTTGACCGGCCTTTTATTCCAAAAAAGTAAGTACAGTAGTATCTTCTTGTTTCCATCTTCCTTACTAATTTGAGCCATATTCAGAATTTTTTATTTTTTTTATTTTTTACCCCGTGTCACCCTTCTTTCTGGTCATATACTCGAAACTGCGGCCACAAAATTAAATTTTTCTTGGAGAAAGCTTTGAGCTTCAGCTTCCTACACAGCTTTTTTGATAAAAAAAAAAGATAATCACGTATATGTTTTTGCTTTCCGTAAGAATTAAAGTTTCTTTTTCTGAAAGGTCAACGAGACCCCAGACGGTCCCAAAGGAGCCCAGATTCCGCGTTCGTCCACACAGGCCATGGTAAGAATCGTTGACCTGTACTTTTCGAAATACTTCAGATTTCGAGCTCGTATTGTAAATCTGCCTTCGTTTTTTCACGGGAAACCTGAGTTTTATATCCACTAGGGTTTTCTTTGACTGGAGTCTAATGCCATATTTTCGTTGAAACCCATTGACAAAACCAGTTCTACACGACTGGAACTGGCCCTCTTTTCCCTTATCAGAAACCAGCGCTAATTTCTGCTAAGATAAAGAGAGCCACCCCCCCGATTAGGAATATCTTTACGCTGGACTGTTGACTTTCCCCCCCCGTTGACTCACACCAACAAAACGATACTATACTACCCGCAGCGCATGCAATAGTGGGGAACATGTGGAGCTCTTCATGATGAACTCCGCGCTGACTTTTTTCCTCCGTTTGGAAAACCAGTGACAGGAGTAGTCTTTGCTGAGAGCCGGCCGCTACCTCCCTCCTCATCCCCAGTGCGCAGAGCTGCTCTGAAGCTCCGAAATGCCTGCGTGCTCCTCGGCAATGGAAGCTAATGCCAGCTGTCCCTTGGCCTTCGTGCTGTGTATTTTCCACCCACTCCACTCCACATCCCATCCACTGGACGAAGAAATGTTGCCCGCTTGATTCAACAGTGGGAGATACGTCATCTCCGGGGATCATGGCTTTTGCATAATTTTTTTCTCATGTTGATAATAATATCGTCTTTGTCGCTATGATTGGGCTATTGCACCAGATAAAGACCCTTCCTTCTCTCTCTCTCTCTCTCTCTCTCACTCTCTCTCTTACTGTGTTAGTTAGGCTGGAGAAATACCTCTTTGATAAGCGAAGCAATGGGCAAAATGAATCGAAAACAATTTCGAAAGGAAAAAATTTACGACTTGGGCAATTTGACTAACAGAGAAAGAAATCCAGCGTTTGGAAACAAAATGGAACCTGACCAGTTGGACTCTCATAACTAAACATGTCCCCAAAACAAGCAGGATCCGATGGATGAAATTATAGTCCTTTCTTGAGATCAGATCATAGAGAACCCGCGCGTAGGCGTTCCTTCTGTATCCTCATGGGGCGACCACAATCCGCCCAGCCACCTGATCGAGATCGCGCTGGCCCTGCGATGTGATTCTTCTCCCTCTGCACCAAAAAAAATAAAAAAGAGTAAACATTTCATGCCCAAAACAGAAATCATGATGCATATATTGAAGGAATACTGTCTGGAAACCTATGTAACATCATTTTTTTTAATCAACAGTCCAGGTGGAGATGAAGCTGAGAATAAAATGATATAAGCCCGTAGAAACCGTGGTCACTTACTATTACTGAATTAAATGTTCGTTTTATGGGTCTCCCATCAACCAGCGTAAATGATCTACGTTTTCTCTAAGATACGCCCAAACTCACCCCTTGGTATCAAGATCAATTATGCCCATTTGTTGCAACTGCTGAAGGATGTGCCGCGCAATAGAACCACTGCTCTTACAGAAGTGCGGGGGACGGGAACCATTTCTCTTGCGCCCTCCATAGATCCTCTGAAAGGCACCGACACCCAATCCCTGCCTCAGATAAATCTGCCTAGCAATGGAAGCTGCACGCACATACAATAATAAATACATAAGCATCTTGGACGCAAAAATAAAAATAAAAATCGGCCTTAACCCGAAAGTATATGAAGAATGTGTTTCCTACCAGCCCTCACGTAGTACCAGTCAGGATCGTATGGAGCAAGCTCCTTGTGAACCCCAGTCTTCACGATATCAGTCCAGGGAGGAAGCTCGACCTATTCAGAATGAAGCACCGAAGTCAGTACTAAACAATGCAAAGAGGGTCATACTGACAAAATTATAGATTAGGCACGTGTACAACAACATAGGTACTGGCACATGGTTCGAACTCTGGCTCATCCAGAGTTGTACATCGCTGACGGCTCCTCTCTAATTACATTACAAGTCGTCATTAATTAATTATGTGGTACACGATTTTATTTTTTTTGATTCAAGTGGCTCACAATAATTACTTTATAACACAATTCTATATGATCATTTGTTGATCTCCCAAAAATGATGATCCACGACCATAAATAATCTAAAAGTTATATTGTAAACACGGCCTCCAACAATCGATACGGGTACCAACAATTGGTTAATGATCAACGTGATCGATAGCATAAAATAGATAAAAAAGATTGGATAATCTTGTTTTTATGAGAACCAGGGCACCCCTTCTGGAAATACAACGAGATAACCCGCTTCCTTCAACATCGTATGCGCTAATACGATGCATAGATGCCTTGACCACGGTAAAGATCCCAACTATTCGTTTTAGTCGGATGTATGCAAAAGAAACATATGGATAGGCGAATTAGACAAGTTTTCACACCACTGGATCAACTTATTGGGAAGAGAGCGTCAGTGCCTATCCGCTTAAAGCAAGTTCACCATTTGTAAGTCTTAATTTTACGTACATTCAGCATTTCGAAAACTTCACCACGATCCAAGCGGCAGGGGAGATGTTTGAGTAGATAAGGAGACAATAAGCTAGGGAAAGAAGTGAATTGTAAGGTAGAAAATCACAAGCTATACAAGAAAATATACGACGACAGAGACTGGTCATACACTCAGAGGTATAAGAAACAGGGTCAACTAGAACCCAAAACGAGACATCACCATTGGCAGGATAACACATTTCTTGAAGGATACAGGAGGGCAATGAAATCTCAGGATCGATCCCACAGAAGGAGGGATGGCACATCACAGCCCAAGCAGCAAACATCGAAAAACAATCACGCGCAGAAACAGAGAGAAGCGTCTAACCTTCCCCGATCGCTTCAGATGCGAAGCATAAGCCCTCACGAAATCGTGCGGCGACACATCCTTCACGGTTCTCGCCGCCTCCAAGGCCATTGCCGCTCGCCTCGACAGCCGCTGTAAACGAAGCGAGTACCCCGACGGCGGAAGCGGCGAAGCCGAATCAGCAAGATTAGGGTTTAGAATGTCGCTCTTACAGCCATATATAGCTCCTCTCTGTCAAAAAATTTACCTACATACCCCTGTCCTCCACTGAGAATTTCTTAAATGGGCCACGGTGCACCTTTCGGCCCAGCCCACGATCCATTTAGTCAAAAAGCAAAAATCATCCTAACCGATAGGGCGGGCTGCGCTGCACCCATTAATAGCCCAATCGACCCCACAAAGGTCCGTCTCGTATGATCGGTCCACTCCTATCCATCTTAATCAACGTAGACCATCATGACTAACAAACGACCTGAGCTGGCGCTCTACAAAGCACAGTTGGCCCAGTCTTAGAGAGAAACCCGCATGCAAGATAAAAGCCTAGGCCTGGACGGGCTAGCGAGAAAGCGAGAGAGCGAGAGAGAGAGAGAGAGAGAGAGAGAGAGTTGGAGGTCCCCAGTTCATCGCTGATTTATTTCATGAAAGGAGATTATTATTATTATTAATCATCATCATTACGATGTGGGGTCACTTGGACGTCGGATTGAAAGGAGGCGGCTCGAAGGTTTTCCGAGTATGAACAGAATGATTTCATTAAATCGAGGCTGAAGTGGACGTCCCACTGAGCCGCGCGCTATATACAGACACAGCGGCCAGGCCAGCTCCAGCCGCCGCCTGGAATCAATCCGTGTGCGTTCTTTCACTACCAACTAATCACCTACAACTACGTCTACCCACTACGGTGGCTCCGATTCATTGACGTTCCCAGGGGAACCGCCCAGCGCCGGGCCTCTGGCCGGCGAAGCCCAGATTCCGGGCGGCGCCGCCGGCCCAGCCCTCGTCGCCGCCGCCGCCGTCGTCATCCTCGCCGTCGTCGCGCTGTCCCTGGGCGAGCTTCCCCCGCGAGCTCTTCTGAGCCGGGCGCTTCTTCGTGCCGGCGCTGTACGAGACGTAGTCCACCGCGTCGTCCCTCAGCGAGTTCTTGAACTCCTGCAAGCGCCAACCAGCACCGCGCGATGAAGAAGAAGAGCACCGATCGATCGATCGGGGGGGGGTGAAGATGGAGAGAAGTGGTCGTGGGGTTTACCTGGTACTTGTCCACCATGCCGCGCGGGGAGTCGGGAACCTTGGCGAGGGCGTCGCTGATGGTGAAGGGGATGTTCTGCCGGGAGAGCGTCTCCCCCGGCTTAGGGTACTCCTTCAGGGAGAATGCCTGGTCGCCCCATTTTTCGGCGGCAGGAAGGTTTAGGACAACGCCCGGGGGAGGGGCCCGGAAGGAGATGAATGAATGGGATGGTTGGGGGAGACGTACCTGACAGCGGGCGTTATCTAGAGAGAAGACCACTTTGAGGTGCCTCTTCAGCTTCAGCAGGAGTTGAAGGGCTATGGCGTCGCGGCAGTCGGCCTGTTCATTGTATGCAATCCGAGTTAAAAAGACAGTCATCCTTTTGTGACCAAGAAGAAGAAGAAGATGCAGTCGTCCATTACGAGGACGTCTAGTCGGATGGAAATATTCTGAGATCACCAAGCACAAAGCCCATCCTAAATTCCTTCCTACATTTTTTCTAGGGGAAAACATGTCCAGGAACCTGGAAATATGAAATTAGCGTCAAGATGAGCGCCCAAGATCCGATTCTCCGAAAACAAACTGAGAATGAGGTGATCAGCACGCCGTCATGTATAATGCGCACCTCACTTACTGTTTAAAAGAGAGGTATAATGCAAGATGATTGATTTGTGATTACCTGGCATTTCAGCAGAGTTTCTTCAGAAACGCCACAAGAGTCGTCGGACGTCAATGGTTCGGCCGTCGCACTGTTATGACTCGCCGTATAATAGCCTTCGGTGAAGGGCTTAACTTCACGATTTCTGTTCGTGATGTCCTTCAAATCTTTCTGGTGGAAAACTGAACTCCACATCTTCATATTCGATTCAAGGGGGCCCGCTCGAAGCTGTAGAACCCGGTTTATATCATAAATCAGATAAAGAGGTTCATCGGGACACGTGAATGGGAGAGTCGCCAGAATCTCCGTGCAATACCTGAGAAACCACGAGAACAGTTAAAAACCTGGGTTTTGCATCCCCTACAGTGGCTTCCAAGCATAAGGTTCTCAGTTACTTACACAAGAAAGTGAATAGACGAACTACTCCATCCGCCCGGCTCAAATTTCCTGACGATCGAGTGCATAAATTTGTTCCTCGAAATGCGATTTATCCGAATGAGTCTGTATATTCGAGAGATTCCAGGCCTGACCCATGCGAAAGCGCTGGCCTCTGTTCTCCCCTTCACATTGCCGTTCGTCGTGGCCAACACTGACTGAACAAACTTGAACGACATCTGAAGGCCGTCGCCCAGACGATTCTCAAAGAAAGCTGGGTACCTGCAAACAGTCGTTCGAAGTCAACTCATACAGGCCACTAAATTTAGACGGCGGAAAAAAGGCCTAGATGAATGACGGTGACATACTTCTCGTTCATGAACATGAGCAAGTGATGGGCCAACTTGGAATTTGCCTCCTGTGGATCTGTTTCAAGTGCTACGAGATATGGAACACAAGTAATTGGATGAACCAGACCTTGACGCAGCACAACCTCTACAATCTGCATGCGACAGTTGACATTTGACATTCGACATTTCCGAAGAGCGTGGAGGATTTAAATAAATAAATAAATAATGGGTGTAGTGATTTCTCTTCATAAGTCTCCAAAAAATTAAATAGACTGCTTAATATGCGCATCAAAGAAGGTTTGGGACGAACAGATAAAAATGAAAGGGTTCCCTACCTTGAGTGCAGACTGACGAACTTGTTCATTCACGTCCAGACATAGTTCTAGGATATTATCCCAGTATAGTTGAATGATACCTCCACAGATATTAGTGTCACCTGCACCAGCAGCAACCGGTACCTTATTTACGGCATCATCTGGAGGTGGAATCACAGGATTATTGGCACCATCCTTGCCCATTTGACTCTCCGCATCTAGAAGGTACTCATTTATGTTTTGCAATGCCTGCATCTGGTAGAGGAAACTATTACAATAAATACGAGTAAAGAGAATATTTGAAGATTATTAGCGCACCTTGAGACGAATGTCGGAACCAGATAACAGTGAGGCCTCTAATATTTTCTTGATATCTTGCTCGAGCATGTACTCGGGCCGTGCAATCAGTAGAAAACCCAGTGCCTGAAAAACGACGAATATAAGTAGAAAAGTAAAAGCGAGATAATGAGGAATAAAAAAATTGCAGCGGATGTATCCGTAAGAAAGTGCAAAGTGGGTCACCTGCAAGGATCGGACCTTCAACCCAAAATCCTCAGAAACCAGAAACCTCTTAAGCAACGTGAGACATTTTGTAACAAGCGCATGCCGGTTTTCAAAGTTATTCATCAGCTCCTTCCCATACCGGACAAGCAGCCCAAGGCAGAACAATGACCGTCCTAACAACTGAGAGATAGAAAATGCTTCGATATCAGAAAATACCCTAGCACAGGAATGCGGTGATGAACTATAGGAGAAATAATTTCCAAAGCCACTGTAAACATTGATATCTCAGAATAATAAAGAATAATATGTATGAGGATTCTTCAGGAATTGACAATATCATCACACAAAGAATATTTGTTCTCATGCATCGTCAAGGGTATCGGATGTTAGAGTAGAGGGAAAAAACAACAGAAGGGAATGTAGTTGCCGCAAAGACGACCCCTTGTGTCAAGGTTCTAAGCAGGTGTGTGCACAATTTGTAGAGGTCGCCCAATTGACAGCATGCCAGCATAGTGCCCAGCATTTTCTTCCTCTGTCGATGCCACCAGGGAACACAGGGACTAAAAAGGAGAAGCGCGGAGAGGGGAAGAACCTAAAAGATCAATGCTGCTGTCAGCTACTTGTCCACTCTTCAGCCTCCTCCACCTATGCCCAGAACTGCCTAGTAGCTGGCCGACTGATTCATGATTCATAGGCCTTTTCCAGGATCCAGTTTTTAATTCCTTGGTAGCAGAAGCAATGGTTGACCACAACCTAGCGGCTAGATTTTCAATTAGCACCTTCTTATGGTGGTTACCTAGACCCATTCCGAGTGCAGAAGACCCGATAACTCTTAGAATGAAACCATGGCATTAAATCACAACTATTTTCCAGATAATCGACACTTTCTTTTAACTCAGTACAGAACTTTTACATTGTTAAGACTTGTGAGAAGATTAAGGCATTTTGGCTAAAAACTGAAGAAAAAAAAAAACTAGACCATGATCAGGGCACATGAGCACTTTGCAGTTCAACCTTATTCCCCAGAAGGATGGCGTATGGCAGACATAAACATAAGATAGCTCACTACACCCCTACAATTCCCTTGAAAAAGTGCATAGCGTAGTGATAGGGCCCTGAAGATATTCATGTTACGGGACGGAGAACGACAAAAGCGGTAGTTGGATGGATGATAATGATCACGGGTATCACGTTTGAAGTCATGACAATAAATAGGCTCCCAGTGCCCTTGATAAGAGAGTCATATCTAATGTAAGCCATCAAGATCCTAATCCACATTCATCTTCTTTCTCTTAGGTCTTAAGAGTGGAAGGGGATGCTTACAATGATGAGAAATACGGGGGTAGATTTAAAGAACTCACTCAATGTGAGGGGAGAAATCCAGCATCCTGGCCAAAAAGACTGGCCGAGTGCAGGGAAAATTGGTATGTGCCTGCGATCCAATCTTCACTTTTAACTGTGTACTGAAAACTGGCCATACTTCAATGGATTCACAGTCCTATAGACACCGCATGCTGTTGCATATCAGTTTTATTTAATTCATTCGAAGCATACTTATGACGTTCATGGATCATTAGTGAAGTAACAATTTTTTTATCATTTTAGTACGCTGCATTCCAATTATGACAGTTGTTTAGACTGGTTTACATTAAATAAGAAACCCCAACCAGATATTAATCATTCCAGCTTTCCATTTCCTTGGCCACTAATACTTTCAAACTTTTTTTTTGGATACTATGTTCTATCTTTGCGGATAGATATTATTACTCACTTGATGGACAAGGGTCCTGAAGACAACAAATGTTGTAATCACGCTATATGAATCACATCTAATAGCATCGATAAAAGCATTTTCTGAACAAGAGATTGATTTTCTAAGCTGCATCAAGATCCATAACTTTTGCAGAAGAGCAGGTATGGCCACAGACCCCTCATGACATGGCCACAAAATAAGATGGATTCTTTCCGGAGAGTAACTCGACATGCCACCCAAATCATGGATGAAGCAAGAACGGTAGAATTGAACAATGATGGTAAAACGCATTTGGGAATCTTATCTAGCCACCAAAGTCGAAAGTAGAGAAAATAAAATAATGATGAAAAGATTGTAAAAAAATCGTGAATCTGATCGGTTGAGAAAATAGACCTGTTTGTTATCCATGCTGGACCCGTGCAAATGTTTGAAAAAGACTTGTATCAAATATTCAATTAAACTTGCACCTTTTCCAGCAATTTTACTAAGTGAACACAGGCACCTACGATGCGAAAACAAACAATATGATATTAGTATAAAATAAAATGACATAACTTAAGTAACAGTGGAGAAAGGAAAGTACCCTACGAATTATGTAATTACTAATCAAGGAATATGGTTTTTCTTTCTAAGTAGATTAAGCTCTTTGCTGGATGAATATGGGCCCGGGATACTCTCCCCATTTTCCTTTTCTGGAAAGACCATGAGGAGAAAATGAAATGTGAAACTGTTACTGTTTAACCCATACATAGTTCACAGCGATTTATTTTTTTCTAGCCAAATATTTTTTTACTTTGGAGCGTTTGGAAAATGGGTTTTCAAGTTTTCTTCCAAGTCTGATTCTAAATCCAAGTCAATTTGGTTCTGATTTTTAAAAACGCGAGGAACATGTCTAGTCAGGCTACATCCCAGCAAAAATGTGGTAAATATTGGTCAAATCAGAGAAGGATGTCCCAACATTTCGTTCTGGACTTCATAACTTAAGGATTTTGAGGTTAAAGATGATATACCAATTAATCACAATTATATTATTATTTTCTAGTGGCATTTCATTTCTTTGATTTATGATATTTGAACTTACTTGGAATCACTTCAATAAGGTCTTGGTGAACCACGATTCATTAAATAAAATAGTAAATGATAAGAGATAAGTAACAAAGTATGCCAAGCAGAACAACGAGGCTAAAAGTGAAAAGCAATCCTCTGATCTGCCCAAAGAGTAAATTAGGGGACACAAATTTCAACTAGCCCTACACTGGTGTAGAAAATATCTCAACTCTTGAGTTCAGTGTAAGTCAACATGAAAATCAGTCCGCTAGGTTGTGCATACGCTATTGCAGGACGAAAGGAAAATTTCAGTAATTTATCAACTTAAATTGTGTAAAAGCAAATTCTGCGAAGAAAACAACATAATGCAAAAAGTTGACAAGTTTGACAAATAAACCGTTCAAACGTTAAAGAAGAAATAATACACTCAGAAAATTACTTTATACAAGAATGAACGACAGTCAGAAATGAATGCCGAACAATCATCTGCTTTAGGTCCTGTTCAAGTTCTTCAACCACGGTAGGTGGCGGTTTTCGAAGCAAAGGCATGATTGCATCAACGATGAATATTATGCTCTCAAGCAGCTGAGCAACTGGACGAGTGTCTACCTACAATGGACAATGGGCAGACATGAATACAGTGCAATCATTAAAAAAGAAAAGAAAAAAAGAATGGATATCAGTTAAACGATAATATTATCAATACATATTTGATAACAAAGGAGGTGAGTAATTCATTATAAGAAGCCTTTTTTATCAATCTGGGTCCATCTAGATACAATGAAAGACCCATTGCTTCGGCAAAACTTTCAGATCATTGGTCAGAAAATATCAGACATCTACAACATAGTTCAAATACGTCGTCAAGATAACTTTATACAGTGGAGAATATATCAAAAATCATAAGATCTAGTAGATAGAATTAATTCTTGATCATAGTTCAGATCACACAATCAAACAACAGTCCTCGAGTTTCTCCAACTTCAACTGTGCCCGAATAAAGAAATAAGATCATGAGTACAGGGTGATTATCCTCCAGATGAATCTTTTTCCATTGGTATATATGCAAAATAAAAACAAAACACACCATGTGGCAACTTTGCAGCCACCGGTAAGAATGCTACATTCTTACCATGAACTTATACACAGGCATACGCTCGATTTTTACTGAACCCATTAGTATCTCTTACCAACCACAACAGAGAATAATAGATGAAAAATTTGTACACAGCATCCGTTCCCTGAACACTACCTATATCGTCATTTGAAAGAAATTCCTATTCCAAAGAGCATGAATATTTGTTGCATTTGTTTCGAATGAAAGATATGTATAATTATCTCTGCAAATGCTCTACGAGAGCATCAATGAATTCTGTCCACAGAGGCTTGCCAAAAATAAACGTAAAGAAATAAGGACAGAGATGGATGCACTGCATTACACTAAACATGTATTTCAACTAAAAAATCAATACAAGATCAAAAACCTGGTTCTTAAGGTATGGCTGAAGAGTCACAACAAACTGAGAAGGATCAGTTGCGGGGGCACAGAGTGAAGGATCCACCACACAAAATGCTTGCAAGGCCAGTACATATGGAAATGTTATCAACTCCACCTCTATGTTACTTGTCTCCTCTAGCTGCAAAATTAATTGAACTGCAGATAAGTCGTATTATTCAAAATGTACAAAATGATTGTTATCATCTCAAGCAGGAATCCGACCTGCAAAATTCTTTCCAACAAATGCTTGCACATCAGTTCACATCGCTTGCGCACTTGAGCAATTAAACCAGCATTAACCCCGCTGGCTTTCGCTGACTGCGGGAGAAAATCAAGGGCTAAGTTGCGCCTAATAACAGTGACAAGAAGTTGATGATTGGGGATCTTTCTCAGAAGATTAACGATCTGTTCAGTTTTCCTTGCCACCTCCAATGGTACACAACTACCATCTCTGGCAAACTGTGTCTGGGTGCCAGAGGGTTCTTCAAACCAAAATTCATAAAATGTCTTGCATACTAGGTCCTGTAAAATAGTTAAATATTCTGTTAAAGATAGCCAAAAAGGCAGTTCAATGGTAAATAAACAATAATAAAAACATTTTAAAAAGGCAATACAACATATATTATTCAGTTCTAATAAAGTACCACGCTCAAAAAAACCTTAGCCAGATTACAGAGACTGAATAGGGGTTCTCCAAAAAATTTAACCATCGAGCACAGGGAATATGAGGTTTAAGGCGCTCCCCCACTCCCCTCCCCTACCCCAAAAAAACCCTCTATTCATTTGCTGACTGAGGAGGAGGAGAAGCTCTAGATACTGAGATAGTGAAGAAGAAAACACTACGATGGATACATCCAAATTATCCCAGGCCAAGGCAACGAAGGTCTGCATTGCTGGGATCATCTACAACCAGTTAAACAGACGCACGCATCCAATTCAGGACCCATCTGAAAGACAACAACGAGCCAATAACGTTGCAAGATATTGATCCATCACCCATCACGTTCGAAAAGATCCCCAGGTCACTATCACTAGAGTTGACCTCTAAGGTTTGAGGTTCCCAACTCAGCAGGAGTAAAGACAAGAAACGGTATTCTCCATATTCTTAATAAAGCATAATGTTTGTCAAAAACCCCAAGGCCGGCAAGTTAAATAATGTCTTCCAGCCATCTACAAGAGGCAATAGTGTTCGGCTTCTGCTATCTAGTCACATGAACTAACTAACTGACAGTGGCAGCAGATAGAGGAACTCTCAAAGATGACCTGAAGAGAAAATTACACTAAGATAACAGGATAGAAAGCATCGGTGTCTTAACTAGTTGCCCAAAATTAGGTCAGCAGCATAGTCTAAGTAGAAGGTGACTAGTTTATAGTGTGTATCAAATAGAAAAGTCCTGCATAAAAAATAAGAAGATACATAGTTTACAGGTTAATAGATAAGTTTTTGTGGACTTCTTTCAGTTGAACGTCAGAGGTATAGCACATTGTTCTATAATCATCATTGTTGTGCTTATTTTCTTGGGTTTTCTCTGTCTTTCTTGATCCAGGGGACATCAAATTTCGATTGCCGATTATATAGCAGCGTGGGTACTCCAGTAATCAACATATATCTAAGTAACCTTCAAAAAAATAAAACATTCCGTAGATGATGGTCGTTGAAAAGTATTTAAAACATTTAAGCCGGAAAAGGATATAGCTAAAACATTTAAAACATTCCGTAGATGATGGTCGTTGAAAAGTATGAAATATAAGACCATCTAAACAGATGTAAACTTTTCAAAACAATTTACCCAGGCTCGTCATAGATGATGTAGGAAGCAGGATATAGCTAATCATAAAAAATCGGATACTTCATGACAGATTATCGATCATAAAATTTCAGATTATTAATCAGCTAAAAGAAACTCAGAGCTCTGACATATACCTGTATGCTGGATTCATCGTCACTAACACGTGAAATAATCTCCATAAATGCACGTGTCATCTCCGAAAAACTGGTATTAGAAATGCACATATCACGAATAATTTTCATAGCTCTCTTCCGCACACTAACTCCAGTATCCTTGATTCTCTCTGCAACCTTATCAAAGTACTGAAAGAAATAGCAAGCCAATATTAAGCGGTTTCAATGCATAAATATCAGAGAGGTGATAAGTTTCAGAATCCTGCACACCTTCAAGGCAACATCAGGATGAGTTGCAATATGTCTACCAACAAGTTCTAACGCAGCCTCACGAACAGATATTGCTGAGTCGCAAAACCTCCCTTCGACAGCAGATTGGACACGTTTGTCACATAAAACCTCAGGATCGGCCTCAACTATCGCACTAACCTAAGCATGAATCAGATAACTAGAATATTATAACTCAGAACTGGAATCAAGTCAACCATTGAATCCAGTGTACCAATAATTTAGATTTTTTTCCTCACCGCACGCAAGGCCTTGGCCCTAAGAACAGGAGAGTTCTCCCTTAAACTTGCCTGCAGATATTTACATCAGAAACAGTAACCGTGATACATTTTTCAAATGAATCATTAAAGCACATCGAAGTAAATGGGGGAAGAAAAAGTAAAAAGTTACCAGAAGAAGCGATAAAATCTTATCAAATCCTCTAGAAAAAGAGTTTTTTTGCCCAAGTGATAGAGATAGCTTTTTAGCCCATTTCCTTGACAAAAATGATGAGGAACCAAAATCTCGTAGAATTGCTTTAGACTTCAGTCTAGAGAGATAGTAAAGTATTTTGTCTTGACAGTGAGGATCATCCTTATACCATAGGCAGAGATAGAACCTGCATAAGAAACGACAGAAATTTCGCTGCAAAGGCCGAAATCGTTGAAAAGAAAAATAGCTCAGCTTGGAAGTTAACTAACCAGCGAGTATACAGATGTATATCGTCAGTCAAAGAATTTTCTTGTAGGTAATTCAAAAGCACTTGTTGAACGATTTCCAAGGAAGAAATGGGGTATGGAGTCCCATAGGAGCTGCCTGTCAGACTCGCACCGCCTAAATCATCATTCTTGCAGTTGGACTTGAAGGATGATTGTAGAACTGTGAGCTGCTTTTTGCAGAGGCAAATGTGACAAGACCAATCACGAAGCAATTCTCGCCCAGTAAATCCAAGGCACTCTACATGAAAACATCTTTGACAAAAATGACAAACAATGACGGTCTTTGCACCTCTCCCCTCAAGACAAACATGACAAATATCTTTTGCCTCATTAGTATTGTCATTACTTTCATCAAAAAGCTCCTGTACAATCCAAAACTTATCCCTGCTGCAGACAACTGCATCATGTTTCAACCTAGCAGCGACTGTTCCAAGAAGATCAACAGCCATGCATCTTGCAGAAATGTCTTTGGATTTCAGCCCAGCATTTTGAAGAAGTAAGACACAAAGTACCTGCAATTATAGCATAAGTAAACAAAATATAATGTGCACCTTACTGCGTAAGAAGCTTGTTGTCTTTACCTCAAGAATTGATGCAGAAGCTGGATACTCCGGTAAATTCAGCGTTGTCAGCAAATCCATCACGAGGTTTTCCAAAATCATTTTTGACTCTGATATATCCTGAGCTTTTGCAGTAGTGAGACGTTGAAGGACGTTTGTCCAGAAAAGGCAACATGCCTCAGTGGCAGCTTCATAACATTTAGTCGGGAAATTCGCATTAATTGAAATATCATGGAGTGAATTATAAGTTATTTTTGATTTAACTGTCTCAGGAAGGTCAGCACAGTATTGAACCAAATGAATTAGCAAGGCAGTTATCATTTGAATCTGCTTCTGTTCTTCATCAGGTAGAAGGTAAGTTCTGATGGCACGTTTTGAACATGGCAACTTCCTTAGAAGCTGAAGTGTTTCATCTATTATAAAGTTTCTATGTTGCGTATATGAACCAAACACCTGTCATCGAGCACAGAAAAATGAAAAGGCACGACTGTGAATATGGTGAAAAGATCCCAGCCACTGACAACACCATATAGAAATATGAGATGCATACCGTGCAGATCAAAATGATAGCCTTTAGTTGCAGGATTTGAATATTATCCACCAAGAATGTTGAAAAGCTAGTCCTTATCAGTTGAAGTATACAGCTATCTGATAATCTCTCCACGGTCAATAGATCCTTCAGAAAACCAAGTATTGAGCAAAGTTTCTGAAGTACAGTGGAGACGGCTGTGGATACCCTAAGAAATCGAAACCAGTACAAATTAGGGGTCACCGCATTCTGAATTTAGATAAAAACAAATAATGGCATGGAAATTCATACAAAGTCATAAATAATCAAGTAATAATATGGCCACACTTGTTCCCAGATGCCTTCTTCACTTTAGCTATCCTTGTATTCCTACGTTTCTTGCCTGCTGAACCAAGATCAGCCGCCTCATCCTCTTCATCGTCATCACCTAAAAAAGAAAGAAAAATAGACGTATGTGGCATCAAAGAACAGTGATTTCAAACTCAGATGATGCCCAATGCAAGGACATATCATGCAGGTCTACAAATTTCAATACAAGGGGGATACGACTCGTGGTCTACAAATCCCAGAACGATTATGACACACTAGTAATAGCATCTGAAGACGTGACTCAAACAGAAACTGACTGGAGGAGAACATGGATAGATATAACCACCTACAAGTCAGCATTGGCATTCATTGCCCAGAACAAAATGAATAAGTAACGACAAATCATTCTCTTTATTTATTCTCTTATAACTATAGCAAGGACCATTTTAGTGCAGTCGTACATGCTTGGCAACAGAAGAAAACATACAGAGCACACTCTTCGAGGTCCTATCCTGACTGAAAGCACTAGCCCCTAAATTCAACCAGATATGACAACTAGCTCACCACTGATGGCTAAGTTTCTGAGTCCCGGACCTCGTCCATTATTTCACTAAAAATATCCACACAACCAATAACACGTAACCAAGTAAAGAAGCTAAACATGGTGGTGAACCATACCGTCCAAAGCAACACTTTCATTGGGTTTATGAATGGCACGATATGATGGGTCAAAAGCTGCCATTACTTCCATAATTTGATGCCGTGAAAAATCAAGAATTCGTTCAATCATCTGACAAGGGACATTATCAAATCAAAGTTACGAAAAAAATATGGCATACACTAAAAGTATATTGAAACTTTTAAATTTCACCACAGAAGGAAACACCGACACAGTGTGGTGTAAGAAACGAAGAGCTACACACCAAAATATGGGAAAGAGGCTAGCACGTACTTCATCCTTGTACAGCTGCTTTGGCATACCATGATGTGTCATAATAGCTAGGGCAGCATATGTAGACTCCAGAGCACAAAAAACCAGCGACACAGCATCCACATCGGCCTGGGAAATATCATTAAAATGAAAAGGGATTGATCATTCAGTAAAATGAACAAAACTTCAAACTTTTGAGATGACATCTTAAAAAAACAAGGGGGAGATAGCTCCTCAATGATAAAGAAACAATGACAAAGAGTTCATCAGTTAAAATCCTTCCATCAATGTCTTAGAACCAGTGACACTATTAAAAGAAATCAACAACAAATGAGGCAGAACATTTCACGGTAAACTAAAAATCTCATGTAAATAATAAAAAGTACTTCTAATTGACACAACAAAAATATTGCATGGATAAATAAACTTTTGTATGAGCATGGCCCATTCAAAAGACAATAAATTAAAGATGACAGTGCATTGGACACAAGTAAAACAAAAATAAATTAAAAAGAAAAATGAAGAAAGGGATGGATTAACATAAATGGAATGTGAAGCATATGTCAGAAATGATGACTCATTCTACTGAAAAAAGAGGAAAGAGATAAAATAAATTTATTCAAGGGCGGGAGAGGGAGTAGGGGAGGGGAGAGAGAACGAAACTTTTTCTATTGTTTTTGAGCGTGGGAAGAACATCTCCCAGCAATAACAATGTACGCCCAGGAGAGTCCATAACAGGTGATGACACAACATAAAAGTTTACAGGGAAGATAGCAGTGGAGAAAGTGTGTCGAAATTATAAAAGCAGTTCATCTCAGCAGCCATTCTAGAGGTCTGCTTAAATAATAATAATAATAATAATAATAATAATAATAAACCCCGAGCATGGCTGTTCCTGGGGTATACAATCCTTGTGTCAAGCTCCAGCAGCCAGTAGAGTTAAATAAGGATTTTCCACACATTGATCCTTTCATTTGATGATGGTTCTAGAAAAAAAAAACCAATAGCCTAGACAACAATAGCAATTTTCCCACCCTTATAAATCCTCTTTTCTAGGGAATTAATCAAAGAGATAACAAAAACACAGTTGCTAATCTGCTTTCCAACAAAGCATTTGAAAAAGATCGAGCTTCACTTTCAAACTTTTCACGAATTTCAAGACTTTATATCTGTGGATTATCCTCCTATAGTGAATGCATACGTGATACAATCCACTTACACCAAAAAAAAAACTTTCCATCAATTGTCCTACAGAATTTACTTATTCAGTTGGGAACCCAATATCAAATGTGAAGCCTGATCCAATTTTCTCCCACTTAATGCCAATCCTAATGGCCTACAACTCATATCCTGCCCTACGAAGTAAAATATGCAAACGATGACTCCAACTTATCATTTTCTATCCACTTGAGTGAAGACCCATTTATGAGCCAATAAACAAAATTCTAAAAAGTTATATCTAAGATTAACGCATTCACTAAACGACAGCCCGAAATCAAACAGGACTTGCATGTACCGTAAAAAACTAGCGTGAGAATTAATAACTACAAAGGAACCGATAGATTAATCTAATGCAGAGTGGAGGTCTAGAGGAGGAGAAACCAGCTTACGTTTTCCGCTTCATCAACAGATAATCCTTGTCCACATTTAATTTGATGATCTAGAACATTTAGAAGTCTTGTAAATGCATCAACGGGTATTAAATGCAATAGTTTCTTCTCGCGTATAGCGTTTATTTCATTCAACATAATTTTAATATCGGTCAGGGGAAGAGAAGCCCCTTCAGTCCCCATATCTTGACCACAAGAAGATATTTCTGCCCTCCCACAGAAATCGTCCACTGTCTCACAAAAGCCTCTGATGATTTCTGTGACAAAAGATAAGACATCAATCTGAATGAAAAATAAGTATGAAGGAACAAACAAGGTATAATGCAATAAAAAAACGAACCTTGATAATCAGGTACCTCAGTTGTTGATAAAGATATGGATTCGAGTTCTTTCTTCTTGACTTTTGGTTTCCTCGAACCAGCATCAGTTGCTGGGTCCTTTGATATCAAATGTTACTGAGTAAATAGTCAAATATGAATAAAAGAATAAAAGGCAGATCAATAACACTTACATTAACAAGATTCCTCCCAAACTGGTTGTTAACATTTTCTCCGTAGGCTTTTTGTGTTTGAACAACAGAAAACCCATTCTGTTCAAAGGGTTTCTTTCCTGGGACTGAATCATTGTATATCTTCTCTTTAATAGACTCTGAGAAACCTGAAAATACCAATTAAGATGAAGGTAAAATAAGCATGTTCAACCATTCTCACCCATAACTGATAATGCATAGATAATAAAACAAATCGAGCATGATTACAGCTCAAATATGCATTTGGAGAATTCGTATGTTCAACAGCGCCAAGTTTTTTAATCAAACAAATAACAATTACAATGAATAAATAGAAAGAAGGACTAAGAGAAATTTCCGCAATGACAACTACTTTCACAGCAAAATCATATCCTGAGATGGAATACAGCTAAAATATGCAATTGGAAAATTCGTACGTTCAACAGTGCCAAGTTTTTTAATCAAACAAATAACAAGTTCAATGAATAAAGAAGGACTAAGGTAGAAAAATTGCCGCAATGACAACTACTTTCGCAGCAAAAATCGTATCCTGAGATGAAGTACAGAGTCACTTACTTTTTACCATTACACATTAATCTGTTTTCTTCATGAATTTTATCATTATATTACAAAGTAGTATTAAAAAGGAACACAAAGTATTGTACAGTCAAGGATAACATTGCTGTTTGATTATTCCATTATATCACCCCGGAATTTATTTTTTTATCTACCAAAATATATCCACTATATCAAGGAAACTACGAAATATGTAGAGAAGAAAATCCTCAGAGAAAGATCTTTCGACTATTGTGCAATGTCAAAGTGATAGGAGGCAGAATAGGAGATCGAAGAAAAAAATCCAATTAAGATTTTCAGAAACAATAACTGATGGGAATGCATCATAATGTCGTCTACTTTTCTTGATATAGAACAGCATAAGACAGAAAATAGAAATCTCCTATTCTGTCAATCGTTTAACTTGCAAGCACAGATTTTGGTCCCTTTCCATCGCTCAGGATTTATACATTACCCAATCCGCACTAAATACAATGGCCTCTGAAATGTGTGAAGGGGAAAATGAGTTTCTCTCCGCTTTCTATCATCCTATTTTTATCCCCCCCGATTGTCCAAAGATGTATAAGGTAAATAACCAAAGGTAACCACATTATTTCTCCAAAAAAATAGAGAAGATGGAAAATCTAAGATTTTCTATCACTTTCCAATAAAACAAATCTAGATGCAGAAAATCCATAAACCGTATTTATTGTTCTCAAAACATATAGAACAATAAATTGCAATGTTTTATATTCTCAACTAGTACAACAACGCTGCCTGTTTGATTACGATATAGGATTACAAATAATTGTTAGATAAAATTTAAACCTTCAGTCACATATAATATTAGATAATTATCTTGATGAAAAATGATGCATACAAGAAAAAAATATATTTTGAATGGATAAATCACACTATCATTGCATACTAAAAAAGTATCAACCAAAACAAGTTTTCCTTCACCTGTGTAAAATATATGTTAAAAAATCCATGCCATTTATTTTTTAAATATAGTAAACGATAATGTAGAACTTAATTGTGTTAAATTTTGTGATAATTAGCAAGCGGAAGACAAAATGGATCTCCATGGGAATGCTGATCATGCATAATATACAGCTTATGTCCAAAAATTACTAGTACCTAAAGGTCTTTCGATAGGTCGTTAATTAATGGGGAAACGGCATATTTATCTCCCAGCTCTTTATGAATATAACCTTTATGAGTACGAATCCAATAATCCACCACAAAGTCCATATCCCTCTGCACAAATTATGTTCGTCAAAGTGCTGAGACTAGACGCGCGTTTTAGTTTCACAATTTGGTGTGTTGAGGATCAAGTTGACTGTGTGCATTTGATAGGGTTTCCGCAGACGTCACAAAAAAATTGGAATAGCGAAAGGCAAGCCCGTCCATCGTGCGTAGTCAAGTTACGTACCAGGAACTGAATACTCGAATGCTCCCGAGTTATATCTGAGAACTTCAGAGTAGAGCCTCGGACACTCTGCAAAATCAATGAAAGTCGCTTCCTGTTCTTCTTTCACATTTCTGCGGCAATACAGTATTCAGTCAGAAAAGGAATACCATGTATTCGCGCACTATAGTTGAAGTCCCGCTACTTTCATCAGCAAACACCGGTTAGCATTGAAGTGAGAGAATTCCCCTTGACAAGTGAAGAGAAAACAGATGTAATGGATAAAAGCTTACAGGTAGGAGACGTCGCAATCCCTAAGGAGATCTGCGATCCTACTGGCATTCTCGAGAACCTCTTTCCGGTCGACAGACCTGGTTCCACCGCCGATAGTCTCTTCGGACAGAAGCAGCCTCTGACTCCGCGCGCCGCAGGACACCGGGAGCGAGGGCAGGGGAAGAGAAGGCGTGATCTCCCAATAAGTAGCATTGGAGAGCCTGCACGCCCTCTCCATAGATCACTCCGACACAAGAATCCCAGCTAACCTTGAACCGCAGACCATGATCGATTCGCAACTCGGAGACCGCGAATTTTGCTACTGCCAGGGGCAATTAGGGTTCCACGCGATCGCCAGAAGCCCTAATTTCACCGCGGCGATGGGGAGACACCAACTCCTGTCAGGAAATGGCGGGGAAACAAATTCCCCGGCGTGACGGGGCGGGCGTGGAGGGTCGCGACGAGAAGACCGTAACCTTTTATTGGGCGAAAATGGGAAAAAAATCGAGCCAGACGACGTATCGGCGTCGGTTTACTCCACCACTCGCCCCGTAGACCTTCCCGGGGAGGACGACGTGGACCCTCTCCGTCACGGGATCTGATCCCCCCCCCCCCCGAAGCGATCCCAAACTGCGCAATCCGACCTTCCACGCTAACGGGCCGGACCCAGAACTAGTCAAATTGGGCCTCACCAGACCCGACACAGAAAGTTGAACTACGGGATGGTTGGTATCATAAATATTCTTCATTGATATCGAGCGGGAAAATCAGACTTGACTTGTCCAATGTACGTCCACAACTCCATATTATTATGAAATATATTATTTTTTATACTACACGCGTGCCGCATATGATTCCCGCCAAAGGCAGGATTTTTTTTTATAATTTCGTGCAATAATTGTAAAAAAAATAAATCCCACAGAGTAAAAAAAACGACAACCCAAATTTCCTTCACGGGCATTAGTTATCTAAAGCGGTGGGCGTTAGGAATTTCTTGAACCACTGGACGGAGTTCTTGGGATATCTCTTCAGCTTATCGCGATAGTCAACGAAGTACAGGCCGAACCTGGACGTGTACCCCGCCCCCCACTCCCAATTATCCAGAAGCGACCACACGAAGTATCCTCTCACGTCGCATCCGTCCTCCCTACACGTCGGTCAACGCACGACATGAGCGACATATTTACCGGTCAACACAGTGGAGTCAGAAAGCCGATGGAACAGTCTGATACTGTTCACTGGGTGGGGGAAGTTGGTTACCTAATAGAAGCAGACAAGTTAGAGAGGTGGGTGCTGTGGTAGAAGATCCGCTTCTCGTCCTTCAAGGCGTCTTTGAGCGAGGTGAAAGGGTTATTCGGGTCATCCATGCCTGGTGAATATCGAGCGTGAGACAGAACAAGATGGACAGATAAAGAGAGAGAGTGAGTGAGAGAGAGAGAGAGAGGCTGCTACCATTCTCCGTGATGAAGATAGGCGGGCTGCCATATCTGCTTTTGACGTAGTTCATCAAGCTTCTCAATCCTTCCGGCACTATGTACAACCATATAGAGGAAGCCTACATCCGAGAGGTATTCAGTCGATAAATTTACGCCCATTTCTCGCATAAAACATGCATCTTTAAGGCCTAGAATGGGGATGATACCTTGTCTCCTATGGGCCTTCCATTCTTGAAGGCTGCAATGCCGCAAAGGATAAGGATCAGGGTGGGGATTCCAAGTGGAGTCGGAGAGCAGGCAGGTAAAACATACGGATTTTGATGGCCCCTGAATCGGCCATGGCATCGTTGAGAAGAACGCTGACTATCTTCCTTTTATCATTCATTGCATAGTATGTCGTGTAGTAGTTTATTCCCACGTAATCCAGAGAACCCTTCACGGAGGCAGCTTCTTGGGGACTAAACTTGGGAAGCCTGTTGCCCACCCTGGTTCTCATTGAGCTCGGATATTCCCCAAAGAAGAGCGGATCCATGAACCTGCACACTGAAAAATTACTATGCGCGTCGATAGACCCCAGCTAGCGTTTGAGAGGCAGGGATGGGCAAAATGAGGAAGAAATGATCAACGAGAAATTGCCAAAAAGGTTAATGCAGTTGTGGAGTGGAATCACCATCCGAGTTGAAAATCTTGGGCCCTCTGAGTCGCCTCGATGTCCTCCGGAGCATTTGACGAAGGCACGTACCACATCACATCGAATGCTATCCCAAGAGAACCGTTCTGTGTCGCCTGGATAAGGAAACGTTTGTTATAGTTTCTCCAATGGACAATAGTGACGCAACGTAAATTATTATTATTTAAAGACAGAGTGTGTGTGCGTGTATCTAGATGCATGAACACCATCATCATAGAAGAATTCGGCAAAAGTATTTATTAGATGTAGGTATCACAATAAAGAATGGATTAAAAGTTGAAAATCAACCCATGTTTGGCAATCTCTCTCGCTCTCTCTCTCTCTCAGTCTCTCTCTCTCTCTCACTCTGTCCCTCACCTTGTACTTCGTTCTGTAGATGTCTGCGACTGCTGCATGAGAGAGGAGTACGTTGTGTGCGACGATGTAGGACTCGGTCGCCGAGTTTCCGCCCCTGCAGAAGAGACGGAAGAGGATGGAGCAGCGCCCGGGGGCGTGGAGGCCGACGTCGTAGCCCTGTATCGAGAAGGTGTGGGGTTCGTTGAACGTTATCCAATGCTTCACCCTATCGCCAAACTCCCTAAAGCACGTCTCCGCGTAATTCGCAAAGTCACTTCTGCAATAAATATATGACAAAGGTGAGATAATTCATATAGGCTACGATCCATGATCTTTGTGAAGTGATATTTACATGATCTGACGGTCGAGCCAGCCTTTGTACTTGTCTTCTAACGCGAGTGGAAGGTCCCAGTGGTAGAGGGTCACGTAGGGCTGTATTCCTGAGATATCCGTTGAAGAGTCAGAGCCTCCCGGACGGCGGCGTGAACCAGTATTCACCGTTCTAACCTTTGGCCAGTAGAGCGTTGATGAGCCTGTTGTAGTGGTCTACCCCGGCTTGGTTGACCGCACCGGACCCATCTACCCAAGAGTGGATTTTCAGGCTTACTAGTAAAAAAAAAAAAGAAAAGAAAAGGAAAGGATGGGAATTGACTATGCGGGAGCCGTCCAGTGAGCTTACTGGGGTAGATACGAGACCACGAGATGGAGAACCGGTATGCGTCCATCCCCATGTTCGCCATGAGTTGGATGTCTTCCTGTCGAAGAACTCCAGTTCAAGACGAAGGCAAGGGGGTGAAACCCGAAACAACCCGTCTCACTGCGACAGGGTTGGGGCTCTTACCTCGAAGCGATGGTACTGGTCCACCACGACGTCGGCGTTGCTAAAGTCTATTACCTTGCCTACCAGCACAGAATAGAGAGAAGAGAGTAGGTGTCAATCCACGAGATGTAAAAAAGGAGTAACCGTTGGAAATGAACTATCTAATGTTGAAATAATAGAGAATGATAAAATGAAATAAGAATGGATTATAAATCATACTTAAATCTTTAAAGGCTCAAGAATGGGGTTGACCTTTTAGATCAACACAAATGAGTCATCCAATGAGTTCCTCAAAGAGAAATAGAATGCTCTAAAAGGGATTCTTAATGTGTGGCCAAGAGACCTTGACCCACCATTTATAGACAAGAGGTGGTTTGACTCTTGGTGTCTCTTTCTAATTCAATGCATAAAAAATAAAAATATGAAATAGACTCTACACATTTTATATTTATAACCATACTTACAAGAGATGACATAATCTTAAATACTTAAACATCATTGAACCACTTTAAAAATAAATTAACTCAATGATAGCCCCAAGATACACAATTCGTATATAATTATCCTCATTAAGATTAATTCCAGCAGTAAGGTCAAAAGGGAAGTTTAGTTACCAAAGGTATAGGTGTATTTGTCCCAGATGGAGGGGCCTCGCCCGTCTTCCTTCACCGCGCCTTCGTACTGTACAGAGATGTCGTAAGAGAAAGAAAGGGAGTGAGTACAACACATGAAGCCATAGCCAACTCGAGCCAGTAGCAGGCGCACACACTAGAAGACACTGTTATGGGGATTCCCATGGAGACCAGGAGGGCGGAGACAACACCAAGCAACTAGTTCCCGGTGGGATTTGTCTCTCACCTCTGGAACCCCGAATACGGTGAGGACTTTTTAACGGCTCTAATGCATGGTGGGTGGAGAGAAGGGATAGAGGTGGAGAAGCATAGAGATTTCTTTGGGGGGCCAGAGGAGGAAGAAGGGAGGGCAACCCACCTGGTACGCCGAAGATGCAGTGCCGAAGACGAAGCCCTTTGGGAAGCTGCCCCTGTTCAGGACCGGATCCGCCGACAGACATTCTTGGATCATAAAAGAAAGAAGAGGGAGGACAAAGAAGGCCTTCCTCACCACCATGGCCACCCAAACTTTTCCGAAGTGTAGTGGGAATGAAGGTTCGCAGGAGATATGTAGAGAGAACGATGAGAGACAAGTGTGGGGTTGAGTAGAAGGGAAGAAGAGAGGCACAACGAGAGGAGAAAAAGATAAACACGAGAGTCGGAACCTAGCGTGGGGGATCTAGAGGGAGAGAGACAACGAACAGCGAGACAAAGTGCCCTCGCTGGGAAACAAGTCTCTGTTTCACACGCCTTCACATTCAGTAGCTTCCTCCTTCCTCATATGCCCTATCCCTTCCCGTGATCTTGTTCGTTCTCCTACTAGCACAACTTGGCCATAGGACGCGTCAACATTCTGTCAAGAGACATCCCCACCAAGATCGTTGACTCGGTCTGGGAAATTTGTACGTCGACGACTATCGACACCACCGAGGAATCTTGATATGAAACATGAATAATTAAATAACCAAATAAAAAGTCAAACCCTGGCTCGTCGATTTGGTTCGCTCCTGTGGCTTTTATATATATATATATATATATATATAGAGAGAGAGAGAGAGAGAGAGAGAGATGCGATCATTGCATGTCTATCCCTCTCTCTCTCTCTCTCTCTCTCTCTCTCTCTATCCCTATCTATCCCTCTCTATCCCTATCTATCCCTCTCTATTTATGCCCATCTACCTACCTACCTATTGATCTATCTACTGAAGATAGATTGCCGTAATATTTCTTCGAGGAGAGATAATAATATAGACAAGTTCTTTCGCGAAGGAGAGTCATATCCAGAACAGAGTTGATTATTTACAATTAGGCAAGGGTGAGATAGAGAGAGAGAGGGCTTATTTCCAATCGAGCACGTCAAGTAGCCATGGGACCTCGTTCTTGGAGCTCGCAGCATCATTGAAGTCGATCTCGACGCCAAACACTTGGGCGGTGTCGTCCCCCGCCCCGGCCATGAACAGCAGCGAGACCCACGCCCTCAAGTCACGAAAGGGTAGCTGGGGAAGAGATTCAGGAATTGTACACTAGTGCCCTAAAGGTGCTCTAGTAGAACAAGGCCTGGCTAACGCATAGGCCACCTTCTTGTTGTCTCTGCCACCGATGAGGACAGAGACGCTCACCGGATCTTCCCTCGGCATGGTGAACTGAGGCTCCACCGACATCATCATCTTGAAGTTGGGTCCTTAGAGGTAGGTCTTCATGTTTTCGGAGATCCCCAAGGGGGAAGGATGGGGGGGGGATTTTATCCCTATGCAGAGCATTGAACTAGGGACTGCCCCAAAGAAGATGAGTCGCCCTGATGTCGACTAAAATTCTAGGTCTTGTTGTCGCTTATAGGAAAGTAAGAATGTAAAATTGGAGAGAATAGATAGATTTAGGGACGAGAATGGTCGAAGAAGAGCCAAAGAGAAAGGCGAATATTTTGCACACAAAAAACTATCAATTTTGAAAATGTCACAAGTACCATTAAATAAGGAGAGAAATAATATTTAAAAGTTACATCCGTGACCTACCTGGCACGTCGCCCTTTTGACTCAATTAGTTTTGCATTGAATGCCAACACTCCCCCTTAATATAAAATGTCTAATACCAAGTGACTCTCTAAATCTAATAAATTTGGTGTAGGTCAACACCTTAGTAAAGCCATCCACCACTTGATCAAATTCTATTGAAAAAAAAATTAATTCAATAGAATTTGTAATGACTAAATCTCAAATAAAACAGTGACAAATTTCAATGTGTTTTGTTCTTCCATGAAATACCAAATTCTTAGTCATATATATTATTGATTTTTTGTCACAATAGATCACCATTGGTACTGATTATGTAAAATTAACATCCTCTAGGGTCATACACATTCATACTATATGTTGTGCAGTTATTAGTACATCACAATATTCAACTTTTGAATATGATAATGTCGTTAATTCTTATTTTTCTTTAGTCTATCAAGTTGCTTTGAACCGCAATTGAAAACAAAACCAATTGTGTTTTTTTATGTCATCAACATAACTTGTAAATTACTTTCAGAATAACTAGAAAAATTAAATTCAAAAACATGTTGATATAAAATTCCATGGATGGCCCCTCAAATATATTGAAGTATCATCTTTATTATTTTAGGATGATGAATTGGAAGAATGCATGAAGCTTGAAATCATATTATCTGAAAATAATATATCAAATCAAGTATTAGTTAAATAAACTTACCCACTGATGTAGTACAAAAACTATTGTCAAAAAAGAGATGAAAACATTTTGACCTAGGTAGTCAAAAATAACTATTTAGAGGTGTCACAATGCCTTACAATTTAATTTCGTAGTTAACTTCAATACATGCTTATTTTTATATCAACTTAGATTGAACAAATGATGCAGCCTAATTTTACCCAATTCAAGTGAACCAAAGGCTCAATAGGCGTGAAGTCACTATTTCACCTAAATTCAACTCAAAATGACCCAAAATAATATTTTTACACATTGTAAATGTGTCAAAATCTCAATTCCTATGTTTATTATTTCTCACATTTTTTTTCAATAAGTAATTTGTCACTTTATGAATTTTTTATCAACAAAAAATATTAACTAAAAAATCATCTTCAAATGAAAGGATAAACATATGATTAAATGGATAACTATGCAGTGTTTAATATTTCTAAATGATGATAGACAAGTTACTGAAGATGTCACATGGATTAAATCATCAAGAAAATAATAAAATGAAATATATATTTCACATTTCAAACACACCATCTCAACGATTGCACATTAGTTGCTTACTTTAATAAAAAGTCATAGTAAACTTCATGATTTGGATCTGATTTATACACTCAATGTTCTCTCTCATGTTAGAAACCATCCATTTAAATTTTAACAAAAAGGAAAGGGAACAAAGAGATTAGAAGGTTCAAAATTCATTACTATGCTTTTTGAAAAATGACAAGTTTTGAACAAGGATCTCAAACGTTAGAGATTCAGTCAAATTAGAAAACTATTGAAAGATGAACTCTCACTTGTGAGACAAGGGTTCTATATTGAAGACAAGTTGTTTTCATAAAGATCTGAGCTTGAAAATCAAGTTATTCCAGCCATATGCATCAACAACATGCAAAAATGTTACATCATCTTTTCCAAAATAATTTTGGCAAAATGATCAATTCTACTTTCATAGTTTTAGTTCACCATCAAGTCCTATAGTAATTGACTTGTGAGATAAGAGTGATTTAGGCAAAGGCATGAGATGCTAGTAGTTGTATTTGGTTTGGGAAGGGCCAAGTCTATATGGATGCAAACTTGAGGTATTTGGACAGTTGATTCCATAAAAATCAGTTTGTAATACATAAGAGAATTAGTAAATATTAGAGGGAAGCCATTTGTGGGATTCGAAATAGTTAAGTGAGAGGTAAAGCAATCAAAATTTTTGGTGTTCTTTGTAAGTGAGAGTTAAGATGTCTTATCATGATTTAAGTGTGTCGACACATATTATGATACATACACATAGGTATAACTTAAATAAAAAATAAGAAAAAAAATTAGAAACCTCAATTCACCTCCCTCCTAGTACTTCACCTAATCATATGGTTTCAACATAGTGATATAAAAATAGAATTACATATCACATTCAATACAAAAGATTAATTGGACACATCAAAATGATTTGTACAGCTAGATGTCATAGTTGACTTTAATTTATCGATCTCAACTTTCAAGCTTTATAACATTCCAAAAGTGTTTAACTTTAGTGTTGTCACCCCATAGAAGGTAGACATAGTAAAGAGATGGATCTAGTCTCTTATGTAAAGCCTCTCATGAAGTTTGTAACATTGACCTCGAGTATGACGTGTTTGTTTGTAAAAAGTGCAACATAGGCTAACCATATAATCATCCTTCTTCTCTTATCATAGTGGTTGAGTTGAACTTTTATCTTCATTATGTTTAGCCACAAATGATGAATTTTCAATCCTTTGTGGTTCCTATCACAGGGCTCATACAATTTTCCTTATTCATTACCAAGGCAATGACTTCTTCTAAGTTCAAGATCATTTCTCTTATAAGGATTTAGGATTGGATTTGATCATAATCAAAATTGAAACTAGTAATAAATTGATAAAATCTTTGGGTCTCAATATACTTTTTATTTTGAATAAGTCATGTACATGTGATAAGACATCTTTTAGGGAAATCTAGAGAATCCATGCCATTCATAATCATTAAGTGGTCTCCTCCTCTTATATGCCAAATTAAACTAAATTTTGATGGAGCGACAAAAGGCAACTCATGTATGGAAGTAGGGGAGGAATAAATAGAGATTATAAGGGTAAATTAATCGTTGATTTCTCTAACTTATATACTTACGCTACTAACATGGAAGTTAAGTGTAGGACACTTGTAGATGTAGTCAAGTTATGTGAGATATTAATATTTACTAATGTGTTTATTAAATCAGATTCTAACATCTTGGTTAGCATGGTGAAATAACAAAAATTCAATCAATGGAGGCTACACAAATAGTGGCATGATATTAAGAAACAATTACACATAAATAATTACATATATTGTGAGAAGATAGCTCACTTAAAAATTTTCTTGCTAAAGAGAGGATCTTACAAGAGTCATACAAAGTATTGGAGCACAAAAGAATAGCCTCAGAAAGGGAGAAGGATCTATAACCTAGAGAAATTACTACTTTATGTTAGATGGTTACTTTAACATGAAAATTAATATGCAAACTTCCATAAGTGCAAGAATAAGTCGCCAAAAAGAATATTGAAAAATAAAATCTAAGAGTTAAGTAATAGATGTTGAAAGCTTCAAGAACACAGATTGGGAAGCATGAAAGTGTAATCTAGAAGTGATGGGATGCAAAATTCATTGTTAAATTTAGTTGATGTCAAAATGCAGATTAAGAAGACTAAAGAGAAAAGAAATATTGATCATGAAACAAAAATAGGGATTATAACATATCAATAATCGGTGTTAAGAAGATAGGAAAAGAGGACTGCAAAGAAAGAATAAAAA